GGCGAATATTCGTTACCCTGAAAAACACGAATAAATACGTACCCTAGTTTCATACATCGGTGAAAATTTTTGGAAATGAATTCGCAAAACCTCCCAAGAGGGTAATTAGTGATTTTTTAAGGCTTCAGGTATGACTCATAATGGTTTTCAGAAGTTTCATACATCGGTGAAAAATTTTTTGAAAATGAAATCGCAAAACCTCCCAAGAGGGTAATTAGTGATTTTTTAAGGCTTCAGGTATGACTCATAATGGTTTCATTAGAAGTTTCATACATCAGTGAAATTTTTTGAAAATGAAATCGCAAAACCTCCCAAGAGGGTAATTAGTGATTTTTTAAGGCTTCAGGTATGACTCATAATTGTTTTCAGAAGTTTCATACATCGGTGAAAATTTTTGGAAATGAATTCGCAAAACCTCCCAAGAGGGTAATTAGTGATTTTTTAAGGCTTCAGGTATGACTCATAATTGTTTTCAGAAGTTTCATACATCGGTGAAAATTTTTTGAAAATGAATTCGCAAAACCTCCCAAGAGGGTAATTAGTGATTTTTTAAGGCTTCAGGTATGAGTCATCATGGCTTCCAGAAGTTTATTTTTTTAATGAAATCTCTGAAATATCAGCAAATAAATTCAAGTAGCTCTTCAATCACTGAAATGATTGACTAAATTACAATAAAAATTAAATACGTTAAATTTATGCTTGATGTAAGTTTATAAATAAATTTCCTGAAACATTGAAGATTCAAAAAGTCACAGCAGTATAAAACAAACAACCTCAAAGTAAAATATTTTCCAACTTAAGAAGCTCTTATTAATTTTATTTTCAATTTTCCACCGATTTAGCAATTTTCTTTTGATGAAATGTGTTTTCTTTAAAATCATAGAATTTTCTTTCTGCTTAAAAAATGTCAATAAAGAATGGAAATTTAAAAATTGAGAAAGCTTTATGAAATTTAGAAAAAAAATTAAGAAATAAAAATCAGTGAAAGCAAAAATGATTTAGATAATGAAAATAATTAAAATTACGGTTATCTCCTGGTTTTAAAAGATGCTCCTTCATTCAATTTACATCATTGGCATTTAACTAGATATGCGTTCGAAACTTCTCCATTTTCAGTTCTGTTCCTTTTGTATTATGGATTTTATTGAAACCACCATGATTGAACTGCAAATGTTTGGTGATCGGTGACTCGAATACGGTGAGAAATAACTTCACAAACTTGAATTGTGTTTGAAAATGCATTCGAGCTCTTTTGATGTTTTGTTGAAAAAATTTTGATATTCGATTTTTATCTTTTGTTGTCTTTCATTTAAAAGGGCTTTAAGATCAGAACTAACATGTTTTCAAGATGTTAAATAGGTATCATATCTAATGTCAACAAAAACACTTTAATAAAAATTAACGTATATTATGATTTCAAATTTTCCCGCGTTTTCAGAATGCAGGGTAGATCAAGATGTAAAAGTAACTGACAAGTGGCCGAAATTTTTAGCGAGAGAGTAAAGTTGACGAAAACATTAAAAGAGAGAAACGTGAAAAAAATTATTTCAAAGTTTTATCTTTAATATCAATCAAACAGGAGTAAAAATTAGCTTAAAACATGTCCGAACAAGAGGAGTCAAATGACCAACTGGAGGCTCAAGACACAAATGACAATTCGGTGAGTAAAAGATGTTTTTCTCGAAGCGTCTCGAAGTTACAACAATTTTTTTCTCTTCTCTAACAACCTACAAAAAAAAATAAGAATGAATCGTCGGCTCAAAGCTCAAACAAGGAAACAGATATTGAAAGCAATCGAAGCAAAAGGTTTGATTTCTTGTTAAAGCAGACGGAGATTTTCTCCCATTTTATGCCAGGTTCATCAAAAATAACTCCGGAAAAAAAGAAAAAACCTGGACGCAAGAAGGAAGAAGAATCGGAAGTGAAACAAGATCCAAATCTCGACCCGGCAGAGTAATTTCTAAACTTTTGCGTTTTATTGTGAATGAAACATAATTTGAAATTTCATTTTAGTCATCGACATCGTAAAACGGAACAAGAGGAAGATGAAGAATTGTTGGCGGAAACAGCAAAAGCAAAAGCAATTTTCCGTTTCGAAGCATCACCACATTACATTACAGGTGGAGAAATGCGTGATTATCAAGTTCGAGGACTCAACTGGATGATATCACTTAATGAAAACGGAATTAATGGAATCTTAGCCGGTAAAGAGAGAAAACATTTTTGATGTGAAAATATTTTAAATTAATTTTTTTGTAGATGAAATGGGTCTTGGAAAGACTTTACAGACAATCTCATTGTTGGGATATCTGAAGCACTTTAAAAACGCTGCTGGCCCACATATCGTCATCGTTCCTAAATCAACACTTCAGAATTGGGTCAATGAATTCGTTCGTTGGTGTCCATCACTGAAAGCTGTTTGCTTAATTGGAGATCAAGAGACAAGAAATGCATTCATTCGTGATGTTATGATGCCAGGCGATTGGGATGTTTGTGTAACGTCTTATGAAATGTGCATTCGTGAGAAAAGCGTTTTTAAGAAGTTTAATTGGCGATATTTGGTGATCGATGAAGCTCATCGTATAAAGAATGAAAAATCAAAACTTTCGGAAATTTTACGTGAATTCAAGACACAAAATCGCTTACTTTTAACGGGAACTCCACTACAAAACAATCTCCATGAATTGTGGGCTTTACTGAATTTCTTACTTCCCGATGTTTTCAACAATTCCGATGATTTCGATTCCTGGTTCAACACCAATCAATGTTTGGGAAATAATCAAATGATTGAACGTTTACATGCCGTTCTTAAACCTTTCCTCTTACGTCGATTAAAATCTGAAGTCGAGAAACGATTATTGCCCAAGAAAGAAATGAAAGTTTATGTCGGATTGTCAAAAATGCAACGAGATTGGTACACAAAAATATTGTTGAAAGATATTGACGTCGTGAATGGAGCTGGTAAAGTTGAAAAGATGAGATTGCAGAATATTTTAATGCAACTACGTAAATGCACTAATCATCCTTACTTGTTTGATGGAGCTGAGCCTGGTCCACCTTACACAACTGATCAACATTTGGTCGACAACTGTGGAAAGTTGACATTGCTGGACAAACTTTTGCCACGATTGCAAGTTGAAGGCTCGCGCGTTCTCATCTTTTCTCAAATGACACGAATGCTTGACATCCTTGAAGATTACTGTTGCTGGCGAGCTTACAGATATTGTCGTCTTGATGGTCAAACACCGCATGAAGATCGTACAAATATGATCGCCGATTTCAACGCTGATAACTCTCAAAAGTTCATTTTCATGTTGTCAACAAGAGCTGGTGGTCTGGGAATAAATCTTGCAACAGCTGATGTTGTCATCATCTACGACAGTGATTGGAATCCACAAATGGATTTGCAAGCAATGGACCGAGCTCATCGTATCGGTCAAAAGAAACAAGTTCGAGTGTTTAGATTTGTAACTGAAAACACTGTCGATGAGAAGATTGTTGAACGAGCTGAAGTTAAGTTACGATTAGATAAGCTCGTCATTCAACAAGGACGTTTAATGGACAATAAATCAGCTCAATTGAACAAAGATGAAATGCTCAACATTATTCGGTTCGGAGCTAATCACGTTTTTCAAACAAAAGATTCAGAATTGACTGATGAAGACATCGACGCAATTCTCATGAAAGGCGAAGAGAAAACAAAGGAAGAACAGAAAAAATTGGATTCACTTGGTGAAAGTACATTGCGAACATTCACTTTGGACACTGAACAGCCGCAATCATCGTTATATCAGTTTGAGGGTGAAGATTATCGTGAGAAGCAGAAACTTCAAGCTTTGGGCTCGTGGATTGAACCACCGAAACGTGAACGTAAAGCTAATTATGCTGTTGATGCTTACTTCAAAGAAGCACTTCGTGTTGCTGAACCAAAAGCACCGAAAGCTCCACGACCAGCTAAGCAACCAATTGTACAAGATTTCCAATTCTTTCCACCACGTTTGTTTGAGTTACTTGATCAGGAGATTTACTGGCATCGTAAATGTATTGGATGGAAAGCTCCAAAGAATCCCGATCTGGGTTCAGAAGCCAACAAAGCTCAACGTGAAGAACAGAGAAAAATTGATGAAGCTGAGCATTTAACTGACGAAGAGATTAGCGAGAAGGAAGCACTTTTAACGCAGGGATTTACCGCATGGAGTAAACGTGACTTTAATCAATTTATCAAGGCAAATGAGAAGTTTGGCCGTGATGACATTGAAAGTATTGCAAAGGAAGTTGAAGGGAAAACGCCTGATGAAGTTATGGAATATAGCTCAGTATTTTGGGAGCGTTGTCATGAATTGCAAGACATTGAACGAATCATGGCACAAATTGAACGTGGCGAAGCAAAAATTCAACGTCGAGCTTCGATTAAGAAAGCTTTGGATGGGAAAATGGCTCGCTATCGTGCGCCATTCCATCAACTTCGTATTTCTTATGGGAATAATAAGGGGAAGAATTATATCGAAGAAGAAGATCGCTTCCTGGTTTGCATGCTACATAAACTTGGATTTGATAAAGAGAATGTTTATGAAGAACTTCGTGCAGCTATTCGTTCAGCGCCACAATTTCGCTTTGATTGGTTTTTGAAGTCGCGAACTGCTTTGGAGTTGCAACGTCGTTGCAACACTCTGATAACGTTGATTGAACGAGAGAATCAAGAAATTGAAGAAAAGGAGAAACAAGACAAGAAGAAAAAGCCTGGAAATGCATCGACATCGAAAGGACAGAAACGTAAAGGTGAAGCAGGATCAACTACAGCTGGATCATCGAAAAAGAAACGTAGAGTTTAAGCATCCAACAAAACAAAAACAAACAAAAAAATTCTCAGTATCAGTGTTTAAGGCTTTCAAAAGAGTTTTTCTTTTTTTAATTTATAAGTCAAGATAATTAACATTTGTAGACAGACACAAAACAAATATTCTACACTACAAACTCAAACGATTCACATAGCTTTTTAAGAAAAAATATTCCAGTTTGATTTCTGTTTTTGTGCTGAATCTTAGTTTTAATAAAAAAATAATTAAAAAACCAAGTTTCGCTGTTTTACATTAAAATAATTTTTTATTTGTATTTTTATGATTCACATTTAATTTTTAATTATTAATCATAAATTTATTTCTTCTGTTGCATCAACTTATGCAAGATTATTCAATTCACTGAATGTAAATAAAAACAAAGAATCTTCCGTGATGACTCATGCGATAAAATATTAAAATAAAAATATTTCATTAGATGGCGCAGTTAATTCTTATTACAGCACAAAAAGGTAATTAATTTTGATCAATGATGGCTCTTTCTAATTTGAAATCGTAGTCCACTGATGATGACATCTTGCTGATCGTCTGCGATATTTCCTTAAGTTGAAATTCGAGAAAATCTGTGTCGTCGTTGGAACATAATGCGGGATTAAGCTTAAAAGGAACGTTTTGTGTGTAGTTGGCAATTTGCATTGAGTACTGTCTTTCAAATGGCGCATGATGTGGTGCAGCAGAAGGCACAGGTGCCACTGGACCACCTGAAGATATTGGAGGGTAAAGTGGCATTGAATTGCGATTCTGTCCACCTCCAATCAACACAAAATCATCTGCTGCTTTCTGTTTATTTTCATCTTCTTTTGATTCATGTGTCGGCGATACCACCGGAGATTTTTTGGAACTTTTAAAGAAACTGAACATCTTTAATCACTTTTTAAAAATCTTTATTTTTGTACTGATGTATTTGAAGAGAACAAAATTTTTGTTTGAAGGATTTCGAAATTCGAAACAATTCGAAAATACATTTTGGGGCTGGTTGTTGATGAGTTATTTTCTGATATGTAATTTTTCAAAAATTCTTTTACCGTTAAATTTCATTGTTTATTCACATTAATCCACATACAAATCTCATAATTCTTTTAAAGTTGTAGCATAGAAATATCACGTGATTTCTTCCATCTATAAACGAAGAAGGATAACAACAGATTAAAGGCAAATACTGATGCAGTTATCAAATGGAATGCTCCAGGGAACGTTGTTAGTGTTTTCTTGTAGATACTCGAATACAATGGCCCAGCTCCAAGACCACTCAAAGCTTCAAAAGATGTAGTCACACTGAAGATTTTTCCAATTTCAGCATGTGGCAGAATGTTTGACATAATGGATCGAAAGACGGGAGTAGAAAGAAGTCGGAATAATCCAAACACCGATGACAAATACAACTGATATGATTTCGTAGCAAAAGCTTTAAATATCGCATCAATAATTGACGATATCAAAGCTAGAACTCCAAGAGACATGTCCGATATTTGGAAATATTTCTTCAGCACTGTTAATCCAATTAATAATCCAATAACAGTGATAACTGTGTTGGTTGAATCGAAGACGGTCCATTCTCTTAAAGCCCATCCGAATTTCTCTCGAACGAAAAGATAATTTACAGTTCCATTTCCATGCATCGTGAACACCACAAGAACAACAATCACCATCAGACTCCACATCATTCTTCTTTCCTTGTTCGTTCGCTTTTTGGTGATTGTAAAATAAATTTCTTGAATTCTCGCATAAGAAAAAACTTCTTTAATTTGTTCAATTGCTTTAACGTTTTGTGGCACTTGAATTGATTCATCCACAAAAATTATCGTATAAATAAAAGCAATCACTGCGCATGAAAATGAAATTGCAAACACAAAAGTTGCATTTGTAGCTTCGAGAATAAAGCTTGATGACGAATATGCTGACACATTGCTAAGAAAGTTGAGAAAAGTGATGAATCCTAATCGGAATGAACGATTTTTCTCATCACTTAAATCTGTCACATAGCAGCAAACTGCAATGTCAAGTGTTGGCCAGCCACCTAAAAAGCACATCGGAAATTCGGCAAAAAAATAACACCATGGACTTAGTGGTGTCACATGATCGGAGATGAAAGAAAATATCGCAATCAGAGTTAATGTTGAGGTGTATCCAGTGAACGACATCATCAAAATCTTCTTGCGACCAAATTTATCCATCCAAGAACCCAACAATAAACTGAACAGGGCAGGAGAAATTGAATTCAATAACAAAATTGATGAGTTTATGTTGGCAACATATGGTTGAACTTCTTCTTCAACTGCTTTAGTCAATTCATCTGTATTGAGATTAGAACAGATTGTTAAGTTATATCCAAGTTGCAAGCACGTTTGCTTCAGCAGTTGATTTTGTAAGATGGCATTTGTCAAGTTGAATGCAAAATATAATGAAAATAAGCCTGGCTCGAGTCCATAAAGATATCGAACATTTGATGCACGATTATTTTCAACCTTTCTCGTTAAAATGTTTTGACGAACGCTGCTACTTTCTCCTTTGATTTCATTCATGTTTTAATTCGACAGCAAAGATTCTTGAACATCAACTAAATTAAAAATATTGATGAAGTCTGTAATAACTGAAGAACGAAAACTTATCAGTTTTATTGTCAATTGAATGTCTATTCAATTAACTCATAAAAGATTTAATTACATCTCATTCATGTTATCTTATCTCTAATATTATTATTATTAGAAATAAAAATGACAGAGTCTGGAAAGTGTTTAGTGGCAAAGGAAGTAGGTAATTTAAGGAAATAATTTAAGAAATTATTTTTAAAAGTTTCTTTCATATTCTTAGGCTAAATGTTTCTTGCTATTCAATTTAATTTTTAAAAACAGATAATTGCATAATGTGAAAATAGAAATATTGTTTCCCAATGAAGATATTTCTTTGACAATTCATGATGTAAGTTTTAAAAGTAAGAAATGTTTCGCCTTGTTCTACATTTTTTGAAATATCTGTGTAAATAATGTTTTTGATATAAAAGCTCATGTAAAGCATGCTTTCAAATAGTTTAATAAATTTTGTCAAAAACTTCACCAATTAATTTTCTCTCTAAAATTATTAACTAAAAATGAATATTTTTGTGTTTTTTGTGGTTTTAATGATAACAAATTTTAACTTTGCTAATGGAAGTGAAAACGACGAAATAAAAATGCTTCTTGCTCAACTCATTAAAGTTATGGGACAATCAAATCAAGAACCTTCTCCACCAAAACCAGTTTGTGATCCAGGATACAAGCTTGAAATTTCAGGAGATGATTGGAAGTGTTCACCTGAGACACCACCAGATGCACCAGAAAATACTTCAAACATTGCTAGCGATTGTCCAGCCTGGGATTGCCCTTCAAACCCAACATGTAATCCTGGTTTCCAACTTTTATCGCTTGGCAGTGGATGTTGCTGTGTGAAAGAAGATATTGCAACGCCTTCCGGACTGTCCACTTCAATAAGTTTAGAAGATAGTGGCGAAGAGTCTCCAGGCGAATCGAACCCGAATAAATAATTTTCCACGTTGATTTTTACCCGTGTCGGAAATTTAATAAAGTCTCAATTGAATTTTAAAACATCAAAGCTTATTATAAATTTATACAAATCTAATTAATTTTCAGGAAATTAAGGAAGCAATTAAGTAATTTATACAAGTAAAGCTTTAATTACTTCATTGTCTTAATGTATTTAATATTCCTTTTACTTAAACAGTTATGGTGGTCATAAAAACAACATTTATACATTTAGGAAGATAATTAATGTTGCTAATTCTATTTACTTACATTTTATTATAATGATGATATTGCTAGATGATGTTGATGATGATGATCAACAACCACATAACAACGCGCTTACAACTCATTCGTACAAAAAACAAACCCTAACTGAAAATTCAATCGAATATCTTGGAATAAAATGTCAAATGTTGACGACAGTGTTCTATTCAGAAAATATTATGCTTTAAAATATAAAAATCTCGTTGAAATGATGTTGAAACATAAATCCTGAAAAGAATCTTTATAAATATTTAATTTCAAAGCATCACATTCCAGTTATCTGACCTATAAATAAACAATGAAACTTTAATACTTCGTCATTTTAATCTTTTGAAGAAATATTTGAAACCTCCAGAAATATAAGAACACAATTCATTCATTATTATCATTCATATATTTTATTAAGTTTAGTAATAATATTGGTTTCTTTACATCTAAAGTTCTTATTAATGAAAATCACTTTCTTTGCGTAACTTTTAAGTGTTATTAGATAAGTACAAGGATTTTCTTTTTACTGTTTCTTCTTTATATTTTCTAATAAATGTTGTTATGAAGACGTATTTCCTATGACTTAAGAAATTCTTTATTACATGAAATGGTTCACATGATTTTTCTTAACAGCTAACAATAAATTTCTAGAGAAATGGAAATAAAATTTAGTTAAACGAACGAGTGATAAACAAAATCATTTTTTGCAATTCGTCCTATTTATGGCTGAAAAGGAGCCAATCTGGCACACTTTCCTCAATATTCTCTCGATCACAACGATTATAAGATTAAAATATTCGATGAACTTAAAAATAAAGCATCGACTAGATTTATAAATCATTCCAGTGAAGTTTTCTCTCGTTCGTCAAACTAAATAAACTTTTCCTTTGATATTCATTTTTCTTTTGTTTAAACGATTAACATTTGATTTCTATTCTTTTTTTATATAAAAAACATTTAAATTAAATATTGACAGCTTTACATTATAAAGTGAAATGAAGAAATAAGATGCGTGACTCGAGATAAAGTTTGGTTTATCATCGAGTGTGACGAAATAAAAACAACTGAAACAGTTCAAATTTAATTAAAAAACCGTTAAATTTTCTTAAAGTTTGTTCGATAATTAACGGATTTTCAAGAAATTGAATTGTCTCGAAGCTTTCAACGTTTGAATTAAAATCTTTTAAAATAAGAAATAAAAATTTATTTTCTTACCCAACTGCTAACTTAAAGCAAAAGTAAGAGAACGAAAAAGTTTCAGTAATTCTCATATCTTCGGTAGACTTTTCATTTCAACAGAATTTTTACTCAACACTTCATCGTCTTTGTTATTTAGAAACATCACATTAATTTTGCGTTCCTCTCCGTAGCCATTCATCATTGGTACTGCTGGATCTGTGATCTTTAATTCCAAATACTCTCTTTTCAATTGCTCATTTTTCTTTCGAATCGACTCACCGATATTAAACACGCCGTCATTTTCCTCAGATGCTGTCGTCATCATCGCTGCCGTCTCGCTATGAGTTCCTTGATTGATTGACGCCAGCCTCTGTCGTTCTCTTTCAAAGAAGCTGTTCAGAATCGAACTGTTTCTATCAAAAACTACAGCTCCATCATCTTCAACAGGTTCAATCGATATTTCAGCATAAGACATCGGCGATGTATCATCATCATCATCGTCTTTACTGTTCGTCTGATTTTTACTTCCCCCACTGTTTACATTTCCCTTACTGTCATCATCCGAAGGTGAATTATTCTCTTGATTATTATACAAACTCAATGGTGGCCACTTTGCATTCAAACGAAGATAATTCTCAATCGATAAGAACTTTTTATGCGACTTTTCAATATCATGGAAACGATAACGAAGCTTTTTGAAGATGAAATATTCAACAATGGCTTGTTCGATGAAAAGAGCTAACATGAAGTTAACGAGACCATAACAGATTAAAACCAAACCAAATGACAATCTTTGATCGAGTGGCGGTATTACAAGTTCCATAAAATCAGCAATCATTTGAGAAGGATAAAGTGCCAAATATAAAGTCACAGCCAGATTGATGCAAATGCTTAGCATAAGTCCAAGATTTGAGAAGATTGACTTACGATATGGCGCACCTTTGCTAAATACAATCGCTAATGTCATATATTGAAAGCATGAAATGATGAAGATCGTGTAGTTTTGATGACATCCCAATGTTTCATCATTTATGTGCTCCGATTCTTCATATTCAAATGCTTCAAACCATTCATATTGTTGAACATGAAACCATCCAATGATAAGGATTGTAATTGATGTGATGAGATGTAATGCTAACGATACAATAGGACTTAATGCAATTAATGAGTTTAATGGCGTTTGCTTCACCAATGGACCATCATACGACTCAGTTTTACCAAAGAAAAAAGCAAATACTGAGATCATAAACAAATCAATGAAAAGATATTGCATGTCGGTGAGATTTGAATCAATTGTGTAAAGAATGATGACCGAACTAAATTGTACAAGTGAATATGCGGCCATGTACTTAAATATGCCAAATGACGTTACAAGAGCTGCACGACCTTCTTGAATGATCGATGGGACACAATCAATTGTACGATCACGTGATGTAAATGGCGACGCAACAGAACTTTCAGCATCAGACAATGATATTCCTGTATGAGCGACTTTAAGTGCACCACAATCATTGGCACCATCACCACACATCGCTACATAATATCCAAGATCTTGAAGTTCAGTGATTAATTGTTGTTTTTGGTCAGGTGACATTCGAGCAAAAATCGATCCTCGTGTTACAAACTTTGGTAGAAGATCAGGAAAATATTCGCGAACAATTAACCAAGTCTTTCCATCCATTGCAAAACGATAACGATTACATGGAAGTTCTGGCGCAAGTCGATATGGATTCATCTCATCATCGATATCAAAGAATTTTCTTTTCTTCAAGAGATTTTCTTCACCTTTTTCAACATCACGTTGTACTGCATGTGCTGAAGATTGAGTGTTGGTTTCAACAGTTTCAAGACTACTCACACTGTTGCTGTTTACCATGAGTTTATATTTGCCATCACCAGCATTGTCAGCAATGAAATTTAATGATGCTGGTGTAGTTTGGACAATTAAATTGTTATTCGTTGCTGTCGCTGACGTTGAATGTCCTTCAAGTGTGTAAAATAATTCCGGCTCATCATCAGTTTTCCATCTGGAGTTGACAATGATAATGCTTTGATCTTCAGCTATCATGTCACAATCTTTTGCAACACTAACAGCTGTCAAAATATTATCGCCAGTCACCATAATCGTTCGAATATTTGCATCGTTTAAAATTTTTATCACTTTTTCTGAGTCAGGTTTGAGACGATTTTCTAATATCACAAAGCCAAGAAATTCAAGATCAGATTCGACTTTGTCACGTGATATTCGCTGAATTTTTGGATATGTCAATTTGCGATCAAGTGATTTGTAGGCAAGTGCAATGATTCGATATCCTTGTTGTGCATAATAATTAAGTTTCTCATTGAAATCTGTTGGGATTGTTTCTGCACGACATAAAGTTGCAATCATTTCCGGTGAACCTTTACAGTAAACGTTGAAATGTTTATCAGAGATTTTCCTTGTAATTACTGCCATTCGTTGCAAGCTGCTGGTGAAGGAGAACTCTCGAACAATTCCAATATCATGTGATGAGATTACAAGAGCATCAAGTTGTTGTTCCGACGAGTTACGAATCATCAAATCAAGTTGCGATCCCTTTCCTGATGGTGGCTTAACAACAGTTGGAAACAGCAAATCATATTTCGTATCGTCAGATACATTTGCTTCTTCCAACTTCCATCCTGTTGACTCAAACATTTTCAAGTCTAACGGATCACCTTTCATTTCTCCATTCATTAACGTGATAGAGTGACATGTCACCATTCCATACAACAAATGATCAAATTGCAATCGATCAATTTGTTTCAATGGAATTTGAAGTGAATTTGTTGCTGTTTTTGGAACAACTCCATACATGTCCAAGCCATCCTCAGTTAATGTTCCAGTTTTATCGAAACAAACACAATCAATTGAACCAGAAACATTAATAGATCTTGGTGCAATGCAGAAAATATTTTTCTTTTGAAGACGTGCTTGAGCGTACATTCGGCCAACAGACATTGCAGCTTTATTCAGAGATAAGATTGATTAAAAAAATTGTCAATGAAGGAACTTGGGAACATTTCTTAATGTTAATGGAAGCGTTTGTAACTTATTAATAAAATAATATTTTATTGTAATTAAAAGAGCTTTGAAAGTTTTCTTTAATGAATAAAAGTGCCCACTAGAATTGTACCCCCCACTCCTATTTTCAATGAATTTTCACCCACCTCATACAAATTACAATCGCTTCCTTAATCACTAAATTAATTTAATTGATTACTTACCAGGAAGTGCTGGTGGAACTGCAATTGTGATTAAATCTAAGCTTTCAATGATAATTTTCACAGCATTGACGTTTCGCATTATCTAAAGAATTAAATTATAATAATTTTAATAAAAACCATTTAAGCGAAATTGATTTTTCTTACTTTTGTCACGACAGTAAAGAGGAATCCACAAAATGCAACGGAGGCAAGAAGCGCTACAAACTTATACGAATCTTGCTCAAATTTGTAATCAACAGGTGGTGGATACAAAATTGAACGAATCAGTTCACCTTTTGCAGTTATATTTCCAGTATTTATGACAACAGCCAATACTTGTTCCGATCCAATGTATCTGGTTTGAATAACTTTAGTTCCACAAAAAAGTGTGTGACGTGCATGTTCTTTCATATCATAAATGAGATCTTTCTTGCATGGTAAAGGAGTTTTAGTGACTGGGACACTTTCACCAGTCAACATTGATTCATCGAGAATGCAATTTCCTGACAATAGAACAGCATCACATTGCATTGTACATCCTGATGATGGAATCTCTAGAATATCGCCGGGTACCAAATATTTTGTGTCAATCGTGAAGCTTGTCTTGTCTTCTTGAATCACTTTTGCTGTATCTGCATTGAATACTGTCGCATGAAGTGCTTTTTGATTCTTCAATGTTTGTCGAATGGAGAAGAAAATCCCGAAAGCTGTCATGAGAATGATGACACAAGCGTAGTAATAATAATTGTAAGTAAACCAGAGAATAACAGAAAACACTTGGAATACATAAAAAGGATTCAAAGCTTCGAGAAACAATAACGTCATCCAACTTTTAATTGGCACATCGATTTTATTATCGCCATAAACTAAACGTCTGTTGAATAAAGAATTCAATTAATTTGTAATTTCGTTGAGAAATAAATTTCAATTTTACCTGATGTCTCTCGTAAAACTTGATATCGCTTTCTGTTTATGAATTGTCAAGCTCGGAACATTCTCATCCAATCCTTTCAGCTTTGCAAAACTTAATGTTTCTACATCCCAGATGTAACGAAGCTTTTTACAAATGAAAAATCGAACCGAATCAACTCCTAAAGTTGAATGAAAAACAATTCGTGATTGAGACATAAAATTTTTAACTTCATTTTTACGATAAATAACTCACGTCGAAATTTTCCATCTGACAAATGAATTTCGAGTTGACGATAAAATTCATTTTCCATGTCATTTGAGTGATCTATAAAACGTTCACTAAAGCACTCATCGAGTTCCGCTTTTTTTACAGATTCACTGAATGGAAGAAATTAGAAATCAGCAAAAAGGAATTGAAATGATAAGAAGATTAAGTTACCCAGTGGTATCACTCGTCAATGTTGTGACAATCTTCACATAATAAATCGTATGTTTTCCTTGAAACTTCTCCTTCACTAAAACTTTTTCAGCTTCTTCGAGTGAACATGGCTTGTGAGTTGCAAGCAACAGCCAATGACTCCACCAATGCATCACAAGACGCAATATTCCTAACGTCATAACGACGCACACATAACATAAAAATGTACGAAATTTCGACTTTTTATATCCATAAACGAACATCTCATCTTCTTGATCCTTGTTAAGGATGCCTTCATGAAGATTCCCACGAATGTTGGCATCTTGCGATGAAAAAGATGAAGAAATAGAACGATAATTAATAGTAGATGTGCCTAAAGAGTTAATTTGTGTGTGTGTTTGTGTATTTATTTGTTGTTCAGTGAAGAATCGAAGCAGTTAGAAACAAAAGCATGAAAGAAAAGAAAAACAGAAAAAAAACATTGCAAAAAATAATAAAACAAAAAGTTTAGCAGATAAAGATGTTAGTAAAGCATTTGTTAAAGGAAATGAATTAGTAAAGAAAAGAATCTTACTTCATGATGATTCGAAATAAGTTAATTAACAGTAATGATGAGTAGTAATAAACAGCAAATCATAATAGGAAATGAGAAGATTAAAAGCATGAAATAAAATTCATCATTGGCTATTTAGTTAGATTCATGTGGTGAATTATTTTTTCAAATACTTAAATAACTAAATTATTACGTTAGTAATGGAAGTTTGGGTTGTCTTTTGTGGTTTTGATCATTAATATTTGTCCATAATTCAACTATTTGGTCACGGTGATTATAAGAATTCATCATTAAATAAATTACAGAAATATTCTGCAAGTTCATTCAATCGACAAAAATCTTTTCATTTAACTTGACATGTTTACAGATGGGAATCATTACAACATTATAATTTATATTGATAAAATGATTAAACTACATTCAATGTCTACAAACATAGAAAAAATATTTTTAAAATCATTCCGGAAACTGATAATCGTTGAATGACATTATTTCGTCATCATAAAATGATTTTATCGATTGCAATTTTTTAGTTCATTAAACTTTATCACTTGTCAAGTTTACGAGTGATTAATAATTTAGATCAGTGAGTAAATGTTGCTGTCAATGAAAAGCATCTGCTTCCAGTTTTAAATTTTCAACTTAAACTCATTCTTTGAAAGTTTACACAATTTTCCTAAGGATAACAATCCGTGATTTATGAAACTTTTTTGTTATTTACTTGACCTTTTACCAACAACAAATGAAAATATTTTGTTACTCTTTTATTTACATTTCTCTCTTGTTTGTAATGAACCATTTAAATTCTTTACCTTCCACGCGATTCTTAAAGCATCTGGTTAAGTTTAATAACATTATTTGATTATATTTCTCGTGGCTTTTTAAAGTCTTTTTTATTTTTCTTTATTGTGCAATTATCTCAGAATTCCTTTCCACATCACCAAAACAGTTTGCCTTCAATTGTGTTTTTTTTTCTCTTTTTAAACATAAATTTCATCTATATGAAGTGTCACCATCAGGTTCTCTTTAACTAAACCGATTACACCTGACACTCAAAAACAACTGAACAATGAAAAACCCTGCAAACGATCGCGAGTTTCGGTGTAAAACGTGAAGGTCGATTGAGGTGTTCAATCAAATCATTGAGCTACTCAATAAATGTGTAAGTCCTCCCTTAATTAATTTTAACCTTCTTTGACTTCTCTTCCCATAATTCATCTTCTTCATTCACAACAATCCTAACATTAAAAGTAAATTAAGCATATATAGCCATTTTTTGCACTCTTTAATGATGTAAACTCAATAGGTGTATTCACTTGTAAGAAGAATTTTGTAAATGGCAACCGGCAAAAACTTGTTCCATTCTTTCCATCTTATTCATCATTTAAAGTAATTTCACTTGAGTATTTATGTTCAATGAGGCAGTGACATCGAATTTTCAAGATTGAAAAACTTGTCATTTTCTGCACTTAAACTCTTTTCAACTTGTTACTTAATTACACGCATCGAAAGTTAAACGAGTTCGTGGTTATTGCTATCTATCTACTTTCTGCAACCTTTAAAACAATTCACATTGACCAACCGTGTACATGAAATATATTTTTAATACTTTGTTGTTAGTTGTACGATAAATAAGTTCAGTTTTAATCGGTAGTTGCTTCTCATTCAACGGTTGGCAAACAACTTGTGAACAAAGTCAGGAGAAAAAAGTTTTTAAAACTCAAAAAAAAAACTTTTTGCTCGATGTTTAATGAAACAAATGAGACTTTAGCTACAGTTAACACCAGCTAAGTACACAAACAAATTAAAAAAGAGAAGCTTTCGTCACTGTCAGGAAATTACTAAGCCTCAAACGTAGGGTTTTCGATTGACAACCTCAATTAATTGGCAACAATGGAATTAAGGTAATTAATTGACATCCTTAAAGTTTTCTTTTGAATAAGGAGGTTGCTTCGATAATTTTGATGGATTGTTTCTGCTAAATGCAACATTCAATTATCACAAAACAAATAATATGTTATTATAATTCATACATTACCAATTTACTAAGTAATTGAATTTTCCCAAGTCAATCATTTCGTGATGTATTGTGATTGAATAAAATTTAAATTAACTCCTGATTTATTGGATTAGATAGTGATTCTCCAGGGAATAATAGAAATTATTATAAAATCGTTCTCGTCATATCAAAAATATTGATTGAGAGAACTCAAATGTTATTGAGCAATCAAAAAAATACCAGTTAGATATGTAAATTGAAAATTGCTTGAATATAAAAGTGACTAAATTACCGTACACTCGTGCAACACGATTAATTTATTATTTAAACTCATAAATATGACGTATTAAAAACTATTGCAAAACACGTGTCGCGATTTCACCGAAATGTTGCTGGACTTTTTTTAGTATCAAAATTTTAACTTTCAGTTACTTATTAAGAAAAGTGAGTTCATTAACCATTTACTGAAAAAAGAAATATTAAGAAAATTTTATCAAAAGATTGGTAATTTTTTGAAAGGTTTTCGCTTTTCTTTATCTTTAATCCAAATAGAATTTCTTTTCATGAATCATGAGAATGATAAGCTGAAAATGTGACACACATCGGAAGCAATATTTTATGTTTCACAATAATTGTCTTTAATTGTATTGACAGTTAATTGAAGACTTTAATTAAAAATATCGGCACAAATATTACTCTAAGACTTCATTCATAAACAAAGCCATTCAAGAAAACAAAATAAAGTTTAAGCAAGGCAAATATTGCTCAATAGAAGAAAGCGATAAGATAAGAATATGAATAGATTGACATGAATGTTTTACTCTTATAGTTTCAAGCAATATGTTGTGTAGAAATAAACATTGAGATAACCAAACGGTTTAGAATCATTTATCATCTTTGTTTAACTCACAAACTCTTATGCAAAATAATCTTTTCAAGAAGTGAATAAGGAAAAACCTTCTACGTCTCCATGCTACATTTTTCAAGCTTCGAATTGCTTTTATGCGTAAAAGTTTTGAAATTGCTTTCATTTAAATGCAAATATATTTGAATTTTTAATTACTTTTAATGACTATAAAATTTGTTTCAATTAAACTTTTACACACTTTTTGCTAAAATGTATTCTAAACACTTGACGAACAGTCTGGTGATTTAAACTCTCGTAAGCGTTATCAGTGATATTAAAACAACTTTCAAGGCTTCAAAAGTTGATAGATAAAATTTTTCATCTCACTCTTTTCCGCCGAAGCTTTATCATTTTTCGAAGCTCAAAATATGCAGACACGACGGATAATTAACACTTTCATCACTTGAAGCATGTGGTTGTGAAGCTTCCCCAAAGTATTTTCTTATCAATTTTTTTTGTTCAAAATTCGCTGATAAGGTTTCATTGAGTCGTTAGTGTCAATGTCGTTAAGAATGTTGAGATGAGGGAATATTAAGCTTCTCTTTTTATTCATTCTCCGAAGGATAAAAATAAGCAAATCGGGTAGGAACGAAAGGATGAAGAAGAAATTAAATAAATGGCAAAGGATAAGAAGTAAAATACATTATAATAACATTAAGCTTAGACATTAGAAAAAGGTCAGTTGTGTATATGAATCCGTTCCTAAATGTGTGCAAAAACAAATATGAAAACTAGAAAATTTATGTTTTGTTGTTTTAACAAATCCATTTGATTATCATGAGATTTAATGAAGAATCATTTGAATTATCAGGAAACACTTTTATTGATCCAAAACCAACCCAAAAAACTTCCATTATTGTATTAATGAATTAAGAAATATTATGAAACTCACCTCCAAGCAAATTGGCAAACTGCTCATCAGGAATCTCAGCATTTTCACGCTGTTGATGTTTTCTAGGCGACATACGACCAGCTTCCATCTTGCACCTTCGTTCGCGATTCCACGAAAAGCAGTTCCAAGAAGATGAGTTATTCATTCTTTCTTGACTAACTCAACTATTTCTTGCTTCACAAAGCTATTTCGTAATTGTTTTTGTGCAACAATGTGCACTAATTTAATTCGTTTTTTCTCTTTCAACACAATTCCTTAATTAATTTGTCTCTCTTTTTTTATAAATTTTGTTCAACACTAAAAAAGTGTACGAGAAGCTTGTCACTTCTCGTTTAATTATTCTGACTGATAATAAACTTTTAACGAGAACAGAATCTCAATAACTTATTTTGTTTCTTCTCTTGTCTCTTGTATACTCAGCACAAACACTCTCAATAGATTCTTTCGAAATATTTGAATATTTAATTATTTATGTCGTGTCGTAAGTAAAGAAGACTAAATAATGTCACAAACACTTCAAAGAGTCTTTTTTCTCTCTAGAATGATTCACACACTACAATTAGCATAACAACAATAAAAAAATATTATTAAGTAACTCGATAATGTACTGATTAGGATTATGAGTCTTAATTGTTTGTTTTAATCAGTAAATGAGAGAACTGAAATTTAAGTAACGCAAGGTAAAGATTTTTTATTTCTTTTTTTGGCCACTAATAGTTGATGAAATTGAATAAGAAGCACACTGTATGTCTAACGTAGATAGAGTCTTTTATGTGAACGCTTTAAGAGTGCTATCTGCCCATTTTATAACGATAATCCAGCAAGAGATCTTGAAGCAACAGAAACTTATGTTTCTCATAAACTAGTCATATGCTACGGCAACTGATGCTTTTAAAGTCGTTTCAGGAATGTCAGTCTCCTGGATCAATGCGAGTCTTCCAACCAGCCAACAAGAAGCTCGACATGATAACCTTACTGCAGTTTTGGTTGCTACTATTGTGCGAGAGAAAACTGTGATGAGATGATGATAAATTCGTGGGAAACTTCAAATCTTTATCAGTTGATTCACACTTTCCACAAAACATTACGAGTATACTAAAAAAAAAGAAAAAGAAAATGAAATTTTACATCTATGTTCGAATATTTCATGATCAGAAACCTTGGGGCGGCGTTCAAATGAAATATGATATAAGAAAAAGAAGAAAAATGTCACATTGTGATGTAACGATAAGTGATTTTAAATTGATTTCGATTTTAGGCCCGAAACCAGATTCAACTAGACATTAACATTGATTCTAACTTTGTCACATTTTCGATGTTTTCTTCCTTGTCTTCTCCATTTTATGCATCTAATGAATAATTTTGAATCGCAAAACAAGTTCCAAAGAAAGAAAAATCCTTCTTTATGATTATTCACGTTTTACTCACCAAAAAAAAAAACTAAGTTAATAAAAACGAGCAGGTAATTTCCGGAATAACAATGACTAATTTAGTCACACTCACTGACTTTTCACTAAAGCAATACACCAAAAAGAAGAAAAGTTTAAAAATGTGGCTATGCTTTTTAACTTTTCCTTTAATGCTTCTTTTTGTCACTCGGTTTTAACCTTTCTTTTAAATTAAAATAATTGTTCTAGCTTTAAATGATTGATTAAAATCTTTGACCGTTTTAAATTAATAATTATAAAAGCGTTTCCATCAAATTGATTCATTGTTGTAACTCAAATTCAATTTCTTTTAATTTTTCCAAATTTTCAACTTCAATTTTTCACTTGAAATATTCACTTTTTCGGGGATAATATCAATTGGAATGATTTATTTATTTCTTTCTTATGATTATAGCGATGACTAAAACACGTGAAACCTTCGATTGAAGTGAGAATTTCCTAATTTTAGTAAATTGCTGTTTTTATGCCTTCCAAGTTTTTAAAATTTCATAGACAGACTGACAAAAACCAATTTCCATTCTGTGCTGTCACTTTTGCGAAGATTTTGCATTCTTATCACCATAGTTTTATACCCTCAACATATGTTTCATACCCACTCACAGCAAATTGGTTCCAAAGCTCATTTGTAAATAAACAAACTTGTTTTTTAATAAAAAAAATGGCAGCACAGTCAGCAGCTCATTTAACAACAAGCAATGTTGACAAGCCATCAATATTTGAGCTTGTCGCATCCCATTCTCTTGATTCAACATTCTATCCAGCACTGAAAAGAATTGCAACAGTAGGAGCAAACTTGTTTACATTTTCTTGTAAAAACAAATAATTTTTTTGCTTTATTTCAGTACTTAGGAACAATCAACCCAGAACGTTATGGCAAAATATTGAAACATTATGATGAAATATTCTTAATTTTGAATGGAATTGTGCAGAATTATTATCTAAAGAAACATGGTAAGTTCGACCTATTACCTAATGACTCATTTATATTCCAACAAACAGATCACCTTCAAAATGTGTTACTTTTTGGATAAAAACATTTAAACTATCAACTTTCTCTTTTGTAGGTGGTTCATTATCGGAATCGTTTTATGGCCTTACACGTTACAATCTGTCAAGTAAACATTTTTCCAGACGTGATCATTTGATGTCTCTTCTAATTCTCGTCATCATTCCTTATTTGTCTCGAAAATTGGAGATAAAAATGACAAAACTTAAGGAAAAGTTACAAGATGAAATATCTACTGAAGATAAATATAAATTGTTGGGACTTTATAGCTATCGATCAATGAAAGCTTCATTTGAATTCGCACAAATCATTAAATACATTATGTACCTGTCTGGATTCTCATCAACACATTCAATTCAGTTAATGGTCGCACGAATTGGTTTGAGACATTCTTCATATCAAGAAGAATCATTTAAATTATCAGATATCTTCAGTGGTAACGTTAAATTGTCAACAATTCTTAGTTCTCTGATGCTTCGAGGATTAGAATTTGGTGGATTTTTTTTGCAATTCATCCAGTGGTGGCAAGACAGCTCAACATCTCAAAAATCAATTGCTCAACTTCCAATTCCTGACCCTCCGATTCTTGATCAAATCGCCAACAAGTACATAAACATTTGTCCAATATGTCTTCAAAATTTTTTAATTCCTACAACTTTACAAATCTCTGGTTACGTTTTCTGTTATAAATGTATAACTAAACATTTGAAAAAACATCAGTATTGTCCTGTTACCAACTATCCAGCAACAATGGATGATTTGATAAGAATATACGATAGTTAAACTTAAGAAATGAAAGGGAAAAAGAATTTGACTTAAATCGGGTATTTTTTTTAATAAATTTTATTTTATTAATTTATATTTTATAATATAAGCTGGTTTTCAATTATTCTTGCATTTTATTAGTTTCCAACTGATTGCTTGAATTCATCGACTTTCGTTTCTTCTTTTTCATATTCTCCAACTCTTCTGGAGTGTAATTTACCACTTTGACTCTTTTTCCTTCTGAATATTCTTCTTTTGACGGTTGAGTTTCCATCTTTCGTTTAGCAGGAGTGCCAATGTATGATCCTTTACCTGCTGCTAAATCAGCTTCTTTTTCTGTGTAAGGTTCATCTTGTAGAGCTTTTAATCGTCGTTTATGAACTTTCGTTTTGAAATGATCGCTCAGTGCTCGTTCATTGATGAAATATTTAGCGCAGTGAAGACAATAATTTTGTGCAAATCCTGGCTGATCAAGGTCAACGTCTTGATTCAACAGATGATCTGATTTATTTTTCAAGTCATGGTCAATCTTAAAATAAAGATATTTAGTAAACCTAACAAAATTTACTTCACGTGTTCATGAAATGATTTCACATTTTGTGATTATTTTAAATACCTGATCTAAATCTTTTGTTTTTCTACGGAGTCTCAATCTCCTACGAAGTCTTGTGTGACCATCATGCATTCGTTTTCTTGCATATCCTCCCGGCATATTTATTTGATTAAATATTTTCTCGTTTAACTTCGAGTCTGATCAAAACAAAATAATCTAGGGGGTACAAATCTTTAAACTATATAATTTCAGGGGGTAAGCTACTTTTGAAAAACTTGCATTTGGTTGTCAACTTCGATGCACATTCGTAACAAACCAAAAATTAAGAAAAGTACCTAAATAATATCATCGGTTTCAAATCAACTTAATATCTGACTTAAAATTTATCTTCCTTTCTGATTTCAAGATGCTTTCTGATGGCTCTTCATCCCCGGAAATTCTCGTTCCTGCTCAATTTAGAAGAAAACAAGAAATGCTTGCTAAGATGTATTTGAAGAGCATTGAGAATTTTTTAGAAAACAAATTAAACGAAAAAGCAAAAGATGATATATTATGGGAGCAGATCCGTTCAACACTAACAAATATAAGAATGTTTTTTCTTGGAAAGAATCCAAAATTCGTTACCACCATAGAAGCGTTGGAAGCGATAGAAAACTATCTGAAGGTTCAATTTCTACCAAAAACTAAAAAGCAAAAAAAACCAGTATTCATAGACTTGACACAATCAGACGATGAAATTGAAAATGCAGATGAAAATAGCAACGACTCAGGTTTTGAACATCTTCCTTTCATAACTCCTAAAGAAGAAGTTCTCGATCCACCGATTTCGAGCTCCACAGATTTAAGAGGCCTTCAAACAGATGACATCGTAAACGATGAAAGTTCTGAAAGTTTACAAAATACGTATCAAGATTCACATGAACCTCAGCCTTCAACGTCAACTGCTTCAGTTAATGTTCCAATAATGAATCGTCGAAAATCTGTTGGATGCCGCCCTACAATGGACTTGCCTTCGATAGCCGAGTATAAAATCAAACATAACACATTAAGACCTTCGTCAACTTATGCAAAGCCAAATTTAGAGAATCATCAACCTCGTAATATTATTTCTTTACCTGATAAAATTGTTCCAAAAGTTTCGGAGCCATGCACGTCTTCCGCTGCTGCAAATACGAAAGTACAAAATAACAACAATAATAAACCTGTTCCTAATAAAAAACATCTCGGGACCTTAAAAAAATTCGATCCAAAAGAAGAAGCAATAAAATTAGATGGAATAAAGGAAAGACTCTACATAAAGAATTATCTCGGCATATTAAGAAAGGAAGAAATAGAAAAAGAATGTCGAGAAAAACTTTCCAGAGAGATGGAAGCAAGAAAACAAGAAGAGAAAAAAGAAAAGCTTAGAAAGCGAAGTAAATCTCTTTGCATTACGAATAACAGAAGCAAGCCAAGAACAATACCAAAGAACAAACAAATAAATCCTGAAAATGAATCTCAAATTATTTCACCGACAGTCTACGATAATATTGACAAAGAACTTGCATTACTCAACAGTTCATCACCATTTAACGTGAACAATAATTCGAGAAAGAGAAGAATTGAAAGTAAATCAAGTTCAGATGGTGAAGATGAAATTTATGACCCGAGAGAGACTCGTGAATTAGTTGCCAAAGAAATTACCATTCCTAAGAAATCAATGCGATTAAGATCAAAATCTTTATACTATGAACCAAAAAAAACTACACCAGAACATGATGATGAATATGATTTGCTTCGTGAAATCCCTGGTAAAGTTATTCGTATACCTGGAACCAAAAAACTGCCAAAACGTCGAAATGCTATTGACGAACCAATAGAAATATTGACTCCTGTAAAGGCTGAATCTGATGAGTATGAATCAAATCAACAGGTTGATTAAAGATGAGAAAACTAAAAGTTTATTTCGATACTAAAATGTTTTCTTTTTCGATGATTTTCTTGTATTGAGTAAAAAATATTACATAGTTTAAAATTGCAAACAAAAAAAAAGAGAAACACAAATGATAAGATATGAGAAATTAATAAGTCTGTGGAATCAAATGTCAGTTTATGAAAATTTAACTTCATAAGATAACATTTTATGAACTTTCTAGTATTATTTTGGTTTATAAATTAAAGAAAGAATATATTTTCAATGTAATCGCTTTTTATGATTAATTATGTGAAGATTTATCAGACTAAGTGCAGCAATAAAAAGAAAAATCAAAAACAATTATCGGGGGAATTCAAGAATCATTTCGTGGAAGTGATTAATGAAATAGAATTATTGAATAATTAAAAAATAGTGAATCATACCAGAGAACTTTTCCTCCTATCCACATATCCACAATCCACTTGATCCTAAACATTACAAATGACTGCATAAATGATATTTTATAAGCTTCTTCCTATTATCCAAATTAAATCCTTTTTCCTTCATTTTACTTTCCCTCGTTGTCCAAAGACAAAATCCTTCTTTTTTCTTAATTTATTTTTCACTTCACACGATATTAAACTCGCGATTTTCGCGCACGTTTTCGCGATTGAATAAAAGAAAAATAGCAAAAATGTTTTAGAATATTTTCCTTGAATCCTCCAGTAGTGTAATTTGAAAATGATTAAGAAAGTCGTTTTCTTGAAGGGGAGAAGAGAAGCAAGTTTCCTTAAAATCCTGATTCCAAACGAGAACATGAAAAAGGGAAAATATGTGTGAAGAAGTATCCTGAGCTTCTTATAGAAAAATGTCCTTTTAAGAATAAGAGTAAACACGCGCGTGAAATGAAATTAAAATTCTTCCTTTGTATCTAAAGAAATAAAAGTTAATATCGAAATGGGGAAATATTTTATCAATCCAATGAAAATCCCACGGAGTCCATTTAAATCATTCTTTTCTCTTCCCGCGTAGTCCCTTCCTGAATTACAATCCACACATTGTGCTAAATCATCCTAACATCCCTTACATCAAAATCCTTTCCTACTATCTTTCTCTTTCTCTCAAACTCCCACTCTTAAATTGTGTTGGGAAAGAAAAAAAAATAAAAGAAAAAAGAAAATTACTTAATTAATTATCAGGAAAATATTATTCTTTGTTTTGCATGATTTTAAGTGTTAATTGCTAATGGATTATTTGTTAATTAGTTTTTTTCTTCTTTTGTTAGTTATTACAATTATTTTGTTTCGCCTTTTCATTTCTTTTTTTGATCATCATATGGTGTTAAGAAATATTAAAATTTACAAAAAAAATTGTTTTGTTTTTATCTCTTCACATACTTAAAGCAAGCATCGCAAGCGATCTCCAGAATTCTTTAAGATCAAATTGTTTGCTATGGCACGAATAGAGAAAAAGAGAGAAAAATCTTTAAATTTCTGTTGGGAATGTGACGATATGGTCTGTGAGGGGAAAGTTATCTAATCTTGCAAGTTGATTGTATTGAATATTAGTAATGAAGCTATTTGTAAAGAAAGAAATTGATTAAAATTAAAAACACTCAAAAGTCGTGCCAAAGGATGCGATTCGTTTTATATCGCATTTTAATAATTGAATGATCGTGATCGACTACGTGAAACGCGTGGTCTGAAATCACTGTATACCGGTGAACCACGACGACGTGCGACTGGTGAGCGAGATCGAGATTTGAAGCTTCTGAAATATTAAAAATTGAGAATTAATTTATAATTTTAATTTTATCACTTAATAGAAGCTTTACCCATCACGATAATCTTTACGGTCGCGATCTTCATACGGCAATCCACCGTCTTCACGTATTCGGATGTATGCGACTTCTCCCTCATGACTTCGAAAACGTGAATCGTCCAGTTTTTTAATCGCATATTTCATATCCTCATGACGTAGAAATTCAACGACTCCAGTTCCATCTTTGTATACATCAGCGAAACATACATCACCTGCTTCCCGCATATGATCCTTGAGATCCTGCCATGAGCCTGATGATGGTAAACCTGACACAACCACACGGAATTGTGAGCGTCGTGCTGTTGGTCGATTTCCTCTGTCCCTGTTTGATCCTCGATCACTGTTAGATCGGCCACTTCCTCTGTAAGAACTTCCTGGACCTCCACCTCGTGGAAATTCAACACGCAGTTTGTATCTGGATTATGGTGGAAAATATTGATTATCTAGTTAGAAAGACAATCAGAGAAAGCTTTTGTTTACGCTTCACTTACCCATCATAGTCGTAGTTATTACGAGCTTTTACTGCATCAGCAGCATCACGATGGTCTTCAAATTCAACAAAAGCGAATGGTGGTCCTGGTTTAAAAATACAATTATTATTTGCTTTTCTTGTAAGCTTATAAATAATCAAATGTTTTTTTACCTCTTCGGTTCTTTAAATCAACAAAAACTACTTTTCCAAACCGGTAGAAAAGATCTTCAACATCTTTGGTACGTATATCCGGAGGTAAATTACCTACATAAATACGACAATCGTTTCGCGAACTCATATTTCAACTTTATTTTATATTTTTGTGTTTCACCGAGAAAATGATGCGATCTCTGAGGGCTTTTTGAGATTTGCAAGGGGTATGGAAGTAGAGCACATGTCTGCGTACCCCTCATATTAAGAACGGTTCAATTTAGTGATCTAACAGTTCAAATCCGTTAAATTTGAATTTGAATTTCATTTGTTTATCAATCAAAGTTAACTTTATGACAAAAAATATAAATTTTATCTCTTAAAATGAGTCCTTCGAAAAAGAAAAAGCGTTCTTCAGTAAGTTATCATATAATTTTATAGAAATTAAGTGAATTTAATTAACATACATTAATTACAGATATTGAAAAGAAGACAATCATCACTTGATTCTCCAGAAGCGACAACAACAGCAAGCGCGCTTCCAAAAAGAGGAATTCTTTTTAAGAAAACTAATACTGTAAAGTAAGTGTCATTTAGAAGTTAAATTAAGTTCATTTTTAAATTGATTTGCTTCTTTTATAGAGAATTTATACACTGCGATGAGCGGCCAACAGTTTGGGGAAATTCTTATGAAACATCAATTGCAAAATCTGAAGGATCGAGTGATGGATCAACAGCTCAAAAAATTAGCTTTGACTTCACAAATACATACATTCATACATCCACCAGTTCGACACTATGCGAAGTCGATAAAGAAAATTTCATAGCTTCGCTTGCTCCACCAGAAATTTACTCAGAACCGCAGAAGGTTGATCGAGAGTCCACGTCGTTGAATAACTCACAAGGAAGTAGCTTGAATCTTGATAACGTTACAGTGCCAATGATAAATGATGAAAAAATTCGTTTGAAAAAATACGAGCCTGAAAATCTCAACTTAACAACGTTACACGACGCATCCAATTATCTCGCAGCTGGATCATCGAGGTCACTCAATAATCTCATATTGTCACCACGTAAGACAGTTGTATATCATGATAAACCAACTGACATTGTTGTTTCCATTCACGACAAGGTATTTGTCAAAAAAGATGACATTTCGATAAGTTGGGAGCATAATGACATTTCATCTGATCTTGTCAAAAGTTGCTCAAATCGAATAACAACTTTTGCCAACAACACGATGAATATTACGTTAGAAAACGAAGAAAAGAAAGTTCCATCAGTTTTTAAAGAACCAAAATGTTTCAAACCACCAGAAGAATTCACAACAATTCCAAAACATTTGACAAATCTTTCAACTAATTTCAATTCGCCACCAATCAAAACTCCCAAACTAAATCATCAAGAAATTATTGTCGATGATTTTATGGATTTGGTAGTTTCTGAGACACCAACAAAAAATCTATGTCCACAAATGTGCATGGTAAAGAAACACAACATCACACCAATGGCACTTGACACTCAGCCACCAGCTAAAGTTGTTTATTCCACCTCAAAATCGAGTTGGTTGAGAAAACGAAATTTATTAAATGATTCGAGCAAAATGGATTTAGAAACTTCTGTGAAAATTTCCCCTTTGAAAGCACGAGAAACAATTTTTCAAGAAAAAGAAGTTGAAGAAACTTTTCTTGAAAAGACAAACCTTAAAGTTGAAGCTAATCGTGGGACAATATTTGAGAAGACTTTAACACCTGAAATTTCTTCACTTGTCGTGAGTTTACCACCAAACCATCGTGCACGAAAAACTCTCTTCGATGATGACATCGATGAAACTATAGTAACAAAAACTGATGAAAAAGAAAAGGAAAATGAAATGTTTTTCGATTTGGGAGCTGATGAGACGATAAAAAGTACAAAAAACATGACATTAACCAAAGTTATAGATCTTCCATCAATATTTAAGGCAACTAAGATTGAAGAAGCGAACAAAACTGTCAACCTCAGTGACATTTCATTAGCATCAAACTTTGGAGGACAAAGTCAACGATTATCAACAATGATGAACTTTTCAGGAATAAACGAGACAGGAATATCTGAAACAACTGCTGAAATTGCTGCTAAAGCCGCTCGTCTTTTAGCAAATCCAATGGCAACAACATCATCGAATAGTAATTTGTTCTCAAGAACATTTCAAGCTGACACACCAATTGATGAATTGTGTGGAAGTTCACTTCATCAACGATCATTGCCAGCACAGGAATGTCGTGCAAGAAAAACAATTCTTGATGGAAATATGTCATTAAATGTGAATGAAATGAAGCGAGATGGAAATGAAGTGAAGATCACTTCTGATCTTGAAATTTCTGGAATTGAGCCAAGCGTCGAAAATCCTAAAAATCCTCGTGCAACAATTTTTGAATTGACAGCAATGGAAGAAGAACCAATTGCAATAAAAAGTAATGAAGAAGCGTTAATTAAGAAAAAGAATTCAAGACAAACAACTTATGATTGTCACAGTATGATTTCTTCAGACAACGAATCAATTAATGAGATTAAAACACTTCCAACTACAGAAAATACAAAGAATATCGAAGAAGGAAATGTGAAAAGCAGACAAACAATTTATGATAATCAAAATATCACTCTTACGCCAAAAATGAATGATCTTTCCATTGAAGAGAAGGTTTCAAAGCCAAACATTAAATCGAGAGAAACGATTTACGGAAATCAAACAATTTGCGATATTTCTAATGTTGTTGAAGAGATGGAAGATGGCGGAGTGAAGATTGAAGTGGTTGAGAAGGAAAAGACGTCAAGACAAATGATTTTCGGAGATCAAACGATTGTTGATTCGCCAGCAGTTCCTGAAACACTTCCTAAGGCATCAACATCGACCAGACAAACGATTTATGAAAATGAAATGATGACCGATTCGCCAACAGTTCCTGAAACACTTCCTAAGCCATCAACGTCGACTAGACAAACGATTTATGAAAATGAAATGGTAACCGATTCACCAGCAGTTCCAAAAGTATTTCTTACAACAACATCCACCAGACAAACGATTTTTGGAAATCAAACAATTTCTGATATTTCTGGCATAGCTGAAGACATGAACGATGGCGATATGAATATTGAGGTAGTTGAGAAGGAAAAGACGACAAGACAAACGATTTACAGAAGTGAAATGATAAATGATTCGCCAGAAGTTTCTCAAACACTACTTAAGCGAATAGCATCGACCAGACAAACCATTTATGCAAATCAAACAATGATTGAAAGTCCAAAGAACTCAACAGAGATCGTTGAAAAGAAGAAAGTTGAGATTGCAATTTATGAAGATTCGATAATTGAAGAAGAAATAACAGAAAAACCGGAAATTGTTGTTGAGGTGAAGAAAACTGTTTCAGGTGAAGAAAATTGTGTTGATGACGTTCCAAGATGCGCTCCTTTCGATGCTCCATTCAGATTTCATCAACAATCTCTCAAATCTCTTGCTGATCATTCTGGTTTTGTTGATCTTATTCCATCACCTGAACGTCTTCTTGATGGTGGAATGTTTCCAATTATTTCACCACCACAAGATTTTGTATCGAAAATTTACGATGTTGATTCAGAAATCACAAATTTAGATGAAGAAAAGTTTTCAATTTCTAATCATAAAAATTCGAAACGTCAAACAATTCATGAAGAAGTTTGTATGGAAATTGAGGAAGTTTCAACAGTTGAAAATGATCGGAAAACTGTAAATCATCATGTTGAAATGGAATCAACATTTAAACATCCAAAAGTATTAAAAAATGTTAAAAAGCGACAAACAACATTCGAAGAAACTCAAATTGAAAAAGAAAATCTGGAACTGAATAACGAAAATCAAACATTTACTGTCAAAAATGATTATACAAAGTTGATGAACATTACAGATGCTGATTTAATGCTTGAAAATGAATCTTTTCCATCGATGCTTGAAAATAAATCTGAAGACTTTGAAGTATGCAATGCAAGTTATCACAATGCACTTCGAGAGTTTGTTAACGTTTCGTTATCAAATGCGGCATTGCAAGCTTCACCACCTCCGATTGAACCAACAAAGGCAAAAATAAAGAAACGAACATTTCGTCGACCGATTGATATGAGCATGAAAGTTGAAGATGACATCGAATCACCAGAGAAAGTCACACATCAATCACATCTTGATATTGACAAGTTCTTGGAGAATCTGAAAATTCGCCCTGCTGTAACAATTCGAGATGTTCCAGAAATTGATTACAATTTTATTAAGAAAAATGCTTCGAGAATAAAATTGGAGCGACTAGCAATGAAAGCAGAATCAGAAGAAAGAAAATTGACAGCAATAAAACAATTTCCAGAAATTCCTGAATATAAATTTCTGATTGCCAATCAGTTAGCAGCGTAAGTTGTAATTAATCATTTCAAACATTTCTTCTCTAATTTTTCTCTATTTTGTAATTAATCATTTCAAACATTTCTTCTCTAATTTTTCTCTATTTTTTTCATAGAATGGATGAAGAAATTGAAAGAAAAGTTCAGGAAAGATGCTTCATTACGCCAGTGTTTCCACTTGCATGCAATTTTGAAGTTTTGCTCAAGAATAAGTTTGAAACTGATGAAAATTTAATTCAAAACTGGAAGCTTGATTTGATCTTCGCACACTTGAATCATATCAAATTGAAACACAGAGCAATGGAACCTTTCAAAATTGATTTTACAATCGCCAATCCAACGAATAATATTGATCAAAGTACAATTGCAATTCATTTTCGTAATGTTCTCATGTATCGAAATCCATCATATCGCGATTGTAAACAACATTGGGGATTTCGTTTGATTCTTGTCACTGAAGAGTTTCTAAGAATCGTTGGAACTGACATTCTTACACAATTCTGTCCGACGATGAATCATTTCTTTGACTTTCTTGATAAATATCATGGGAATGTCATGAAGGCAGTGACTATTGTGAAGAATCTCTTTGACATTATTAAAAATTATCATGCGATTATTGAAAAAGATGAAGAAAGGTGAGAATTTCATTATTTTAATTTTATTTTTGTCTTTAATTTTACTTTTACATCATCAGTCAATCTCTTCATATTATCAAACGCCATTTCACTCATAACAACGAGGACATCGTTGACGTAGAAATCTTGTTAATTCCTGGTCATCTTGAAGATACAAATGTGAGACATGTTAAGGTGAAGTCACTGACACGTTGCGATTGCGAACACAAAGTAACGCCACGTCCTAACTTAATCAACATGACTGGTCTTGTCTTAATTGAAATTATTTTGTTTGATATTGAAAAGTTTTTGCAAGAACATACGCAAAGTGTTTATTTGACGTGAACTTTATCAACAATCATTTACAATCCAATATTTATGAATTTTTAAAAAGAAAATAAACGTAAAAGAAGAAAAATAAAATTTTGTTTTGTTTAAACTTGATGACGACGAAGATTGCGTTCAGCTAGGGCGATTTGAAGTTCAAGAAGTCTTTCCTTCTTCTTTAGGACAGCATTTTTCAGAAAAACGTTTTCTTTTCGAACTCGATCAACTTCTGATGTTATTGAAGTGTTTTGTTGTGGTGTTTGGAACTGAAAAAAGATAAATTAAAAATTTGAATTTAGTAGAATAAAAATTTTACTTACTTCGTCAAGAATATCGTAATCATCGATTATATCTGAATAATCTTCAACCGTGACTACTCTTGCTTGCTGTTTTGGCGTTTTCTCAACAGTCTTAACAAATTTTACTTTTGAACGTTCATTTTTTGTCTCTGGCACTATCGTTTCATCTTGTGATGATTCTAAATGAACTTCTTCGTAGGTAACTGCTGAGTCTGTTGCATCATTTTCCTTTTTAAAACGAAGAGCTTTCAAGTTTTTATATTTTATCTTCAGCTCATACATGTCTCTATGGCCATTAAGGTCGGCTTTATTGAACTCTTCGGTAATGATTTTCCAAGCATTTTGCCGCAGTCCGAGAGACTCTCGAGTTAGTGATGTTTCCAAACTTAAAAAGTGCTTTTGTAGAAGTGATTGTAAAAGTTCTACCTCCTCATCTGTGAAGGTTTTTGATCGTTTACGTTTCTGTCAATTAAATTTTTATAAGAAGGAAAGTTAAGTTTGAAATTTATTATATCTTACGGATGATGGCTCGTCACTAATTTCGTCACCACAAATAGAATCTTGAGATGTATCCTGATTATCTTCCTTTGAATCCGATAAATTCATTCTCTTTTTAACAGCTCTTAAATTTTTTAATTTCATTCTTAAAGTTTCGATGTCACGTTTCGTTCCAGGACAGCTCTCATTAAAATTTTTGTAAACGATGCCCCAACCCTACAGATTTATCATAATAAATAACATAAAAAAGTATGCAAAAATATAAACCTTACCTTCTTTTTGTTCTCCTGCTTTGGAGAATCAATCAAATGCTTATTTTCTTTTACAATATTTAATAGTAAATCAATTTCAACTTGATCGAAGTTTTCTGAGCGTTTTCTTTTATTATATTCCCGATCATTCATTATTTCCGCTGCTTCTATTAAACTTTAAACATAAATCGAATTTGTTCTTTAGTAAAATGGTTGTAAAGGTCTTTTTATCTGGATAAAATTTTAATTAAAAACTTCTCGAGACGAAAAAAACTAAAAATCTTTAAAAAGTTTGTTTCGTTGCGGGTTTGTTTTGAGTAGGAATTGTACCCCCTTCGTAGGGGGATAAAGAATTCGCGGGAAAATATTCAAAATTTTACTGCAACCCTGCTTTAACGAGAAAAAAAAGTTGATATGCACATAATGTACAAGCTCAAAACTTTTGTAAATCGCGTTAGTTTCAGTTGGACCTTCAAATGACTATGTAAACATTAAGAAAATAGTCTAAATATTAAATGTTTTTAATTTTAAAAGTGCTTCTATCTAAGCTTATCTAACTGTAATCTGTATCAAAAACAAGTAAAACGTTGCAATAAAATGAATGAAGTTGCAGAACAAAAAGGTCGTGGAAGACAACTTCAGAGTAAGGTTAATACAACCTCGCCATCGTCATCGTCATCAGGGAGTGAAAGACAAGACAATTCTTCTGATAGTGGGACTGTTCTAAAACGACGAAGAATTGAAGAAGACGATTGTCCAATTGAAAGAATAAAACAAAAGGCAAAAGACAGCAACAAACATGGTTCATGTGGAAGAACTGTTCAATTGAGCTCAAACTATTTTAAAGTTTCTGGCACACCACAATTCGAAATTTGCCTTTATCATGTTGAATTTAATCCTCAAATCGAATTGGAACGTTTGCGAAAATATTTTGTTGGATCTAAACGTGAAATTTTAGGTGGCTATTTATACGATGGAGCTGCGATGATTTATCTAACAAAGCGATTGTCACAAAATCATTTGGAATTTGAAATATCTGATAAAGAAGAAAAGAAGTATAAAATGACAATCAGATACACAAATAAAACAATAGAATCAAACAATAATATGGCCAATCAAATCTGGAATTTGATTTTACGTCAGATAATGAAAGGATTGGAACTTCAACTTGTGGGACGAAATTTATATGACCCAAAAAATAAAGTAAGTTTTAAAATGTTTTAAATGAATGGAATTAAAAAAAACTTCTTGTTTAGGTTTCTTTACCTCAATATGGACTCGAATTATGGCCTGGCTACATTACTTCAATACGTCAACATCAAGAAAACGTTCTGCTTTGCTGTGAAATGTCACACAAAGTTATGCGAACTGAAACGATTTTAGACATTATACGACGATACCAAAAAGAAAATTCTGAACATTGGCAAGATAATTTTAAACGTGAAATTATTGGATCAATTGTCTTGACCAATTACAATAATAAAACTTATCGAGTTGATGATGTTGACTTCAAATCAAAACCATGCGACACTTTTAAGTTTAAAGATCGAGAAATTTCTTATCAAGATTATTACGGAATGCGCTACAAACTTCACATTCGTGATATAAAACAACCAATGCTTGTTTCAAATCCAAAAGCACGTGATGTCAGAGGTGGTCGCAATCAGATCATCGTTTTGATTCCTGAACTCTGTTCTGCAACTGGCTTAACTGACAGAATGCGTGGAAACTTCAAAATGATGGCAGATTTATCAACACAAACTCGAATGGCTCCAGAAAATCGAAAATTCCGTTTGCTTGACTTTTCGCGACGTTTGCAACAATCAAACGAAAGTCAAGCGAAGTTAAATGAATTCAGTGTTGAAGTAAGCAGACAACCGATTACATTTCCAGGTCGTGTTTTATCACAAGAAAAAATCAAGTTTAGTGACCATCATTAGTAAGTTAATTACATTAAATACAAAAAATAAAACTAATTTAAAAAAAATTTCCATTAAAAGCTTTCAAACATCTTCCGATTGTGTTGATTGGACAAACGCGATGAGATCAAAAGAAATGTATCAGAATATTAACTTAACAAGATGGGCAATCGTTTATCCAAAGAAATTCTACGATGTCACGATAAATTTTTTAAATTCACTTCAAAATGTTGCAAAAGGCATGAATTGTGAGTTTTCTTTAATTCTTTTTAATTAAAGTTTAATGACAAAAAATATTTGCAGATTCTGTTGGGAAACCAAAACATTTTGACATTTATGATGATCGTCCAAAGTCATACATTGAAAAATTGATGAGAATTAATCAAGATGATCCTCGTTTAGTTGCTGTTATTGTTCCTAACAATGCTGCTGATCGTTACTCAGCAATAAAACGAGTGACATGCGTTGATGCTGCTGTTCCAACTCAAGTTATTGTGGCAAGAACTTTAACGAAACCAAAAGGACTCATGACCATCGCCACTAAAGTGATGATACAAATTAATTGCAAACTTGGTGGTGCGCCATGGATGATCGATTTTCCTATTAGTGGCGTTATGGCGATTGGCTTTGATATTTCTCACGATCCAACAAATCGATCAAAATCTTATGGAGCTTTTGTAGCTACCATGGATCTCAAGAAAAATGTGAAATTCTTCAGCTCTGTAAGTGAACACAAGAAGGGCGAAGCAAGTGGAACAATCGCCAATCATTTCATTGGAGCTTTGAAAGCTTTCAAGTTAGAGCACAAAGCTTTACCTGAAAGAATCATTTTTTATCGTGACGGTGTTGATGAAGGTCAAAACTATTCTGTTATTGAAGATGAAGTTGAACATCTTAAGAAAATGTTGAAAGACATTTATGACAAATTTGGAAACGGAAAGAAACCAAAATTTACTTTCATTGTTGTGACGAAGAAATTAAATACGAGAATTTTTTTGAATAAAAATTCAAAGTATGAAAATCCAGAACCAGGAACAGTCGTTGATTCAGTAATTACATTACCAAATCGGTGAGAAACTTTAATTAATTTTATTAAAAATGTTCCTAATTTAGATACTTTCACAGTTTTGAATTTTTCCTGGTTAGTCAATCAGTTCGTCAAGGAACAGTCGCACCAACCAACTACAATATCATTCATCATGATGTGCAAGACAACGATTTAACACCCGACCGTCTTCAAATTCTCACATATAAATATACGCATTTATATTACAATTGGAGTGGAACGACACGGGTGCCAGCTGTCGTTCAGTATGCGCACAAACTCGCAGATTTGGCTGCAAAGTCTTTGCAAAGAATTCCCAACTTGGGTTTAAACGACAAACTGTATTACTTATAAAGGATTTTCTTAAAGCTTATTTTAAAGATGAAGAAGAACAAATGTTCTTAACAATAACTTTGATATTAATTTAAATAATTAATTTAGAAAGAAGAAAAAAGTTTCTAAAATGTCAAATGTGATTAATAAAAAGAAAAGATTGAGAAATTAATAAAAAGAGGCATTTAAGGAAATGTCTGTTCAATGTCTAGTAATTTACTAGACATTCATGTTCATTCATTACAAATAATTTAATTTAATTTAGAAGCAACATTGAGATTATCAATAAAATAATTTCAACTTAATATGATTAAGTAAAATTTTGAAAGTGGAAGCATGAAAATGTTAATAAAATTAAAAAGAAAACACGGAAGCTTAATTAAATTGTTTCCAACATATCCTTCAAGCGGTACATGTAAAGTAAATTTAAATCTGTAATGGGTAATCTTTCATCAACCCTTTGCCATTGTTTCACAACACTTTAGAATTTTGAAAGCGTTTGTTTCAAGGCTTTCATATTTATCACATTTCAGTGAAAATCTTTGTAAGATGATAAAAAGCTCAAGAAACTTGATGGGTAATTAACTACTTAGATGATAATTTCATGTTTTAAATTTATTTCCTTTCATGAAAAAAGATTCAAAACACTTTCTTAGATTCTCCAAGATTAAAGCAAAAACTTTCGTTATGTGATTTAAAATCTCATGCGACGAATTAAAAACTTCGATCAAGTAAATTTACATGTTTCATCTTTTTAAGTTGAAACTTTCAATTAAAACATATTTCATTCATAATATGTAAATTGTAAACACTGAAGACACATGGTTAATGATGACAATGCGCACAATCGTTGCTTTTCGGCTTTCACATTCAAAAACTCAAATTTGTTTTCATATAAAAGCTCTCGCTTATCAGCGAAGTATCATCAGTAATCTTAAGACTGCAGATGCAAGCAATGAAAACTTGGATTTCTTTATGGATTCAGTGTAAAGTGAAAAGTTTGAATGGTTGACATTAATTAAAAAGTTTTCTGAAAAAAAAGGTTTGAATTTGACGATGCAGTAAAGAATTTCAAATCATTAAGTACTTTGATCTTATATGTTATAAAAACCCTAAGCGAGATAACTGCGTTAACCGCTTAAAGGAAGGTTGAAAAACTTATAAAATTGAATTAGATAAATGTTAACCAGTTGAATTTGTGATTCTTTCACTTAAATAATGAGTTTAAAAGTTTAAAGTATTCTCTAATGATATTGAAGTTCTAGACAAAATATGAGTTATAAGAAGACCATCGTTGTTGGATTATTTCTGTTTGGATTAGTCGTATTAATAGCTTTGTCAACATTTTATGCGTCATTAGGTGAGTCAACATAAAACTTTAAAATAGTTTTAATAATCAACATGATGAGACAAGACAAGAATTTATTGTTGTACAAAAATAGTTCTGCAGCTTGTGACTCGTAAAAGGTAGTTAAATTAATTGAAAATTACGATTCCTGTTCTAGGTATTCACACAATTCCAGAACCACCATAAATGAAGTGCAAACTTTTCCGTTATTCACATTAATCAATTAAAGGCACGTTCAACTTTACCAATAAAAATAATTCTGTTGGGGGAATTTTTTTCAAAAACTTTCCATTGTAAACGTGCGATTTCATGTCTTTACTATCATTCTGTCATTCTCAGACATTAAGGAAACGTTCTTTGTCATTCGCTTAGATTTTTGTGATAATAAATTGCTTCTGAACTTTTCCTCTAATGTTGCCCATTGGCACAATAAAATTAAGCTCATCGTAGGTCAAGGAACGGAAGTTTCGTTTGTTGGATGTTTGATTTCAATCAACTATCGAATGATCTTTATTTCTGTTTTCATAAGATTATTTTTCTTCACGTATTCAGGTAGCTGTCCAATTGATTCTTTATCATGCGATAATGGAACGTTTTGTGTTCCACGTAAACTAGTTTGCAATTTTGTTAAAGATTGTCAGGTATTTGTGTGTTAATTTATCAATCTGAGTAATCGTAACAAATTTCAATCCCAACATAATCTAGGATGGACAAGATGAGAACGTTTGGCGTTGTGGAAATTTGTATGGGTCGAAGAAAGTGATTTACGCTGATGCTTTAGAAGGAAAGAAAGTTTATGAAGAATTCAATAAAACTTATCAATTCCAAAATATTAACGATTTCTGGGATTATTGCGGTAAAATAAAATAATTAACTAAAGATGCTTGAAAAGTTAAGAAATTTAAATTTTAAAGGTTTCAATGAAAATGAAATCCCCAAGGGATGCAAATGTATGAAAGTGAATCTGATTAGATGTAGGAATAGAAGTGAAATTCCTGCAAATTTCCCAAGAGAAGTGAAATGATTTAACTAAAAATTGAAAAATTATCTTTAAAATTGAAACCTTTTCAATGTTAGGTAGGAATGATTCATCTTCGTGGCAATTCAATCACGCTGAGGTCAACAGATACATTCGAACTCTATAAAAATTTAAGTTATTTGTAAGAATGACTGAATTTCGATGAATTTAATTCATTGCTAAATTAATTTTCTCTCACAAAATTTTCTGAAAAGGGATTTGGCTTTCAACCACATTTCATCTATTCCACCAAAACTTTTGTACAAATTGAAACTGCTTAGGAAGTTGTAAGTAGTTATTTCGCTTATTTTTGTCTTGTCTCTTCCTTTCTATCGTGTTCTTTAGATTCTTACAACATAATCAAATCGAAGAGCTTCCGGTGGAAATCTTCTCAAACTTACAATCTTTATCTTGGCTTCTTCTCAACTTTAATCACTTGAGAGATTTTGATTTAAATGTTGTACGGGATTTGGAGAGTCTTCAATATCTCGAATTATCATACAACAATTTAAAGCTGCGAAACGCATCATTCCCAAATCTCAATCAACTATATGAGTTGTAAGAATATATTTAACATCGTGTTGGTATGTGAATGAAATGATTTTGTGGGAAATTTTCCAGATTTCTTGATTTCAACTTCATAGAAGAACTCGGTGTTGGTTTACTAGGCAACTTACACAATTTGACGTTATTGTGAGTATCCATCATCTAAGTATTTACTTAATGTTTTTGTTCTTGATCCAATGTAAGAAAAAGAAGTTCACAATCAATTGTAATTTCATCTTTTTTCGACGTATTCTTATAATAGTTTGTGATACAAATGAAAGATCGCTATAATTGTCTATCAATAGAAATAAGTCAGTAAGGCGATAATTGATCAATAAATTGAAAATTCCATCATAAAATTTGAGCGCATATAAAATTTTAACGATACCTCTGCCAACCACAACAATATAAAGATGTTTAAGAACGACAGTTAATGTAGTCAATAAAAGCCAATTGAGCTTACAAAAGCTTCTTAGGAAAGCTTAAAGGGTAATCTTATATCGGATTTTAATAATTATTTACTTTAATTTGTCAGATCTGTGCGCAGCAATCACATCAATGTCATCAGTTCACCAACCTTCAGCAATCTTGGTCGTTTGCAAGAGTTGTAAGATATAAAATTACTTAAAGAGAGGATTCTGATTTTCATTTTTATTCTTCTTTAATATTAGGCGGCTTTCTGATAATCCAATTCATATCTTAGATAGCGATTTCTTTTTAAAGCTGGCAAACTTGAATGCTTTGTAAGCAAATTTAATTTGAAACTTGGACAAATGTTGACACAGTTCTATTTTTCACAGATACTTAGATAATTTGTTTATTAAGATAGATCAGAAGCTTACTTCAAATCTTAATGTTTCCTTCTTGTAAGTAATTAATCTTTTATGATAATTCTGAAACTCCACAAACTCAATTTACCATCAAATTAAACTGATTTAAATTTTAGAAATTTATCATGTTTTCCCACAAAATTAACTTGCAAATGTTTGAATTGATTTCATGCCCTAAAAGTGTGTTTAAATCATCTTTCTTTGTGTATCTAGAAGCATTGACGGAATTTCTTTGGGAAATATTGAGTTTAGTGCGATAAAGAAAATGGAAAACTTGAAGCACATCGTTTATAAGAAATTCTTCTACTGTCATATGATATCAGATTTTCACGTGAAAGTTTGCCGGCCTAAAACAGATGGTAAGTTAGTTTCTTTGTGAATTAATTACAAGCTATAAGTTTCATTTATTTATCTAGGAGTTTCTTCAATCAAAAATCTTTTGATGAATCCAACGCTAAGATATTCAGCATGGTTTATGGTTGTCATGATTACTATTGGAAATTTAATGGTATTAATGGGAAGATTTATTTATCGTGATGAGAATCGTTCAGTTAGTGTTGTAATAAGAAACCTGGCAGTTTCTGATCTTATCATGGGATGCTATCTGGGCATAATTTGTGTTCAAGATTATCGTTTCCGTGATAAATTTCAAGAAATTTCATTAGAATGGACACAGTCGTGGGGTTGCGTAGTTGCTGGAATGCTATCAATGATCTCATCTGAAGTTTCAATTTTTATTCTCACATTTATGTCTGTCGAGAGGTTTTTGTTAATTTCCGATCCCTTTGGTCATCATCGTTTAAATACGAAAAACGTGATGTTGTGTCTTTTCATCATTTGGAGTGTTGGAATTTCAATTGCCATACTTCCTGTTATTTTATTCTACTCGTCAACAAAATTTTATGGAATTTACAATGGTGGGACATGCTTTCCCTTGTTTATTCAAGAGAAATATCCATCTGGTTGGCAGTATTCAGCTATCGTCTTTCTTGGGATTAATTCTCCACTTTTAGTGGTTGTCGGAACTCTTTACACTTTTCTGTTATTCTCAATATGGAAGACAAGAAAGCAATGTACAGGAAGGACATTTGATTTCTTTGATTGTGAATTTGCTGTCAGGTATTTAAAAGAATTTAATCGAAATTTCCGAATAATATAAAGTTTAATTTTCTCAAGATTCTTCTTTATTGTTTTAACGGATTCAACGTGTTGGGCGCCGATTGTCACCTTCAAGTTTCTTACATTTATGGACTTCGAAATATCCAGCGACATGTACGCTTGGTTGGTGGTTTTAGTCCTGCCACTCAATGCCGCTGTTAATCCATTTCTTTACACGTTCAGCACACCAAAATATCGAGACCAAATCTATACGACATTCTCCAAACGAAGCTTTTCCAAAAAGCACGATTCGAATTCTAATCAAGGTTGGTCACGAATATTTAGATTACCTTTTGTATAATTAAAATTTATTTTCCAAATTGTGTAGCTACCGGTGATGAATCTCACAATAAAATCATGCCACTTCTTAATAACTCAATCAATGGTGGCAACATTTCAACTCCATTGAGATGGTTGTTTACGAGAAAGAAATCTTAAAAAGACATTGATTGAGACAATGTCATGAACTCAGAAGGATATTAAATTTTACTCACATCACAGTGATGGATACTCAAGATGGCTAAATTTACTAAACTCATGCAACTTTATACACAAGAGAAAAGAATTTCTACTCATACTTTATTCTTAAGAAATAAATGAAACATAAAATCAACAAAAATCATTTTCTTCTTAATATTTGACATTTTTGTTTGCGATCACTATAAATTTTTGAAGTATTAGCGACTTTATTGTTTGTGAAATTTGATAGGGAAGACGAAAATTAAACAAAGTTGATTAAATGCGAAAAAATAAATATTTGAGCTTCTTTTTGTCGATTTCACAGAAAGTATTTTGATATTTTTAATTATTCAGCGATATTTCTTAAAGAGATTCATGTGAGTTAGCATTAACAATGAATATTTTCGTTCTAAAGAATTCAAAGGAATGCAAATAAATCTCATTGGAACGAAAATAAATGTTGATTTAAAGCAGATTTCAAGTTTAACTTAGTGCATGAAGTAAGTTAAATTAACCTGTCTCGTATCTTCTTCCATAGTCTACTCGATAAACTTTAAACCAACAGTTTTCATCATATGCAATATAAATTTTGTGATGAAAATTGAAAATGTAGGATTTTTTTAAAGTTCAGTCACGAATCAAGATTTATGACGCACAATTTTATTTAAGAATAAACAAGTAAAAGTAATGAATTTTACTGAATTAACAGTCACAAAATCAACCAAACGTGATTGAAAGAATTTTTGGATATGCAAATATCGTCTCAGGTACATATCAATTCACAAATTAAATTCTACTCTCGATTTCTGTTAACAATGGATGTGTGGTTAGGGGGAGACATTTGATTCATTTGAAGGGTGTTTACTTAAAAAATTTTCAATTTAAATATTTGTAGAGTTATCAGACGAAAATAAACCATTGACAAGACAGCAGTATAAACATGAGTGAAATTAAGTACATTAAATAGTTAGAAAATCATTTCGTGCTCATAGAGAATTGCTGATTTTTTTTATGTTTTAGCGAAAATATTCAAAACATAAATCAGAACTTGTCTGAAGTTCACATTGTAAGGACCTCGCTGTTCGCTTTTCTTTATTATAAATGAATTTTGTCTTCTGATTGAAATTCTTATAAACATCTGTCTGGAATATTAGATTTAAGAAATGTCTCAACACCATTGTGACAAAATATTTTAAATTTTATTTCTGTCTCTGAAGCAAACCTCAAAAAAGCACAAAATAATTTTCCGACACAAAATTTCAGACCGAACAGGAAAGAAACATTTAAAGAGGCGACAAAGAATTTTGTGTAAACAACAAAGAAATAAGAATGTTTTTCAGTGAAGTGTGAAATGAGATTTTTAATCATAATACAAAAAAATCAGATCACTAGAATTAGCGAATTTAGTTGTTTTGGAGGTTGAATATTGAAATTACGATGAAGCTTTTTGGAGGCTAAGTGAATACCAGTCTAAACAAGTTTACTTCCACAGACTTTTTTTTAAGAAGTTCTTCCATAGTAGAATCGAATACTTTACTAAAGTATCTCAATGGATCGATCCCTTAGGAGGATCCCTCAAAAGTTTTGACAAGATATTACGATCTCTTCGGCTAGGCACAATTAATAAATAATAACGTTTTCATTTAATTAACACTAGTTTATTTCTTTTAACACTTTGGTTGTAATATTCTAATAAATTCATAAATTGATTCTAAACGATTTAAAGGAAATTAAAACAAAATTCAATGAAAAAGTTTCACAAATTTCCACCAGATGTCGTAATCAAACCAAAACAAAAACATAGAAATTTCTTAAAAAATTCATTTTTAGGAGATCTTTAAAGTATTTCTGAAATATCTGTGAGCTTTAAAGTAATTTATAATAATGAATGTGAATGAAGAAACTGAACCAAAAGTTAGTATAAAGAATTTGTCTCTGAGAAAACTTTAATTCATAGAAAATTAAACTTTTTTCCAAGAATATTCCATCAACTTCTCGGAATCCATTCTCATCTGATATAATGTCAACATCATATAGTGAGATTTCATCAGCATCTGCAGCTGTTCAGAATTATGAAAAGATGGATGTTGGTGAAGATTTAATAGATGATGAACGAGAACAAAGAAGAAACAGACCAGACTCGCTTTATGATCCCTACGATAACGAAGGGCAATGTAAGAAATTGTTGAGTGTTTTGATCTCTTACTTATATTTGATTAAATTTTCAGTTATTCCTGATGATAACAATCCAGCAATGAAACATTATGTTGCCCCCGATCTTGAGTACAAAATTAAAGTGTCATCACCTGTAGGTTCAGGTCAACCTTTCAATAGCTTGCCAAAGCAATTTTCATCTTCATTGCCACCTCAACTTGACTCAAATGTGCTCAGTGATTTAGAGATTGAAGCTCAATATCTCGCAGCGAATATCGACAATTTGACTGAGAACTTAACTAATTTACTTCACAGTATAAGTTCAATAACTGCTGACAATGTTGACGTCTACAAAAATTCCGTATCAAAATTAACCGACACAATTGATTCCAACATAAAATCAATGTACAGCATTATTGCCAAATCAGAAGAAATTTCAAAATCAATGAATAAAGCTGAACAAATGGCAACACGAATAAGAGAAATTCGACGGCTTGTGGACATGTTTGAAGCTGCTTTGTAATCTTGAAAATATTTCTTGCTTTAATTAAGTGATTTTATTTTGCATTCCAAATCTAGTCACTTTCTTGGAACTCATAAAATTAAATAAAATTAAACGCTTTTTAATAAAAATCATTTCGCTATGTGTTTAAGTCAATACAAATTCATTTGATATCAAACAGCTGATCACCAACACATTGAAATCTTCTCCATCCCACGTGCTATTGCCATGAGTATCCAACTTGCTCCACGTTGTCTCCATGACAACAGATTGGCGTTGTTTATACACTTGTTGAAAATGTTTACAAACAAACTCATAGCACATGATGGCTAAAGCGTGATTCATAATATCGATTTTATCAATGAAAGTGCGTTTGCGCGAATATTTCTTCGTTTTCTTCTCTACCCCCACACGACCAATATGGCAGAAAAAGTTTCGCCACTAAGATTCTATTAAAATTCAAATTTATGGACTTAAAGATTATAAAATTGATCAGCTGTAGTGTAAAACTGTAGATAAAAGTGAGTTGAATAATAAAATTATAAAGTTCAGTTGGAAAACATCAACAGTCAAATGTTATTAGATGTTAAAAGTTTCACCTTGATGGCCATAGAATGTTGAAACATATTTTAATTTTCTTCCTATTTCATGCTTCTGAATAATTTATATTTCCCTGGTGAATCATTTACATCCGTGTAATGCATTCGTTTGGTGATAAATAATAGTCAAAGACATAAAAAATCTTTTGATAAAAAACGAAGTCATTTCAAAGAATTTTCTTCTTTCATCATCAGAATATGGAAGATTTACTGCAGACCATCATTAAAGATGCGACAGGGAAGCAACTACAGAACCTTAAACAGGCAGCTCAAATAGCATACGGTAAAAGCTTTGACGTATAAAACATACTGCGATGTATAATAAATTATTCATGAGATTATTTATTCAGATAAGCTTTTTCGACAACATGGCATGCACCGTGATCCACCATATGAGTTGCGAAGCGTTTGCTTTATAGCACTTAAAATGGCTTTGGATAGTAAGCGATCGAATTTGATTACGTTGGGACTAAATGGAATGCACGTGAGTTGATTTTAATCAATAGAAAATAGCTAAATGACATTCAAAGATTTGTTGAAGTTCATGAAATAAGAAAATCATTGAAATGAATAAATAAAAACTTTTACAGAAACTAATAAGAGATGAAAGATTCTTCATTGGACTTGAACCCGAAGATGATTCAAACTGGCTTCCTGCACAACTTCTCCGTTCAACAAACGGCATCTCATGTACTGGAAACAGCAGTGAAGAGACTGTTGTTAATGTTTTGAGATTATTCCTGTCAATGGCTTGTTCACAAAACGTTACACTTAACGGAAGATTACTTATTGAAGTTTTATCACGTTGTGGAGAGTTCTGGGAATATGGAACACGATCTGTGAAAGCTGCTTCGTTAGCAGCCGCAAGTCAAAGTTTAAGAACGTTTTGTAATTTTCTAAAAGACGAAGCTGAAGAGTTGAAACGAACTGCACCATCTGGAAGCAATTTGTTAGCAACGACAACAATTTATAATGAAGTCATTCCTGTCATGCAATGGCTTTGCAGTAAATTAATCGAGCCTACTAACGGAACACCTAAGAAGCAACACAGTTCTTTATTTCTTATGGAATGTATTTTAGCATTAACATCATCATTGCCACATGATGTTCATTCGTCACCACATTTTACAGCATTTTTGTGGAAGACATTTTGTCCCAGTCTCGCTGCATCTTTAGGTTCACCTGGACGAGTAAACATTGACAAGAAATTCTCTTATAAAGATGCAATTCATATAATTGAGAGTGAAAATCGTGGATTCTTCACCCGTCCCGGGTTAGATGGACCAGAAGCACGTTGCGTTTATCTAACAGCTGTTCAATTATTGAGAATTGCTGGGGCTCAAGGAAGTCTTAGACCAGTTCTCGAAGCTCTTTTTCATAGAATGCTTCTTCTACCTTTGCCCCAGAATCGTTCAGAACCTTTGCGATGTGTTCGCGATGCTTTCAAAAGCCCACAAAGACTTATCGATCTATCTGTGATCCTTCACTATGACAAGAATCAAAATGTTTCTGACGATATGGAATTGTTTCGTTTGATTATTGATTCAATGGAAGAATGTGCAATAAGTGCTAACTCAGCTTTTGGATCTGATGAATCGCTTCACTCAAGTATTGAGTGTTTAGTTGCACTTCTTTCAAGTCTTCAAACTCTATGTACGGGAGAGATTGAAAATGTTATGAGTGATCAAGTTACAGAAGCTCTGAACAATCGTTATGGATCTTTGAAGGAAGCAGATTACTTTGGACCATTGACTTATCAATCACTCATAAGACTGCCAAGAGATTATCGTGATGCTGTCGCTGAATTGAAACAAAATCGATTCGATGCACCGTCAGATTCCGATAATGAAGAAGCAAATAATCAGCTGCATCCTGAAGCTGAAGTTTTATCGAATGGATCTGGTGAAACTGAGGGACCTGAAGATGACGACTCGTCTGATGAACAGTCGAAAGCTGAAGCTAATTGGCTCTACTCACATTTTAATGATGCAAAAATTGATGGCGAAACTGACAGAAAACATGCCAAAGAGTTTGCAAAAATTCTCAAATCTCAACTTGTTCCAGCTTTACTGAAACTTCATAGTTCAATTGAAATTGACTCGGAAATTCAAGAATTTTCATCAAATGTTTGCCATCAAAACAGCATAAATGTGTCAGATTTTGACTACAACTTGACAGCGATTAATGCTGATGGAATTTATTTGGCAGTTTATTCGACATTTTTGTTGAGCTTGCAATTAATGAGAATTGGACATTATGATAAGAAAGATGTAAGTAATAAATGTCAGATAAGAGAAGTTGAAAATTAATTAAATTATTTCAGGGACAAATCACAATTCCATTATCGGAACAACAATTTGTGACTTCCGTTCAAAATGCTGGTGTTTTGGTGTATTTATCATCAGCGTGGCTTCGTGAACTTTATCAATACATTTTAGCTTCGAATCCATTGGAAGCAATTAATAATATTGAAGATTCAACAAGCCGATGCACATTAATCGACATGATTTGTGACGCTGGTGGAATTGGAGCAACGCAAATGATGTCAGAATGGCAAAGATTGCAATCAGTTTCCAAATACATGAATCAAATAGAAATTGAAACTGAGAAGCAGAAAGCAGCGAAAAAATTGGCACGAAGACTTCTTACATGCTGCTGGGATTCGATGGTCATTATTTTGAGTGCTGGGCTCGGTGAAATTGAAGATTCACGTGCTGCAAAGCTTGTAAAGTTCTCCAAGAAACATTTGAAAGTTGGCAATGGAAATCGTAAAAGATTAACTGGCGAAGCTGCTTTATATGCTTTAAGTCTTGAAGGTTTACACGCGGTAAGTTTCCCTGCTTTTTGATTTATATTTTTGACAAACTTTTCTCATGTTTTTCATTTAGGCTGCTACATTAAGTAATTCCCTTCAACTACAACATTTAGCAGGAAAGATTTTAAATATGATTGCAACGAATGTCTGTCAAACTTCCGGTCCGAAACTTCCGAGCTCTCAAGCTTTATCGATGGAATTGGTTTTGACAGGAGGTCTCGAGTTAGGTAGCTGTTCGGAAGATTGTTGGCTTCCGGTGTTTTCTGTTTGTCGTCACGTCACTCAACTTGAACACGATTTATTCAGTTCGAGTTCGGGAAATATGTCAGCCGGATCAAATATGACAAGCGGAAAAAATGATGACTCACCTTCGAAAGATAAAAATAACCCAGCAAACTACTTTATCGATGAAGACGAAACATGGTGAGAGAAACCGATGAAATATTTGATATCGAATACATTGTGACTTTTTTATTATTATTCGTTGCATTAGCGTTGACGTTTATAGCTTCCTTCAAGCACCCATGCAAAGTCCAAACACGAACATTGCAACAATCTTAAAAGCTTATCCTAATACAGTGGCATTGTCACAAACCGATACTGCAAAAGTTCTTTGCGCTTTATCACATCTCGCCGACAATTTATTTTGTGATGCTTCGGAGCGTCTCAACTTGCCATCATTGTGTCAATTTTTGAAGTCACTTTGCCGTGCATCACGTGAACAATTATATCGAAGTAACAACAGTAAGAAAGGAAAGAAAACTTGGTGGCTTGGACGTCCTTGGAAAGTCAAGAATCAGTCACTTCCACTTTCTCTTCTTCTTCATCGTGTTGGTGAACTTACATTGAAAGTTTTTCGAAGTTCACGACCATTATTACATATTCTTAAGGTTTGGAGTATTTCGGGTCCCCACTTGATGGATGTAAGTTAAAGAATTTAAATTAAATTTCATGCTTCAATTTCTAATTTCATTTCGACAGGCTGCTTGTCATAAGGATCGTGACATTTCAAAACGTGCTATCGAATATATTCACGACATCATAACAGCTTTGCTGGTTGAGCAATCGGAACTTCCACATTTTCACTTTAATGAAGCACTTTTAAAGCCATTTGAGAATATTCTCAACATGCAGAATTGTGACAGTGACGTTCAAGATCAGATCATCACTTGTTGTATGGAGATTGTGGAAGCTCATCGTACTGAAATAAGATCGGGATGGCGACCTTTGTTTGGTACGTTGACCACCAGAAAGCTCAACATTTCGAGCGTCATCATTGATATATTTAGGATATTCTTGGAGACTGAAAATACGCTTGTTTTTGCAAATGCCGGACTTGACTGTATCCTTTGCCTTCTTTCGTATTTAGAAACATCGTCGAGTGTTGACGATGAAACAAATAATAATCCAATGCAACAATCTGAAAGCACAAATGCGACGACAAGTCGAATGTCATCAAATGGTGTGGAATTTTTGCACGATGTTTTGAAATTCTTAGAGCGATGCTCGACAATTCTTGGATGTCTTTATAACATGCCAAACACTCCAAATCTTCATTCGACTTATAAGATTAAAGGGATTTCATACACACACGTTGTCGACGCAAATACACAAAACTCGATGGAAAACTTTCAATACTTTGGCAATGAACATCTTCAGAACTTGAACGACCAATATATGATCTCGTATAGATCGTTGCACATTGATAAAGATTCAATTACAAAACTCGAAGAGTTGGGGAAAAGTGGATGTGGAGTATTGAAAGTTTGGTTTCTTCTTCTCGACGGATTAACAAACTCTTTGATTCTTTGTCCAAATTCACATCAATCGCCAATCATTCAAACGATCTTTAAGATTTTTCGTTCTGTGTTTGAGATTCCTGGAATTGATTTTGGATTTTATTGTGTCAATCATCTTTTGATTCCATTGAATCAGGATTGGTTACGATACATAAATAAGAGTCAGAAGAGTTGGGCGAGTTTTGAGAAGAATTTCAAGCATTGCTGCTGCATGACAACAGATTTGGTTGTTGAGTTAATTGAAAAGTCGCAATTTCAACCTTCGAAGCTTAAAATAGACGTCAAGAATCCCAGCGATAATTCAAATGAAGAAGAAATGTCAAAGATACCAATAGCAGCAAATCTCGCACTTAAGCAATTGCTTCTCGTTCTTATCGAATGTTCAGTGCAACCACAAGAAGCCGTGTCAAGAATTGGCGTTTCATGTTTGAAGCACATCATCTTTACCATTGGTTATCTCTTCAACGAAGACCAGTGGTTGACAATTTGTTCAGCGATTCATCGTGCAGCGACTATCAACCTCGCTCCACTTCGTCAACTGTCGTTCGCTTTTCACGATAATTCAAATAGTTTCTATGGTGATATTGCGACATTGAAAGTCGCTGCACGACGCGATTGTACGCTGGAAGAAATCAATCGGATTTATTCGCTGTCGCAACAAGTTTTCCAGTTGGATAATCAGAAAGAATCGTCAACGAACAAGACTTCTAGTGAGATTAAAATTATTAACGAAGACCGAAGTTACGCATTTCTTCTTTATCCAAACCTTAATGCTGACGGTAATTTCGTGCTTCGAATTCCTTATCGCAATCTTGTAATCGGACTTTTGGTCTCGCAAATGCTTTTACAATTGATTGCGAACATCTTACTGGGTGGATTGAAATGTGTCGCACAAACTGAATTGCATACAGTCATCTACGAATACAACACATCATCATCTTCATCAACGAGTAATGAGAAAAAGCCACAATTTAATTTAAGTTATCGAGCCAAAGAAATTCTCTACAGATGTCTTCGACAATATTTGCACTGCTCGATTGAATTCGATTACAGGCCTGGCCTCAAATTTCTTATTCAGAAAGTGTCGAATTTGGATTATGCCGCTAACTTATACAAACAATTGACAAGCTCGTTCATCATCATCTTCATGAGTCTCGTCGATGTTTATTTGAGCGATATTGAGAAATTGAATTTAACGACAAGTGACTTGAAGTATATCATTGAATCATCGAATGGCGACAACTTGATAAAGAAAAAGGAATTTTTCGTTCGTAATTTGTATACGTTGCGTGAGATTTGGGATCAAATTGCAGATCTGTATGTGAAAGCGGTTAAAATTTCTCCATATCCAAAACGAAGAGAAAGTTTCGCTAATGAAATTAATATTGTTGAGAATAAAATGGTTGAAATTCAGGATCAACTTGAAAATGGTTTGAATAGTTATGAAACTGATGACGATGACGTTTTTCTGCCTTCACCAGTCACCACCGAAAAGAATTCCAAACTCGAAAAGGCGCCGAGTGAAGAAAGTGTCAAAATTTTCCTTAAAGACCAAGACGACTCAAACAATTCTAATGCGGCTGCTATTTCATCGCCTAAGCAACAACGTGAAAACCCTTTCAATAATTTACCGGAAAATAAACAACAGCAAGTCGTGTCACCAGAAATCGAGCAACAAAGAAAATTGAGCATACTTAAAGACGAACAATGTAAACGAAAATCTCTTACACAACTCATTGTTGCAAGCATGGAACTCATCAAACTTCTTTCCAATGAATCAGCTGAAAATATTCGCATATTATTGACGACTAAAATTAATGAAGCATTTGATATGATTGACCGTCTTGACGGTAACTTTGAAAATCTCAAATAAATTAGATAACAAAAATTTCCCCATTAAGCTCAATCAAATTTCTTAAATCTATTTGAAATTTCTTCAACTTCCTTTGCTTGACATAATATTTAATGCAATGTTTACTTGCTCGTGCTACTGAACTTTCATTAGAGAATGATTAACATTCTCAAAATAAAGCAAAACAAATCCTTAATTAGCTTAATGGCGGAATATTCGATTCAACAAAACAATTGCTGAGTTTCTATGTCACATAAATATGTATAATAAGAATGAGTGACTAAATGCGGCCATCTGACCTAATACCTGTAACTTGAAAAGGCTTCTTCTTCGTTTCTATTCACCACAAGTGAATGAGTAACGAAACATTATGACAAAGTATTGAATGAAATTAAATATTTTTTAATCGCAGCTACATTTATTGACATAAATATATTTGTATATCCAAAGCATTATTTAACAACAATTAAAATACGATAAGTAAACATCCAAAACTTAAATTATTTACATCACTCAGTATGAGTTGATTTTTCCATTTTCCTTCTAATTTCTCTAAAAAAAATAAGATTGGAAAAATCGAAGAAAATTATTTGGGTATGTTGGCATTTTAAAACATATATCTATAGGATTTGATGTGAAATTTAGCTGACACAAAATGACATGGTATTGTAATGGAAAATGGAAAAGAAAAGGAAATAAAGGAAAAACTTATATTTGTGCAAAAAAAGTAAATAAATAAAAAGTTTACTGCCTTGAAGAGTTGTCGTTTCCATATCGAAGGAGAAAGAAAAAGAAGCAAACAAACAAACAACTTCCGATCAGAAATGAAAACTTCAAATTGCTGTCATGCCTGTGTGTACCTTGGTAACACCATATTGCACCAATCAAGTGACGTTACTTGAGTGAAACTCTTCATTGAACAATCTATAAATAAATCTATTACGGGGAAAAAAAGTTTCCATTGTACTGACTTAGCTTTTGCTGCGTTGCTGAAAGACGAATAATTTGTTTTTTCGTGTGTTTAGTTTTCATCTTTCTTCAAATACATCAGTCGATGTTCTTTTTTTTCTCCATTTCTCTCACATTGTCGAGAAATGTTTCAAGTTTGATTCAATCTATAAAGTTCCGTTTATTAAATTAAACATACGCCGGTTTGTTGAGATCATCATAATAAAAAAGAAGCAGAAGTAAGTTTAAACCTGAAACTTGAAATAAAATTTATCTTTTGTTACTTTGTTTTATCAGTTAAGAAGTGAATTTGCTGCTTGTTTAAAGCAAACACATGAAATTTGCTTACGTATGTGTATTGACATGCGACACACTTAACAGCTGAGAAAAGGGAGAATGAATGAGTAGAATATCTACATTCTCTTGCAGAAATCATCGTAAAATTAGTCGTAAAAGTGATTTACTTTTTCGTGATGTGTGAAGAAACTTTTGGTCGCATTTGTGCTACTAATCGAAAAAGCAGAGCAAGTAAAATAAATATTTAGGCAAAGATTCTATACCGACAAATGCGACAAATGTTTCACTTGAAATTGACCCCAACAAGATGATTCTTCTTGCGTGATTTTCATTTATAAATATCATTATGACTTTCAAATTATTGACGAGGGTTAACACGATTCTAAGTGTACCTTCTGTAGTCATCCGAGATACATCAATTCCCCCTCTTTGATTATAAATATAAATTCCAAATGTTAAAAGAAGTCAGTGAATATTTTATACGAATTCAGTTGCAGTCAGTTGTAAGTCGTACCCCGTGACTTTAATCTCCCCCAACTTCTTTCGGAAAAAGCATGATCGTTAAGGTTTCTTCATTTTCACGAAAAGAACAGAAAAAGAAATAAAAAAATAAACGTGAGACAAGGGAAACCTTCTGAGAGAGAACGAGAGTCACCCTTGTGTCGGCTTGGAGCACATGCGCTGATAAATTTTATCATTCAAAAAAATTTTTTGTTTACGTCTCTCTTCATGCTTTCCGTCACTTAAAATGTGAGCGGTTGCTATGAGTTCTCAGATCACACGAAAAATTTCTCTTCTACCAAATACTCTTCAGTTTGCTACGGAAAACTGACAGTGACGGAATGAAAAAACTGCGGTCCGCGTTGTCGATAAAATTTTCACTAACATAAAAGCTTTTTTCTGGTCAACACTCGGTCAATTACCTTTCAAAATTTACGATAAGTGAAGTTTTTACACTTTTTCGACATCATTTTATAGACACTCGTGATAAATTGTGCAACATTTGTTGGTGAAAATCTGCATCAATTACTTTAAAGGGATTTTTCACGAAATCATAGAGAAAGAAAAGAAAAATAACTGACACAATGATAGGGACATCGCGCATATAGGATACATAGCACCAACACATTCACACCTTTAACCAAAAAGATTTAATCTTAGAGAAAGGAATAATAAAATGCTCTGAAAGAATTCATCGTCCCCGCATCAAGTGGAATTTCATAGCAATATTAGATCGAAAAGAGGGCGAATGGAAAATTGTGAACATTTAAGGACATCATGAGGGAAAAGTGATGTGAAGTGTGTGTGTTAGTTTTATTGCTTGTGCTGTGAAATGAAATATTTAAATATTTTTCTCACTTTAAACGATGAAAACGAGTACAACTCCCTCGCTTATTGTTATGCATAAAAAACCAATTATGCATAATTAATGCAACTCATTCAAGATAAAAATTTTCAACAAATCCTTCCATTTGTTTTTAATTAAAAAAAATTCTTTCATTTTGTTTGCGAAATAAAGAAGGAAAAGGAGAAGAAATTCTTTTGGAAAGCTTAGAGGGAAATTGAAAGGAACGAGAAACGTGTGAGTAAGAATATTTAAAGGGATTTGATTGTTCATCGTACGAATTATTAAACAGCAAGTGAAAGTAGCTTTAAACATTAAAACAAGAACATAACATAACTCATTGTCTAAGCTACGTTTGGATGTCATGCGAGACACTTTATCATTTTAATTGCCTTTCCCACCTGAAATAAAAAAGCAAAGGAATTCCAAAACCTTCAACAAACTTTTCTTTTTTTGTTTGAACTACTTACATCGTTTGGGATTGGAATGGAAAGCATCCTAAATCGTATCATTACGCTCATTGAATTTCAAATGTTTTTATCTTGTCATGAGCAAATTGAATAATACATGAAAAAAAAGAAGATTATCGAGTGAAATTAGAAGATTAAAGCATCACATTGATACTGAATAATTGAATATCTAACACTCTAATGTGTAATGGAGGCTAATGTTGAAAAACGTGAAAAAATATACTGAATTGCTAATTTTTCTACATTGTCAGTGACAAGTAACGTAGAGTGTGCCTAGCAGATGAATATCCAAGCGAGAAATGTAAACGTGAATAACGAAGCGCGTTTTTTCTCTTTCCATTCCGTCAGTACGATCAAAATTTAAATTCTTTACGAACTTTCTGAACCATGAAAAAGGTTTTCAGAGCGAAAAAAAGAATCAGTTCTGTCGGCTCGACAAGAAAAAATGTTTTTCAGATTTTTATTCTTCCATTTCGATGCTAATAAATTTGCTTTTGTTTTTGAATATCATCCTTGATATGTCATTCAGAAAGAAATATTATAAACGACAATCAGAAGATGTCACAGTTTTTTCAAGTCTCTGTGAGTCACAGAGACTTGAAAAATCTTTTACAATTTGTTACTCAAAAAACTTTCCTTCTCAAGGACTTTCAAACTTACGAAATTATTTCTCCATCATTTCAGGAAAATATTTCAAGATATTTAAATTGAATCAAACATTTCCCTTGACGTCCGCCAACTCTGTAGAAATAAACGTCGCACATTTCATGGATAAATCGAAGCAAATTAATCATCGATAAAGTTTCTTTTTATTTGTATTTTTTTTTCGTATGTTTGTGGTTACAAATTTATTGGACCTTAATTAGAGTTTGTCACAAAGTTATTTAGTAAATAAGTGTCGTCACATAAACAGAAATAAAGTACAGTCGACGCGCTATAAGCAGAAGCTCTATGAGAGCAAAAGCTTCAAACATGACCACCCCCTTCAACTTCATTCATATTGAAAAGCCATTCTAAAAGCGGAAAATCTCCTCACACGATCACCCCCTTCAGTTTCCGCTTATAGAGCTTCTACTGTAGAAAGAAAACCAAATTTTTCTTATCTTTACGGCTTAGAATTCTTAGTTCATTGCGATAAGATTAAGAAGAAAAATTGAAAATGTAAATAATTCACTTTTTCGCTTTTTATGGCATTGTACCTGTTGACAGCTAATTAGGTTGTTAAAAAAACACTCAAGTACAAGGTTTTAATGACGATGATAATTATTTACGATCTTTCACGCTTTCATTCGACAAATCATAGCGAACGACTAGACATTAAATTTATATTTCAATTCGAGATGATTTTATGTTCAACGACAAATGAAAATCAATCTCCTAAGTGAATCGAATAGGAAATAATTTTATTCATGTTTGATTCTAATTGGATTGCAGAGCAGTCGCTGATTTCATCACTTCATCACACAGAATGCCTGGAGTTATTATTTTTCGACGACGATGGTCGGTTGGTAGCGACGATTTTGTTGTTCCCGGATTATTCCTATTCACAATTCATCTCTTGTGGTGAGTGATAAGCAAATATGTAATAAAAATGGAAAGAATTTACTTCCTTTTTCTATCTTTTATCTGACAATCAGGCTAATTATACTCTCCGTCGTACTGTTAGTAATTGAATACGACAAATCCATAAAATGCATTGAACTACTATGGTATTATATTGTTGGATATATTTGTCTATTGTTTGGTGAGTTTCAAGTCACGTTCTTCATGTTTGGCAAGAACAGAAGATATAAAGAACTGATTTTTCTAACGAACTCAAACAATTTCATTGTCATTGTAGCTTTATCAATAATAGAATTAGGAATATGCATCATATCCATGCGAGGATCCATTCTAGATTCAACTGAACGAACGAATATTCAATATTGGTTGTACATTAGATTAAGTGAGTTTATTTGTGGATTAAGTGAGTTAAAGTTTTAAACAATTTTCTATCATGATTACAGTTTTAATGTTAGCTGATTTTTCTGCATTGATAACTGGCATTGTCTGGTTTATACAAAACTATCAAAGCTGTCCAATTGAAGAGCCAAAAAAGATTGTCATGTGTGCCATTGTTTCTAATCTCTGTGTAGAGTTGCTTGTTGTTATGACAATGTATTGCTCGTTCGATCCAGCTGGAAGATCGTGGGTGAAAATGAAGAAATATCAACGATCAATGAGAGAGTCCGAGTCAAGATTTAACTATCGTCGAAGTGGATCAACAAATCGTAATTGGCGACAACGAAAAGTTATGCGCGCTTATCAAGACAGTTGGAATCAACGGTGTAAGTTTCTATTCTGCTGTATGGGATCATCAGATCGTACTCGAAACTCCTTCACTGATATTGCACGATTGCTCAGCGATTTCTTTCGTGATCTTGACGTCGTACCAAGTGATGTTGTTGCTGGTTTAGTATTACTTCGAAAGTTTCAGAAACTTGAACGTGAAGCCATTATACGACAGGTAAGAAAGCGAAATCGATTATTTTATCAGATTAAACATAAATCACTTAACTTCACAGAAGCGGCATGGAATTTTCGAATATTTATCGGGTGTTCCTGTCACCGAACGAACTCAGTTCTTAGCTTTAAACGATTCACACGACTACGATCTCTTTCAATCAGTTATTCATTACATGTATTACGCGATATCAGCATACGGTTGGCCGATGTATCTCATCACTCATTCAAAGACCGGCGTCTGTGATTTATGTCCGAATCTTAAATGCTGTTTGCTTTGTTTCGGACGTTCAGATCGCGCTCAAGTGATTGAAGACAATTGTTGTTTATGTAATTATGCGGCACTCAAGCAAATGGTTGCTGAAGGCGATGTCGAAGTGATTTATGCGACTTATCATGTTGACATCGGTGAAACGCCTTTCTTCGTTGCTGTTGATTACACAAGGGAAAAGATTGTCGTATCGATTCGAGGAACTTTATCGATGAAAGACGTCTTAACAGATCTTAATGCTGAAGGTGAGCCATTACCTTTAAATCCTCCACGAGAAGATTGGCTCGGTCACAAGGGTATGGTGCAGGCTGCTGTTTACATTAAGAATAAACTCGAAGAGGAAAATCTCATATTGAAAGCTTTAAATCATAATCCCACTCGTGGGACTCAAAATTACGGTCTGGTTTTTGTTGGACATTCCCTTGGTGCGGGCACAGCTTCGATTCTTGCAATACTCATGAGACAAGAATTTTTGGACCTTCAATGCTTCAGTTATTCGCCACCCGGTGGCTTGTTATCAATGCCAGCTGTTGAACATAGTAAAGAGTTTATTACATCGGTGGTTGTTGGCAAGGATGCCGTGCCAAGAATAGGACTTCATCAAATGGAATCACTTCGTGCTGACCTCATCAACGCCATACAACGAAGTATTGATCCAAAGTGGAAGACGATTGCATGCAACATGATTTGCTGTTGCTGTGGACCGGAACCAACTTCTGTTACGAAGATGAGTGAGCAAGATTCGAATGTGAATGCTTATCAAGAGCAAAAGGATGCTTCACGTCATAGCACCGTCCATCCAAACGATAATTCAATTGCTTTAAGTCTTCATCATCCGCTGTTTCCTCCGGGACGAATAATTCACATCGTTCGTCATCATCCAACAAATGACGAGTAAGTTTATTAATTTTTAATTCAATTTAATTAACTTTAATTTTAAACTCTTTTCATTAATTCGTTTATCATGTTATAACTAATGAAGCAAAAATTATTTCATAATCGTTTAACATTTTAATTTTTTAAGTGATAAAATTTATTGCGCAATTTAGTTCAACAATTTTTGTTAATTTCTTTTTTGATGTTTTCATTCGAAAACGGTTCATTTGTCATTTTGCTTTACTGCTACTTTTTCTCTTTCACAAAACAAATCTTTTTTTCTTTCATTCCATTCTGCAACGAAACAATTCTTTATCTTGTATTCGACTGTTGTTCATTTCATAAAACAACCCAGACAAAAGTATGAGAAAGGCTGCTGGAGGTATGCCAAATGCACACAAGATAGATAAACATACGACCAAGAACTCCTCCTGAATGCCGAATAGTTTAATTTTATCGTAGTTCTTCATTTCCGTCTTAAGTTTTCTTATGTTGTAGAGTCTCTTAGCTTAAAATATGTTGCGGGGGTGTTGACGTGTTGTGTCACTTTTCGTTCTTTATTTCGACTTAATGTCAACTTTAATTTATGTTTCAAAAATTAAGAACTTAAGATTTGAGTGAATTTTAAGCACTCGACATAACATTTCAATTCTCCCCGTTCAACCTTCTTAAAGTGAATTTCATCTAATAGATAGAATTTATTTATCTTTCTAGTCATCAACCATCCCAAGTGTTTTTATTCTTAAATAGAAGAAAAAAATTGTTTTAAATTATTTTTAGAAATATTTTCTTAATTAATTTTCTTCTTTTTCTTAAGAAAAAAGATGAGAGAAGCGGAGATGTGGAGTGTGTGTGTGTGTAGAATGATGTTTGTAGTTCCAATTTAACTCCATTAAATTCAATTATTAAGCGAGATCTCATCTCAATTCAAATTTATATTGTGAGAAGAGAGTAGAGCATGTTTTTTATCTATTTTTTGGGAATGAAACGAAGACGAAGACGTTGATTGCTTTACTTAGATACTTATATAAACTCCTACTTATTTCATCCAATTGTTAAATAGAATCGACGAGTGCTTATCTTTACTTTTTTAAACATGAAGCTAAAGTAATCTAATTTATTGAATTTCAACGTCTGTCCCACAGGCAAGCATTGAAGAAACATGAGCCAGTATATCAAGCGATTTGGGCGAATACAACCGACTTCGACGAAGTCTTAATCTCACCAGTAATGATACAAGATCACATGCCAGAAACTGTTCTGTCTGCCCTCGAGAAAGTAAGTCAATGATGCACGAGATTGCTTTTTCATGCTTTCTTTTCATTTTTATTTCGTTTATAATTCGCTCTTTAACTTTTCGCTTATCATTGTGATATTTATTTTGTATTCTTTAAGCAAGTTTTATTTTGTGTTCCATTACTTAATTTTTTTTTGTGAAATGTTTCTTACAATTAAGTGTTTTTATTACTTGAGCCAGTAATTCCAGAAAAGGAAAATTGAAACATGACAAAAAAGAAGCTTATAAGCTTATGAAGTGCTTTCTCTTGAAGAAACAAGAACTTCTTGAGGGTGAATTTTGAAGTTTCGTCAGATAAAAAGCATGAGTTGAATTTGTAATTTCTAACAATAAAATCGTAAAAGTTTTCTTTTGTTGTTTTACAATTAACAAAGATAATTTGACGGAACTTTTAAACATTTCTCTCTTTTTACAAATATTATGCTGAACGACTGTTTTATCAAACAAAAATGACAAAAGAGAAGAAATAAATACACTTAGCACTTTATTTATGCATTTTCTTTTTCTTTATTGTGTTGAATGTGGTCGTTGTTATGTTGTGTTCTTCAATTTTTTATGCTGTTTATTCTTTTCTCCCCTCCCACGACAACATTTAATCTCAAATTATAAATATCCTGAACCACGTTGCATTTAATATTTCGCTTTAAACAAAACTCTCAAAGCTTTTTAATGCGAAAGAAAAAGAAGAACGAAAAGCAGAAATATAAATATTGTTATTTAATTTGTGGCATTGCCAATAAACCGTTCATTCGCTTAGATAGCTAATAAAATTTCCTTTAACTCTCAATGTCTGTTTTTTTTCTCTTTGAATGATTCGAACTCATATTGTCGCAAGATATATGTTTAAAACATTTTATATCTTTGTGTTGAATCAATTAATTACGAATTTAGCTTTCGCATTTTTTAGAATGGCTTCATTCATGTACATTTAATCATGTTTTTGATATTAAATTGTCTTTCTGTTTCGCTCTTTCACTTTCTGTCTTGTGGATATGAAAACATTTTTTTCATTAAACTTCCATCCAAGCATCGCATCCCTAAAATAAATTAAAGCAAACAAAAAATTTACCAAAAAATTCTAAAAGTCAACAAATAAATAAAAAATCATTTTGAATTAATTCGATTATATCCATTTCCCGCTACTTGCATCAACTTCTAGGTTTTTCATGACCTTCAAAAATCATCTCAGAATGATGATCGAATAAAGCGGGGGGCAAATGATGAATCGAGTTACGATGATGTCAGGTATTTTTTTTATGTAACCAAAATTCAATTTTCAGTTTCAGTTCTCTTCCATCTTTCAACTATTTTTATTATTATTTTTCAACATGATTTTTCTTTTCTTTCCTGTAGTGTTGGGTGTGAAAATCACATTTGATTTAAACCAATTTTTTTATGTGCCTGTAAACAATTTAAAAAAGAAGATCATAGAAGCATTTCTGTTTTTATAATTTAATTTAAAACATGAAAATATATTTATGATGGGCATTTGATGTTGTACGCCATTTCTTTGGTGAGTAGGAGTGCACGCGAATCCCATTATTGTGTTAAGCTTCTTAAAGATAATGTCTTAAATAGCATTGTCACCGCCTCACACGTTAATACAATTTGAAAAGTATAACGAAAGATTATTCTAATTTTATTGCTCGTCTCCACAGGTTGTAACGACAATTGGACCGCGGAAGCCGCAAAGACGACATCCCGCAACGGTGCCTGACTCATCAATCATGTCAATTCCCAAAAATCAACATCAAAGCCCAACTCAAACGTCTCTTAAACATTTACAGTCAACACATCAGCAGCAGTTGACACCAAATTCTCAACGGATTCTTCTTGAGACGTCTTTTGGCGCACCGCCATTGGCGTCGAACGCAAATGGTATGAATGGGCTTAATGCCAAAAGTACAGCGCCACTTCGTAGAGCACCGAAGACAGTAGCATTCAGTAACAATGGTGCTTCTTATCCACCACCTCCCAAATATAAACCCACAACACTTTCGCTATGCGAAACCCGTCCTAATCCTTTTGATGGTAAAATTGTTGACTTAATTTATGATGATTGGTTTGGATTGGCACCGCTAGCATCCCCTGAAAGTCTCTCAGAACTTTCAAGCATTAGTTCCCGTGCTAGTGTTAGTCTTAATTTAAATTTATCAAACAGTATTGAAAAGTTTCTTAACAAAGTTGTTATTGATGCTAAAACTCCATCGCCTCCAGTTACTAACCAAGATGAAATCTACGAGTCTCAACTTCATACACCAATCGTTATTCGAAGGACACCGAAATTTAGTGAAAATTTGGCAACGTGTGCTGATGATTGGAAAACACAAAATAATTATAAGCGAATGGGAAAAGTTTTCGTTACAAATCCAAAAATTACTGGTTCTGACAGTGATTCAAATGGCGATGGAAGTTTTGGAACGGCTGAAAGTTTGCCAAAAACTGGTTGTTGCAATAGTAACGATAACATTTTAAAAGATAATCGAATGCAGCAAGATTGGAAATCTGCCGATAACATCGACAATAAGTTCGATCCAAGAAACAGTAATAAGACCTTCACGGTCAGTGACAGTGCCATGTTGAATGACTGTAAATCGCAATGTCCCGTTTGTCCATGTACGAAACTTCCACAAGAAGAATGTTGCCAAAAGTTTGATCACATAAGCTGCATCATGATGAGTGCTGAAGAACAGAGAAACAGTGGAAAATATTCCATCACTAATACTACAAGCTCTAGTGACACATATTATTCATTAACGGGATCTGAAAGTGGATACATTCAGAATGGAACGAAAGTTTTATTATCCAAACTTGGAACTTATGAAGAAGAAACTTTGACATGTGAACTGCCAGCGTCAACACAAAACTCGATAACACTCAACCCGACAACGATATCATCGATTACTCGATCAGGTATTTTGGAATCTCATTTTCCAGTTTATTTTGATTCAAGTGATGAAAAGTCGTCGCTGTTGTCACATGAGAACAGCCCAAGCCAAAAGAATACTCAACGAAAAACTGTTCAATATACACAAAGTAATGTTATGAGGAAGAACTCGAATGAAGATTTTAAAGCCTTTTCTCGCAACGAGTCGTTACCATTGTTGTCAAGTTTAGTGGAAAAGTCTTCACCTACAAATTATATGAAGCGTAAAAAAGTGATTTATCCCATACATACTCCCCCAATTATGCAGCCATCACCGAGAATCACTCCGACGATAAAGTCAAAATCCACACCCACGTCAATAACAAATTTATACATTTTTAGTGAAAGTAATGTCTAATGATAATGCAGTGATTATAGGACCAAAGATTGTGCAATAAATACTCAAACCAACTCTTCTCTTTTCTCCTTCCAACTTTCTTCATCTTGACATTTCAAACTTTCCTAAAAGCATTTTTCGATTACAAGCAAAAAACAGCAGAAGTTGTTTAAGAAACTTTGACAGTCTTGTTAGATGAAAATCTCATCGTTATTAACTCTTGACTAGATAAAGAACATAAAAAAGTTTAACATTCCAAAGACGATGACTAGCAATTGAAAGTTTTTCTCCTTAAAATTCTACTTTTCACAAAAAACTTACCTTAATGAATAAACATAACGTACTTAGTGAAATTGACGAGTAGTTTCAATTTTTAAAAGAAAACAAAATAAAAGAAGTAAAAAATGTGCTAACAATAACTGAAGATTGTACTAACTCATAGTTAAATGTAAGATGTTGTGGTGATTTTAATGATTTTAATAAAGAAAATTGATGAAAAAGTTTATTATACTAATTTGAAAAGGTCTCCAACATTTCTAATGATTAAATGATTCCTTTCAGACTTGCTTGACTAAATGTTGAATTGTAACTTTTCAAAAAGGATTTAAAACTTGGCAGAATAACGAAAGAAAAGTTTTCTGAATGTTAATCGATGTGGCTACCTGTTAAAATATCAATTAGGAAATTAAAAGTTTGAATAAGCAAAGAATCTTGCAAAGAATGAGCTTCTGAGAGAAGGAAAATTAAAAGCTCAACGCCAAGGGGTGGATCAACAAAGAAATTTATGGGAAAATTCGAGATTCAAAGTTCACAAATTTCAGCGGGTATTTTATAATTTTGAAATTAACATTTCTGAAAAGCACGAAAAATGAAGAACTGCGAAGCACCATTCGGGCAGCCAGGAAATGATTGTGTTGATCTACCCCTTGCTCAACGTCAAATTCTCTCAATATTTTGATTCTTTTTCTCTCATGAGAGAATTTACGTCAAAATCACTCCATGTTAAAAACAGAAACGTGGTAGAAAAATTATTTTTACTTCACATCATAAGCAATTTGATATTTTAGTAATACGGACAACCTCGAATACATCACTAACACCGTCTATCTAACATTTTCATTTTTCTCGAGAAATGCTTAAATAATCATAAACGTGAGCAGAAGTGATTCAGAAATAAAAATCTAAGCATGAATAATTCGATTAAAGTGCATAAATCTTTGATGCTATTAAAGAGAAATTACAGCCAAATCAATTTAGAAATAATGCTAAGTGACGAAAATAAACGAAAGACAATAGAAAAGTTCAAGAAATATACAAAATTAAGATTTGCCGAAAAGAATCCTGAAAAGCATGCGGCAATTTTGATTCCTATGTGTATAACAAACAATGAGATAAGCATTTTGTATACGATTAGAAGCAGTAAGTTAAGGAATTATTCAGGTCAAGTTTGTTTTCCAGGTAATTACTTTCACCTTCTTATATCCCGAAAAAAGATTTGTTATGTTAAAAGTAAATTTACAGGCGGAAAAATGGATGACACCGACAATCACGAAATCGAATGTGCATTAAGAGAAACCGAAGAAGAAATCGGATTAAGTTCTCAATACATAAAAGTATGTAATGAATCAGCTGATTTGCTGGCATGACAATAAATTTTGTATTATTTTTAGATATGGGGTTCTGGTTCTCAAATAACGCCAAGAGATGGTCCATCGATTCTTCCCATCATTGCTGAAGTCGAAAACTTTTCACACACAATGCTCACTAAAAATCCTGAAGAAGTGGAAAAGATTTTCACGATTTCCCTTGACCGGCTTCGTGATCCGACGTTTATTCGTCACACACAGTTCAAAAGTCGAAGTGGCAACTCTTCAGGCTTCTCAATGCCAGTTTATCTTGGCGGCGACATGAGGTTCTGGGGAATGACTGCGACAATCACACATTTTCTACTTTGTTCAATGCTGCCTAAAGAACTTTATAATCGTCGAATGCCGTTTGTCAATAAATATGATACAACAAACTGATTGTAAAAAGTGCTATCAACTGATATGATTATGGCAACTGCGTTGTCATTCATAACATCGCTCGTCTGTGTTATATTTTCTTGACCGATATATGAAAATTTAATTTATTTAAAACAGAATTAAGGACTCGAGACCAAATCAATTAAGTTTAAAATGTTGACTTTTATTTGTGGAACTTTTCTTTTGTGTTAATAGTTGATGGACATTGTTTTAACTTCTTTAAAAATTAACAAATGAAAAAAAATTGAAAAGTTATCAGTTAGAGTGATGCAGTGAAAATGAAATATTGTTGAGTATTAATTATTGTTAATTGGTATATAAATGAAACGTAAATGTTTAATATAGAACTAGACTGCATATCAAATAGCTGCTAATTTTCCTTATATCTATTTTAGTATCATGTGTCATGATATTGCATTTTATGAGAATAATGATGATTATTATTGTGAGGGATTAAAATTAATATCTATTGAAGTTATTTAATAAAAAATAAATGAAAATAATTCTGCTTGGAATCTTATAAGGAATGAGATATTCTAAAAAGTTTTTCATACTTTAAATGATTTCCAAGTTTTTCTTTCTTTACTTATTTATTTAATTCATTTCTTAATTAAATCAACTACGCACTTCAATCATGGTCCATGATAAGGAGCTTAAATGATTTAAAGTGTAAACACCCCATTAAGCGATTAGAAATGCTTGCGAAGCATATTTAATTTAAAATCTTATGAATTGATTTTATGAAATGTTGAGCTTTTCTTAAAACTCGAGTTATGAATTAATTTAATACTGAGAAAGTAAAATTTCTTACATTTTGGCTTTGAAGATTCCTTCTTGAGCATTAAAATCGTTTTAAATGTGATGAATGAATAAAAGAAATGAAACAACTTAAAGGAACACTTTTGAGGTTCATTACGTATTTCTTTTTCCTTGTGCGACTTAAGTTGTAACAACAATTGAATAATTCTAAGCAAATTATACATGACATTGAGTTTCTAAATAATTAAAGCTTAGATTAATATTTATGGCGAGACTTTTGATAGTCTTAAATAAGAGCAGTAAATAAGTTTCTTCACAACATCATTTCATTGAAATTTCTCAAACGAAATTTATTTAAGGAACTAAAATTAAAAGGAACAAATGAAATTTTTATTTTCAACGCGAATGTGAACTTTCTCCATTTCTTTAAAAAGAAAAACAAGAACTTACAAAAAACAAAAATTCTTTATAAGCACGAAATTTATCACAGCATTTTAATTAATTGCCAATCGATTTATCGCGAAAATTCACGCACTTTTTTTCACGTTATTGCCTAAACATGATAATTTTCTTAAGAATATAAAATCAACGACTAGAACTCAAATGAGATTCGATAATTGCGCATATGGCGAGAGAGAGAAAGATAGAAAGATTTGTATAAAGTTAATTAAGTGTAGAGAAAATTATCGCTTACTGAATCGACACTTCCGACTCAACATTCTTCCAATTACTGATACTGATGTGTGGCTTTGGAAGGAAATTTCGCAAAGTCTGAACCAGTTGAATGCTGTCAATCAAAGCTTTTTGCAAATTTTCCGATTGCTTTCCATAAGGTTTCACCATTGATGGTCGAATAAAAGCTTTCATTCTTGCCATGTTTTTCATTAATTCAGCAAAAGCTCGAACGATTTTCTCTTGCCCAGCAACGACTCCGTCACGTTCGAAGTTGATTTGTGGGATCGGTGATGGCGCCCAATTATTATGCAGCAATTCCTTGTTTGATGTCGCATAACTGGCAGCTGAATAAGTTTCAATTCCATCATAAGACGGTCGTCTAGAACCAAAGCAACTACATTTAAACAAGTGAAGTAATGATCTATAAATGAATCAAACTTACCTTGAATAATCCACTGACTTGTTATGGTGAACTTGTGACATCAAATTATTCGCGGGAACAATTGGTTGACTTGGCAAACCTAAACTGTTGTTTGCTTGAACAATTGCAGCAACAGTTTCGAAATGTTTCTTATCCAACTGCTGCATAACTCTTTGTTTCTCAAGATTTTCCATCGATTGACTCATGGCACGGTTCTGCATCATTTGTTGAGCCAAATGTTGATTATTCATTGATCTGTTGAGCTTTGTTGGGTCATTCATGTTGACAGCTGGTGGTTGCATTAATAAAGGACTTTGCCTTGTTGACGACATGTAATCCATATTCATACTCATTTGGGGCGGTGGAAAGTTTTGATGGGGTTGTGGTGGTGGGGGTGGTCCTTGTTCAAATGGAACAGATTGTCCTTTAAAATAACGACAGGTTTGAGATGGACAAGAATTCACCACTTCAATGATGAAATCACGATCAAATCCAAAATTATCTTTTCCACATGAATACGACTCGAAAACTGACTTAATTGTTGAATCAATTGACAAATGCATTCCACCAGGTCCAGCCATGTGCTTTAAAATTACAGCATTTGCAAAGTGTTCGTATGGAAGAATAATTTTACCAGTTTCACGATGAATCAGTCTGCCTTGTTGATCTAAACTGATTTTCGTTGCCAGTACTCTGTGAAATATTTTTATGAAAAAATTATTGATAAAAAAAATTAATGTTTCGATGATAATTTTCTTTATTAAAACTTCTCCAACACAAGAGAAAAAAATCAACAATCGATGATGGGATGGGTAAAAAATCTACGAAACATTAATAATTCAACTTACTGAAGATAATTTATGTTGAAATTGTCAGACGACAAAAGATTCACCAGTTCTATTGAAGGCTGGCATTTATTCGTTAGAAACAACTGTAAAACCATGTACATTTTTTCTGTGATAAACCCATGATTGTGATCACTTATATAACTGCTAGGCTTATTCGACATTTCTTAATCTAATTCAAGAACTATTCACTAAAAATTCTTGTTGTGCAAAAAAAAATTTATGACCGATTAGAGAAAGTCTACAATGAGCGTCATTTTCAGTGATGTCACATAATTTGCGCAATCTTCAACATGAAAATTCTCTACAAATTATTCAAAATATTTACGTTTTACTCACATTATGTCAGTCTCACACACACTGTGCAAGAGTCAACTCTACAACCTTAGCTCTTGTAATTTAAATCAAAATATTGAATATCTAGCGAATAAAAGAGTGGAAATATGTTGAAAACAGCTATAAGGAATATTGGTATTGTGCAAGGATTAAAGGTAGGATAAATATATTTTATTATTAAAGCATTTCCTCGTTCATTAAAGAACTTTGGACTGTCCAAATTTATTTCGTAAACGAAAATGATAAAGAAGAGAGTGAAACCAGATTTCATGTTTATGAACTTGGTAAACTTGAATTATGTTATTGCACACAAAAATTTTTATTGTCGTAGCAATTCTATTCGTCATCGTCAACCGTTATCAGTCGTAAGCCTGATCAACGTCAAGTTGAGTTGATGGCAAGGTCCTTGCCACATCGTAAGAAGCTAAAGGATGTTGGAAATATAATAGTTGTAGCTTCAGGCAAAGGAGGTGTGGGGAAAACAACGACAGCAGTAAATCTGGCGATATCTTTATCGCTTGAAGGCAAAAGTGTTGGAATACTTGATGGCGATATTTTCGGACCGACCGTTCCACTTATGATGAACCTCAAGGAAATGCCATTAACTGACGAAAATAACATGATGATTCCTCTTGTTAATTATGGTATAAAATGCTTATCAATGGGTCTTCTTATGGAAGATTCAAGTGCTGTTGTTTGGCGTGGACCTCTTGTCATGTCTGCTCTTCAACGTTTATTGAAAGGCGCTGCTTGGGTGAGTTTTTGTTGATTAATTTATTGATAAAAATATTTACTGTTATTTTTTAAAGGGACCTTTGGACATATTGATTGTCGACACACCACCAGGAACAGGCGATGTTCATCTCTCGCTCTCTCAAAATGTCCCTCTCTCAGGCGTTATCCTTGTCAGCACACCTCAGACTGCTGCTTTAAATGTAACTAAACGAGGTGCTGACATGTACAAAACTCTTAAAGTGCCAATCATCGGTATCGTTGAAAATATGTCGTATGTAATCTGTGAGAACTGCAAACATAAGAATGTACTTTATAACAACGCAATTGATGACTTTTCAAAAGAAATGAACATTGATGTAATCGGAAAGGTTCCCTTGGAAAAAGAAATAATCAAATGTTGCGAAGCTGGAACACCATCGTGCATAAAATATCCTGACTCTTCTTTCTCAGAATCTTATCGTCACATAAGCAAATACATTATAAAATATCTTGAAGAATTTGACACAATTATCGCAAATTATAAAAATAAATAAAATTTTATATCAAAATTTAACGGATTTTCACCCGCCGGGAATTCAAATTTTTAGCTGAGGGGTACAAAGATTTAGTCAGGAAAAAATAATTGTTTAGCTACCTTGTTCTCGTTCTTTCGTTTATTTAAATCTTCTCTTACTAGACAGAAAATGGATTTGTGTTGCCTTCAAAACTAATCACAAAAGTACGGAATATTCGTAACAAATAAAGGTAAAGTTCGTGGATATTTAAAAATGGGTCAATTTCGCGAAAAGAATTTCGATTTTTTTTTGTTACTTGAAGAAAGTTTAATAATGTTACAGTTATTTGAAATTATTGGCATGAATGTACAACTCATATGTCACCAATTGCCAAGAAATGATCGCGTATAGTGTTTGTACATTTTTTCACGTAGTTTTAATTACTGTGTAATGAGTGACGACAAGTAAGCACACACAAAAAGATGTTCTGAGAACAATACGTAAATTTGAACAAGATTTATTGCATCTAAGTATCAACCTTTTGGTATTTATGACCAAAAACAAGTCTCAAAGAGCAAGTGATATGTACACATTACCTTAATGATACATTCGCGTTTTAAATGGATCGGTTTCCATTCCTGTCTCTCGAGAGACTTGTTCAGTGGGTGTGTGAGAAATTCGTTGTGCAAAAAGATGCTTGTTGTAATCAGCAAATACAGAAAAGAAAAAAAAGAAAACATGAAACATAAATTGTCGATGACTAATAGAAAAATCTTCCACATTCCTGTGCTTCCGACGTGCATGTTTAACGATGAAACATGTTTAAAGATTAAATGGAATCATGAAATGATATACGAAAAAAATAGAAAAAAAAGATTGTGATAACAGACATTGATAAGAGATTAGTCAAGAGAAAATATTTATTGTGGTGACAAATAACTCATTGTGTCCGACGAAATTCATTCAATTTATTTTGACACAATTTAGCCTCAATTACAAACGCCCGACACACTTCAAGCTCAATCAAACAAACCGCGGTCTTTCTAAATCCATAATCCAATTTGAAACCAGAAAGAAGAAAACAAGAAACTTTCTTTTCATGAATTACACGAGGAAGTTTTCGCGTGTTACGTCCCATTGATTTATGTTGAGATTATCAATGTCGATTTGTGATAACCGATGATGTATTCACATTTGTGTCTTTGACACAGTTTTTTGTTAATGAATCAACTTGAAAGTGAATTTAATTCAATAATTTATTGACGTATAAAACAATAACGCTAATACTACATGATTATTTATAAATCGTGTAAAGTTTTGTGATAAAAAACAAGAAAAAAACAGAAAGCACTTGGCATGAGAATAACAAACAAGTTCAAATTGAAATTTCCAAGAAAATCAACATCTTGCATTTAACTAATCATCATTATTGATGAAACGAAATAAAAATGCCGGTAAAGTTTCTCTCATAATTTGACTATGAAAGAAAAACGAAAAATGAATGAAAAAGATCATAGAAACAGACTGAAATGTAGTTTAATAATTGATCTCATTCAATATGTGCTTTGGTATCTGAACCGTATCCATGCTACCGCTAATGCAAGATTCATTCAATTTCTTCTCTTATTCCGAGTGAAAACATTTTCAATTTTAAAAATTTTATCGATTTTTCCTCATTTCTACTTTCGTTACTGACTGCTTACTCGCTCGCTTACTTCATTCATTGAATTCTTCTTGTTATTTATTTTTCTGTGTGGTTTCTGTTATCAATTTGTTTTCTCAAGTTTTTGCTCGTCTTTCTCACTCTTTCAGACTAATTTCATTTATTGCATCGATATCTACTTTTCAATATCACAATTGATTTCTACAATCGCCGGAACTAAAAACTCTAATCGGGACTGTTGTTTTGTTGTGTGCTGTTGTTTATTAGCATTATGGAAGTGAGTATCCAGTCAAGTAACAGCAATCACAGCACCAAATCGGAACTGGAAAAGGACATAAGCGACTTGGATGTTAGTGATAAGAAAAATGGCCTCAATGGAAGTGCAAATATCAACAATCATAGCAATGAGAAGTTGAACACACTAAAGAAACGGATATCAAGTGGTAAGACACCAAATAGAACACGCGAAACAACGAAAGCAAAGCGCGTTCGATTCTTTCGAAATGGTGACAAGTTCTGGACGGGATATTTGGTTGCTGTTTCAAATGAGCGCTACAAGTAAGTTTTTCATTCCATTTCTACCTCATTCTATTGGAAATTAAGGACAAATGTTTTTATTTACCATAAAACGATTCCGGATTGCGTGCATAGCAATCAAAACGCGTGGGTGCGTGATGTTGTTGATAATTATTTTCGATTTTTTCCTTTTCCTTTCTCACAGATCCTTTGATAGCCTCGTTGAGGATTTAACGAAGCAATTGGGTGAACGACTAAACGGAGCAATACGATGCATCTACAGTTTAGATGGAAGGAAAGTTGAAAAGCTTGATGATCTCGAAGATAATAAAAGTTACGTGTGCAGTTGTAACAATGAGAATTTCAAGAAAATTGAATATTCATCAGCCAGTCAAATTAAAGCACGTTTATCAAAGAATGGACGACCTTTGTCACCGATGAAGAATGGAACAACGAATGGAACAGCGTCAAAAGATATCACGTCAGTTGTTTATCCTCGCATTGTAACATTAATAAGGAACGGTGTAAAGCCACGAAAGATCATGAGATTGCTTTTAAACAAACGTAACAGTCCAACCTTCGATCACATTCTGTCAGCAATCACTCAAGTTGTTAAATTGGATTCGGGTTGTGTACGAAAAGTATTCAAAATTGATGGAACGCCTGTGACAAAGTTGGCTGACTTCTTTGACGTAAACGACGTTTTCTTTGCATATGGAAATGAGAGAGTTGGAAATGACGACTTTGAGCTTGAGCCTGATGAGAGTAAAGCCATCAAACAGACACAAAAAACGCTTAAGAATGGAGCCGTGCGTAACGGTCCCAAGCCAAAAATGCCAGTAAAGTCGCATAATGACACATTCGCTGTATGTGATGATGAAGAATTACTGGTAAGCGGTGGAATCAGATCTGAATCACTTCCTGTTGATATTCAAAATCGATTTGCGCTTGGAAAAATTATTGGTGATGGAAACTTTGCTGTTGTGTTGAAGTTGAAAGATAAATTGAGTAGTGATTGTGAATATGCTTTGAAGATCATCGATAAATCAAAATGTAAAGGAAAGGTGAGACTTTTAAGCTTCATTTTGACTCTGAAAATTTATTAAAATTCATCTTCAGGAACATTACATCGACGCAGAAGTTCGTGTAATGAAGAAACTTAAACATCAACACATCATCTCGTTACTTATGGACATTGACACAACAACAAACATGTACCTTGTTCTTGAACTTGTTCATGGTGGTGACTTGTTTGATGCCATCACAAGAGTCACGCGCTTTTCGGAAGCACAATCAAAGATTATGATTAAACATTTAGCATCAGCTTTGGCTTATTTGCATGCAATGAGTGTTGTTCATCGTGATGTGAAGCCAGAGAATCTGCTGGTAAGTGAATGAAGAAATATTTCAATTGAAATGATTTAAAGCTTTGTTTTCTTATTTCAGGTGGAGTTGGATAACGATGGCAATGTAATTATGTTGAAATTAGCTGATTTTGGTTTAGCATGTGAGGTGACGGAACCGCTTTTTGCTGTTTGTGGTACGCCGACATATGTTGCACCAGAAATTCTTATGGAGAGTGGATATGGCCTGAAGATTGATGTGTGGGCAGCTGGCATCATCCTTTACATTCTTCTCTGCGGTTTTCCGCCTTTTGTCTCTCCTGATAATCAACAAGAGCCGCTTTTTGATGCGATTTTGTCGGGTGTCTTCGAGTTTCCAGAACCTTATTGGGTGAGTTGAATAAATCTTTAATAAAATCTTTCTGTTCATTAAGATTTTCTTTTGTCTAGGATGGAATCGGTGAACCTGTTCGTGATTTAATTAACAACATGCTTCAATCAGATCCCGAACTTCGATTTAGTTCCGAAGATATTCTTGATCACTATTGGCTGATGAATGAAGAAGACTTTGATAATTATTTGTAATGGTAAACTTAATGATAAACTTGAACTTCCCTCCCACGATCAATATAATGTCAGACTGCTTCAAATTTCCTCAATGATAACGACGACAATTTATTGAATTCTTTCACCGGTTCCTGTTTATTTTAACTTCCCTTTTTTGTATCTTTTTTAAAGACTACGCGAGTGAGAAATCTTTCGTGACTGACCTTATAAAAACGAAACAAAACACAATTTAAAGCAAAAAGAATCCATAATTAAGAAAAGTTGTTTATGAAGTGAAAGAATATTTATTTATTTTCTTATTGCAAATCCACAAAACCGCAAGTAGTTGAAATCAAACCAAACTCCAAATAAACGAATAAAAGATGAGAAGTTAATTCATAGTGAAAATCCATTGAAATTCCTTAAATACAATTCAATTATTAGAAGTTGTAAAGAAATTGTGAGAAAAAATATTTGTGAGAGAACAAATTCATGCGAAAGATTCAATGAGATTTACATGTTCATTAATATGAACGAACAAACCTGTGTTGATGATTAACTTGTCTGATTATTGAAGGCATTTGCTATCTTTAATTGACATCATCTTGACTGTAATTGGAATTTTATTTCCGCATGAATTTTTTGTATAAGAAAAATGAGTATTCAAGCAAAAGTTTGTTCTTTTTTTAATTAAAATAATTTATCTCAAGTTACTTTGGCGGCTGTTCTCAAAAAAAGTCGTGTAGAGATTTGAGATGTAATATTAAAGAAAAAAATCGTAGTTAATTAGCAATGTAAAGGATTAATTACTTATAGTACTACAAACTTAGACTTATTGCTTCTTTCTCGCTTTTTCCCTCTCATTTCGTTTCTTATTGAGAAACATTTACGGGGAATTTTAATTAAAAAGAACATTAAAATCAATTTTTAATGTTCCATAAATAGCCTGCATACTTGCGCAAAGCTTTTCAATCAAATCATTCGAATGAATTGCAAATTTGTAAATTATTATTTATTTTCTAATATTTTGATTACCTTTGTGAATCTATCTTGTAAAGAAAATGATGTCAAATGTCGCTTTATTTATTATAATTAGAAAATTCAATCCAATAAGCATTCATATCATTATAAAAATGCGTAGATTAATATTTTATTTTTATTATTATTTTGTCACGTTGTTTCTTGTTTATTATTATTTTTTGTTTTAATTATAAAAATGAAGAAAATGGAAAAAAATAAATATATAAATATATAAAGGAAAAGGTCAAATAAAATATTTACTTAGCTGATGGACTTGAATAGAAATGAATTATCGAGAGGAATATTTTTTTCCACGAATAAATTATTCCGCGACCAGATTATTGCTTGAAAATTATTCCATGCAGAAAATTGCATGATGATTTTGAAATTTTTACCGTTAAAAATTCTAAGGTAAGTTTTTAAGTTTATGGTATTTAAATTATGTTCATCATGATATAATGTTTAAGATGACAAATTATGATGCTAAATACAATATATTTTTACTTCTTATCCCTGTTATTTAATAAAATTTAACTCACAAAATATTTTTCTACGCATTTACATTTTTAACGGTTTAAATTTTAAAAAATGTCGTGCAATTTTCTGCCAAGCAATAACATAAATCTGGAATTTTTTTCCCGTAATTTTTTTAGATGGAAAATAATATTCTTCTCGAATTATCACGTAAAATGTTACGCACCTTAAATGACGTCAAAAGAATAGAAAAGAGAAAACGAAACTTAATTGGCTTTTATTAATTGCGCAATAATGTGAATTGTGACACATAATAACACAACATGATGCACAATAAAGCTTTATTTAATCATTTATGAATAAAAGCAGGGTTGTTATGTGACATTCTCACATCATTTGACACTCACAGTCACTTGATAAAAATTCACATTCAGCTTAAAAGTCAATTTGCCTCAGTTAATAAATTTAAATAATAATGACGACATTGAACAACCCTGAAAAAAAAAGACTTATCGCGATATTGATAATGGAAACAATTTTTTTATTAAAATTTATTCAATACAGTCTGATAAGGTTTAGGTAAACATTTCCATTTTTTCTCTTTTATTTTTGTTTTATCTACAAAATATAAAGATTAAATAATTTAACATTAAAATGTTATGCTTCACATACTTATTGATGATCATAAAGGATTGGCCTGAAAGACTTTAATTAGGTCTTTCGTGTCTTCTCTTCCAGATCAATAAATCATGAAAATAATTAAAGAAAATATTGCAACTGATCTTAAATTTGTTGACACAATAATGTCGACAACTTCTTTCCTTTTCATTAATTAAATAATGAAAAACAAACATAAAGAGAAACATTGCATCCTATGAAAGGAAGACGAATAATTTTATAAGCTGAATTGATACAAACATTGATAAACAACAACAATAAAGGAAATGAATAAAAAAATGTATTATAAGATTTCATCGCTATTCCAATCGTCATCGTCCCAACCATCATTCTCGGTGGTATCGGCTGTCATTTGTAATCGACTCGCAGTTTCATTCTTCGTTTCAAGAATTCCAATGTTTGTTTCAGCAACAATTGGTTCGGTTTTCTGGAATGTCGGTGCCATGTTAAAGTCACTAAAAAAATCAACTTCGTTTTGTTTCTCTTCGAGTTTCGTTAATCTTCGATTTTTAATGTCAAGTTCTGTGATGTCTGCAACTTGTGGGCGCGTTATGATTTTTTCTTTAATTGGACTAGTTAATGATGTTGTAGATGATATTTCTTCGATAATCACAACCGGTTCAGTTTCTAACTTGCTATTAACATCTTCATTTCCATCTTCTTGATCCCAACTCCACTCATTTTCAAAGCCATTTTCATTTGAAGTTTCTTGTGATGTAACTTTGTTGATTATTGCCGGAAGTGTTCCATTAACGAGAATTTTTGTTGGCTCCTTTGTCGAACATTCACTGATGTCGATGTTATCAACAGGGCTTGAAGACAGAAAAATATCCATCGAGGCATTTAAAACTGGAGTTATCGAACGTGGCTGATCGACATTCCAAATCTCAGTTTGTTGCGGTCGTCCGTCAGCAAATAATTTCCTTCGATTCTTACCAATAACTTGTGATGCTCCAAGTATTGGAATGAGATCAGCGAGACATAAAAGTGTCTTTGTCACAAGAAGATCGTTTGTATCTTTAATTCCAAGCAAAAGTTGAGGTAAAATCTCATCGATAAGTTCTTCCCTTGTAAAAGTGTTCACATAAAGATGGAAATGTTCTAACAGAATTAATCGAATTTGAACATCAAGCACACAGAAAACTTGTTTGAGTTTGGGAACGATGAATTTAACAAAACCTGGTGTTGAAAACAATCCATCATCGACCGATGTCTCTTCGTCATCTTCAAGATTTTGAGGCTTCAGAAGATATGGAAGAAAGTAAAATTGCGCTGATGTTTCCAACAAGACAAGTCTTGAAAGAAGAAGCTCGCTCAACGGACCAATGGCACTTTCATCAAATTGCTTGAGTTTCTCATATAAAATCTTGAAGAATTCTTGTTTCGCTGGTTGTGTTTTTAATGCAAGTTCTGATAAAAATCCGTGAATTATCACAAAATCATGAGTGAAATAATTGTGTAGCTGAATTGCTGACAGAAGTGGCCGCATTGAGGGATTCTTATGTTTCAAATGTGTTTGACAATATGTGAGAAAATCTTGAACAAAAGGAATATTACCTGAAATTAAATTATTAAATGATTAAATAGAAGAAAAATAAAAACCAAAGTTCAACTTACTGTCTTTGTTTATAAGATTTTCACAAAGAGTTGCAAAAGCAAACTGTTCCAATCCAGTTCCATCGTCTTCATCAGCACTATGTGCTTGATGATTACGAAATGAGCGGGATCGTTGAAGAAGTTCTTTTGAAATATCAGAACTTTTGAAAACGTGCTCCATTCCATTCAGTTTCCAGGTTCCATTTTCTGTAACAAATATTGATTCCAAAGAGACATTCAAGTGCCGCACTTTCGCTGATTCGACAAGAAAGATGAGAGCATTAAGGATGTTTTTCAGTCCTAAACATATTTGTATTTCGGATTGCTTTTTAAGATTTTTTTCTAAGCTTCCGATTACAAATTCTGTCACTAACATCTTGTCGGATGATGATCCAAGGAACTTTAATATTGAGTAAGGATGGCGATATATCTTGAGGTTTTTGATTGCTTTCGACAATGGTCTATCTAAAGTGTACTCTTTGAAGGGATTATCTTTGGAACTGAATGAATCCTCAAACACTGATACTTTTTGTTTTGAATTATTTAATCTCGCATCATAAAGCAGTAGATCGTTTCTGAGCTTTTCAGCTAACTGTTTTTCGCTAATGGATACATTTTTCATCTGGGAACTTTCGGCACCCATTTAGACTTAGTTTCACTTGATTTTATTTGCTGTTATTTTCAATCAAAATAATATACATGAGAAAATATCAAAGTGGCAAAAGTATACTTGCATATCCCTCGAATTCTTCGTACCCCCTTACATAAATTACAGGTTGCCGAGTTGTTCAATTGCAAACTCTAACTCTAATTTTGAGTACTTTAGTCACTAATTTATTTTTAGTTCAGTAAAAGTAATGAATTGCAGATGAAAATTCTTTGTTTTACAACCGCGTGGTTTTTGTTTATGATTGATGAAATCTTCTGATATATGCCTCGTGCCCCGACGGTTCGCGCGGATTTGACCTTCCATACAAAATGCACAGAAGAAATGTGTCCGTGTAAACATTTTGTCCGTGTAAACATTTTGTCCGTGTAAACATTTCGATCGTAGCGCCGCCACTGAAACGTTCTCGGACAAAAGATCAATCAAAGTTACTCTGATTCCGTACGTTCACAAATTTGTCCGTACACGAGATAACATAATTATGTCAACATAACACAATCAAAATAAGATCGATAGAACGATTGAAAATTGTGTAATAACAGTTTCTTATGCAGAAAATTGAGCTTTATTTATGAATGAATTGCTGTAATAATTAATCACATGTCATTTTGTTTTGTGTCAAAAATTTGAAACGTTACATCACTTGCGGGGTCGTCACTACTCTCAATTCAGCCATTATTTTCACACGGAAATTTTTTTTGCGACAAAATATCCTTATGCCGGAAAGTTTGAACAATTAAAATCAATTACAAACGAGTATATAAAGTGTTGGACAGTCGTAAGCAGCCAAAAAAAGAGTCACAGAATTGTCTGGAAAGAGTTGGAGCGTGAAGACTTTTTTTCCGTAAAGAAATCAAATTGCGAAAAAAAAGAAATAAAAAAATCCAAAGCTGAAGCGTTCGTTTGGATATGTCTGATATCTTTAATAGCATTCAAACTTAGCTATGGCAGCCACAAGAAAACTTCAAGGTAATATAGCGCGTTTTATACAAAAGACTCTTCGACGCATTGAAAATGTTGTATGAAAGCAGGAGGAACAATCATAAAAATAGGGTGAACGACGTCTGATTGACGCATAAACAAAAAAAGAGACTATATAATTAAAGCCAGTTCATTAGATAAAATTAACGTGTCTACTCTTTTGCATTTTTACCTTGTGTAATAATAGTGAAGTGTTTGTTAGTTTAAATCGTCATTCGCCCTTCGTTATGCTTTTCCTTCGTTTTTGCTTTTCCTTCCTCCCTCATCGTTGTTCTCAACACTGGATCATCATAAAATTCTGATTCAGTAGAGAGAGAAGAAAAGGAAGAAGAAGTCAGAATTAATTTCCATTTTATTTTGTGTTTGTTTCATTTTCAATGCATGAAATTTTTGTTTGCATTAATTTTCGTATGCTTTTGATTAAATTATTTCAGGTGAGATCGATCGTTGTCTCAAAAAAGTGACGGAAGGAGTGGAAACGTTTGATGACATTTGGCAAAAGGTTCACAATGCAACAAACAGCAATCAGAAGGTGAGATTAAAATAATCTTGAAATATACATAGAAGGAATTTCATAAATTGACATTTGCAGGAGAAATATGAAGCTGATCTTAAAAAAGAAATCAAAAAGCTTCAAAGACTACGCGATCAAATTAAATCATGGATCGCATCGGCTGAGATTAAAGATAAAACATCATTGTTAGATAACAGGCGACTTATAGAAACGGTAAATTGTTGATGTTTAATGAAATTGTCAAAGAAACTGAAATTTTTTTTGTCGCTTTCAGCAAATGGAGAGATTTAAAGTAGTAGAACGAGAAACGAAAACAAAAGCGTATTCGAAAGAAGGTCTTGGGGCTGCTCAAAAGCTTGATCCATCTCAAAGAGAGAAAGAGAATGTGAGCTGTTGGCTGCAAAATTCCATAAGTTCCCTTCAAATACAAACCGATCAGTTCGAGAGTGAAATTGAGTCACTTATAGCTGGTAAAAAGAAGAAACTTGATAAAGAGAAACAAGAAAAGATGGACGATCTGAAAGGAAAATTAGAGCGACATAAGTTCCATATCACGAAACTTGAAACGCTTCTAAGAATGCTCGACAATGACAGCGTAAACATTGATCAGATCAAGAAGATTCACGACGATGTCGAATATTACATCGAATCGTCACAAGAGCCTGACTTTGAAGAGAATGAGTACATTTATGATGATATCGATGGACTCGATGAAGTTGAATTAAGTGGTAAATGTTTTCTTATGCGAGTTTCGCGCATTTATTTCTTTATTCGGTTATTTACATCTTATGCCTTTTTAAAAGGTCTACCATCAGCTGCGACCGAGAGCAATAACAGTAATGATACCGGCGGTTCACCAACAAGCACGACCTCGACTAGTCCCATCAATTCTCCAGCGCTTAATTGTAGTGCGCCAACAACAACAACGCTTAATGCTACCATGAAACATAATCACAGTGGATCAGGATCTACGTCGGTTGATTACAGCGATGTGAAAAAGAACAAAACGTTAGAGAATTCCATCATCAAGGTAATATTTGTTGATTTGTAGTTTGTGACAAAAGATTTAATTTCATTTCTAATTCACTTTAATCAGCCTGTCGTGAAACCAACAGCCGTGAGAGCAAAAACAGAAAATTCTCTGCCAACATCGACGGTATTATCGCTCAATAGCTCGAATACCATCATCAATAATAACAACAACATTTCGTCCGCTGCTTCCGTTGCTGCCTCGCAAAACACTTCAATTATGTCTAAGCCATTGATCAGTTCAACGCCGAGTAAGAATCATCAGCCATCAGCTGCACAAATTCTAGCTCAGAATAATTCTAATAACAACAATAGCATCCAATCACCATCAACGATACTACCAACAGCGCCTATTGCATTTTCTGCTGTCGCTAAGCAAAATCCTTGTAAGTCCTTTTTTACCTCCTTTTGTAACGGTCAAAGAATCGTTTCAAAAATTCTTTAAGTGGCCGAAGGTCACATTTCGGTCAATACTTTAATGTGTTTGGCTTCGATATTTTAAATAATTGTTTTGTGTTCATAATTAAATACAAAAAAGATGCTTTTCCAATCAACACTTTGTAATAAAATGAAAATGCTTTCAGCGACTCTTGAAAACGGCCCAATACCGATGGTATTGAGTGGACAAAGTAGTGCACCATTGCCAGCTCCATCATTGTCTAATATTAACAACTTAACATCAGTTGGAAGTAAGTTTAAGCTACAAATATTTCATGAAAACTTGAATTATTATTAATTTTATTATGTTAGATCTTCAATCACAACAACACTCAGCATCAGCAGTGCATAACAACACAAACAGCAGCAACGTGGCAATAGAGAATCACATGAACAACAATAGCAGTTCACTTAGTAATTGCGTGTCGCCAACAAGTAATCAATCGGCAGCGGTAAGTGGCCGAACATCTCCTTCGAGTCTCATGTCGCCTCAACAACAGCAACAACAACAGCAAATTCTCAATGGACCTGCTGCAAACGTAAAGCAGCAACAAAATCCATCATCTCAGGCGAATGCTGTGTCAGATCCATCAAATGAATCGATGTCAACGCTCAAGACAATTGCGCAAGAAGTTGTGAATCGATCAACTGCAAATCTTGTTCAGACACCACCAGTTAATATGACTCATCATCAGCAACAGCAGCAGCAACAACAACAACAACAACAGCAGCAGCAGCAGAATCAATCGTTTATGGACTCATCACACGATTCGACGTCAACTGCCACAGCTCAAAATGGTCTCAATGCTAACATTCATAGTTTGATTGGAATGTCAGGCATTACGAATATGAAACCGTCTGGAACAAATGAAGCTTTAATACCGCCACTGTTAGGAGTCGCACCATTAGGTCCAACACCACTTCAAAAAGATCATCAAGTACAAGTAAGAAATTTCTTTACTCTGATAAATTTAATTCAATGATTAATGAACTTTTTTTTTTATTATAGTTCCAAATGATGGAAGCTGCCTATTATCATCTACCATCACCAAGTGATTCCGAACGACTTCGACCTTACTTGCAGCGACAGGCAATTGCCACTCCACCACATTTTCCACAAGTAACTTTGAAATTATTTAAAATAAAAACAAAATCTCATTTCATTTATTTCAGACTCAACTTCCACATTCGGACACAATTGATTTCTTTCAACGTCTCGCAACGGAAACCTTGTTCTTTGTGTTTTATTACATGGAGGGAACGAAAGCACAGTATCTGGCTGCAAAAGCTCTTAAGAAACAAAGCTGGAGATTTCATACGAAATATATGATGTGGTTTCAACGTCATGAGGAACCAAAAATCATCAATGAGGAGTTTGAGCAGGTAAGCATAGTCGACGATCGAAAAGAAAAATGATTATTTAAGTGACAAGAACAGATTTGAGCATATTTTCACTTAATTAAGAAAGCGAGGGAATTTTCGATAATTTATTGGTTGGAGGGGTGAAAATGGTAGGTGGGAGGGGGTACGCATACCAAACGGTATCGTTTAATGATGATGATTTTAATGCGATTGTTTATTGATGATTACTTGAAAATAACCCATCATTGACATTAATGATTTTAAAAAGCAAACGACCCTGGATAGCGAGAACAAGCAACAGAAAATTCAATCAATTCGAAACTATGTAATGTGGAATTATGTCACTTATCTAAATCATTTTATCAACGTCATTTGTTATCACGAACATTAGAAAAACTGTCCATTATTTTATCATTGTTTATCTTTCTTTCTCTTTTTTCTCCCCCATAGGGCACCTATATCTACTTTGATTACGAAAAGTGGGGTCAGCGTAAAAAAGAAGGTTTCACATTTGAATATAAGTACTTAGAAGACAAAGACCTGAATTGATAACGCTGTGCAAACTTTGTAGTCATAATGTAAAAAAAAATTAATGAAAAAAAAAGAAAAATCAACGCATTGAAAAAATTTTACAACAGTTGAAAGGAAAAGTTTTTATTTTGCAACTTCATTTCTCAATTACCTAAGTTTAAAAAAATGCTGAAAACTCTGATTAATCGTGATGGACAACGTTACATGTCATTTGCATGATTTATGTTATGAAATTTCAATTAAATTTGAAATTATGTTATTTAAATCAAATGAATTTGACACCAAACGTGATCTTGCGATTGCATCAGAAGAAACCAGAAAAATTCATAAAAAAAGAGAAAACAAATTTTGTTCTTTTGTTTTTGTCGTAAAATTCCCTACTTGGGAACATCTTTTTAATTTTTATCACGTAAAATTAAATGAATCAAAAAAGTGAAGAAATCTTTTCGCAGTTATGAAGGAAACTGTGCGATCCTATCAATAAAAATAAACTTTCTGCTCATTTCACTTTCCTGTGAGTTTCTTGGCAAGCTGAGTACTGCTGCGCTTAACTCCTTTCCTATTTTAAAATTCGTTAAATTCAATGCTTAAGAAAGAAAAATTTACTTTTTTCTTTCGCTTTTTGAACGCGTTTGAAACAAAACAAAATAATTAAATATTCGATTCGAGGAAAGCTTCTTTTTTAAAATAGATACAAAATGGAAAATATGAAAATATTTCGAATTTTATAATGACGAGACATGAAATTGATGCTGATGATGATTAAAATTGAAGCTGAAACTTGTTCTACTTGCTTAGATATTCTTGATCAATGAAACCTTTCATTCTTTAGCTCAACTCCTACTCAAATGAATGAAATACTTTCACATAAAGATTATTAAACGTTTTCATAAAATGAGGCATTAGTGGCTTTACTTCATTCATTAGAGCAGCAGATGCGAGCTATAATCCATTTCTTTTTGCATTAAGGATCGAACCCAAATAAGAAAAGAAAGAAATACAAAACACGAAGAAATAATTAAAAAAGATAAAAAAAAACACTCAAAAATGATATCCAAAAGCTGACGATGAAATTTTACATGTGATCCACTAATTAATTAGAGAGTATTATTGTAAAGTGGGAAAAACAAAATCAAATCTTTGATTTTAGTGACAACAGGAAATGCAAACTGCAAAGAAAGAAAACAAAAATCATTAAAGATTTAAACACCGAACCCATAAGATTTTGTCTTAAAGGACGTTGACAAATGATTGAAGAAATGACGAAAAAAAAACTGATCATGATTCATGAATCAATAAAAATTGATAAGGATTAATTAATTAAAAAAAATCTTTTGACTTCTTTATTTTCTATGAGATTTTTCAGATGTTCAAAACTTTCCCTTGCAATGCGAGGGTGGAAAACCCAAAGTAAGTGAATGCGTTCATTTATATTATTCGATGTTTATTTGTTTCAATTTCAATTTCTTTTCTCTCACAATTGATAAAACATAAAAGTTAATTAAAAGCTTTCGAAATAATCTCAAATCTGAAGCTTCTTAAAAAAACATTTAATGGAATTTAAAAATATTTCTTTTATCGAGTGTTATTTGTTTGATTTATTCAATTCATTGCGATTCTTTATTTGATAAGCTTACAACAGAAGGAAACATTTTCAGATGAAAAGGAAAGGAAAAACCATTTTTGTTTAAATTTATCACGTTCGACCCATCCAAATATTAATCAAATTAATGCGTGCAAAATTGAAGTGAGACTAAATACGAAAGAGTTGTAAAGAATTTCTGACCAGCATGGAATATCTAATGTCGAATGTCGTCCGTTTTAAAGCAGAATGAGACCAGTCGCCTCAGGCGTCATTGATGGACAACGCCAGTTGTATAAATAATATTGAAGATTCCCATCGCCAATGCCAAATTTCAAATCCTGAAGAAATTTCTTGTTTTCCATGAGATCGAGCGCATTGAAAACATCAAAATGTAAATTTTTCGCTGATATTAAAGCATCGTAGACGAGGTCGTTGATGTTGGTTGCGGTTGCAATGTTATAGAAAGAATAAGCGGCTTTAATTTGCTTATGCATTGGATGATGCATGACTGTCGAAGGCAAAGCATAATAACTGACTAGGTCAGTTATTTTCCCATCGTTCTCAACCACAAAACATTCAATTATGTTGTTCTTGGGAAGGAACCAATGTCGAAATTCTTCCTCATCAAACAATGGCGCCAAGTCGAACTTTCCAAGATAATCACTCAACAACTTGAAAGCTTTAGGCACGTCCCTTGATTGGATTTGACGAAAACCGGGCGTTTTCGGTGAATCAGGCAGCTTGTACAACTTTATTGTTCGCTGCATCGTCATGTTACGTGACAGGCACGAAAAGTTCACCTAAAAATGCAAATTTTTGTCATCTCAATGAATCATAAGAATTATTAACAAACTCACATCAATAAGTTTCTTCGGGTTTAATGAACGATGCCAATAGCGGCATGTCGTCACTGGCTTTGGCAGCACAACACCAGCTGTATAAACTGCTTGAAAGATTCCAGTCAAGTTCACACGTCTTGTAATTTCTCTGATCAGCACCGGCGCTAATCGCTTTGAACGAAGCTTTTTGTGAACACAAAGAAAATTTATCTCGACGACTTTCAGTTTTCGTTCATAAACTTTAACTTCAGCTGGAATTGCAGAGATGAAAGCTATTAAACGTCCAGATTTTGCGACACGAACACCAACGTGCCAATCTTTTAACCATCGCGGTGGTTGCAATGCCCATCTTAGAAATTCAGGTTGATAATCAAAGCGAAACATTGCATCGTCATCTTCCACATAATTTTCATTCAAAAGCGTGTAAAGTTCTTTAAGAACGTCTTCGTTCTCTAAATCCAACGTCTCCCAAATGAACCCATCGGGGAGATTATATGGATCTGGTTTGATCTCAGCAATTGTTTTATCAGGCTCTATAGCTTTATGAAACTCACTGTCTGTCGTTGCACCACTTTCTTCATCAATCTTAGGCACTGGTTGTGTACTCCAGAACTTGTAAACTTTGGTGGATCCAGCACCAGCTTCTTTCCCCATCTTCATGACTTCATCTAATTTTAAAGATTTGAGTGTCTTCAACATATCACCATCTAAGTTAGATAGTTGAGCGAGTGCACCATTTTCATCAATTTGATTAAGTCCTTGTTCATGTTCTTCTGATTTCACGTTTCCACTGCCGGACTTTTTGTTTTTTGACCTTCTCTTTGACTTCTTACTCTTTTCCGCCTTTTCCTCATGTTCTTCAGATGGCCCTTCATTGTGATTGCTTTCGTTCTCCATTGTAGAATTGCTCTTTCTACACAATTAGTTAATGATAAAATATTTATCGAAGAAAAATGGAAAATTTCATAAACTTTGTCACAAACAAAGGGAAAAGCTGTTTACCCCTAAATTTTAAATTTAAGCGGGATAATCCGTTACAAGTTCTTACAGTTAGTATTTGCAAATTACCATAGAAATCAAAACTTCTTTTTTGGCGGAGAAAGATTATAAAACTTCTCCTCCACCTATTTTAGTTGAAAAGTGAAACGAACTTTCCAGGAGACAAAGACAGGAAGGGAGCAAGATGGGAGATGATATTTCACAAGCCACGTTTTTTAATGTTCATAGCAATTTGAAAAATGAAAAAGTTTATTTTAAAAAAAAATAAATGACTTATAATAAATTCTAAAACTGATTTTGTTTTAATGATTCTCAACCTTGCAGTTTTATTCTTCCAGCAAAAAAAACTTAATTTCATGAAGATGTATGTTAATGGAAAAATATCTTGAAAGATCATGACGATAGTAATTCAGATTCGTTTCGCAAGGATGTTTCTGTTGACACTGCAGCAACTTAAGCTTCAGATTCAGCGGCCAACTTTGCAAGGAAATCAGACTTGCGTTTAGCGACGTAGTCCTTACGTTGCTGAAGAGTTTGTTTGGCTTTATTCCATCTCTTCTTGGTGACCTTCTTCTCAGCTTTCTTCTGATAAACTGGATCTTGACGAATAGCTGCATGAGCCTTCTTGTAGATTGTTTCAATCTGTTGAAAGAAAAGAAAAAATGTTAGATTCAAGTGCTTTGATGTTGTTATTATTAATTGTCAGATACATCACAGGAAAATGCAAACATGGAAATTTATTTTGCAATTTCGAACTTAGATCTTTGCTTCATCCCTTAAAAAGATGAAGCAATTTATTTAATGTGGTCCATATGCGACGCCAGAAGATTATTTTAATATTTTCATACAACTGGTAACACTATTAATGGACGTGTTAATAAAATATTTTTTTGTCATACTTACATCATCAGCACGAATGCCTAACTTGATGTATCTAGAGAATTGGCGCTTATATGCTTCTTCGTCGTCACCTTCAAGTTCCTTCATGTATTTTGCAACATGTTGACCGAAGATATGTTCACGATGAACTGCAGCGTCGAGAGTTTTCTCTTCAGCATTGTAACCAGGGAAACGTTTAACAGAGTGAGGGATGTTAAGACCGCCATCAACAGCGCCTTTCATTGCACCGAAAACTCGGGCTCCAGTAGTTGTGCGGGTTAATCCAACATCTAAGTAACAACGGAATGGACCTGGTTTTTCATCGAGTGGCTCGACAAGGTACTCATCGCCAGTTACATCAGGGCAGCCACTATAAATCGAATCCAATGACAATTTCTGGAGGATGCGACGAGCGACCAACAAGCCAGTGCAGTACGCTGCAGCATAGTTTGTCAAACCAAGTTTCACACCATAGCGTGGCAATTCATGAGAATATGCGGCACAAACAATGCGATCGCCTTCGATACGAGCGTATGCAATTTGACAAGTGATGTCACGGTTGCTTAAACGCACAATTAAACGATACTTGGGTGTATTGTATTTATTCTTATCCTGGAAGATAAGTCTTTTACGAGCTTGGTAGTCAGTTTTACCTTCACGTCGTCGCTTAAATTTGACTTGATAACGTTTAAAGTATTGCTTGTTCTTGACGACCTTAACGAAACCCATTTTGAAATTTCGCTTGTTCCTAAGTAAAAATAAAAAAACGTGGGAAAATTAATTTATGGAAAAAAACCTGATAACATGAAATGGAATTGAAAATGAAAATAAAAAAATTGAGGGGAATTTCTTTCATTTTTTTTTCATGGATGTCAAAGTTCCACTTAACCTAAAATTACGTGGAATATTTTAATACAATTTATTGATGAAAGTAAGCAAACACGATAAAAAAGAATTATTCACAAAAAAGGAAATACGAATAAGAAGTAGAATCACGAGACCTGAGTTCGTATTCTTTGAATTTGGAAAATTTCTAGGAAATGTGATTATGTTTTGCACAATATGAAAATCTTCAAATAAATTTTATAACATTAAGATCACTTTGCATCCATGATTTTATGTATTAAAAATATTTATATACCACTAAATTATAAGATTTCACTGATTTAAACAAATGGTTGTGCACTTTAATAATTAATTTTACTCACTTGCTACTTGATCTCTTTTGGATCAAAAGGAAAAGGAAGAGGCATGCAACTACAGCTGATGAATATTTGAATGACTGCGAAAGAAATGATGTCACCAAGGAATATGGGAAATTTCTTCCCACTACTCTTCAACTTTGATGTAGAAAAGAACAAAATTTATCGGTTAGTTTTGCAAATAATTAATAAAGAATGAGGAAAAACCATTATATTGATAGGAATTGAGTTTAAAACGGGATAACTCATAAAATTCATACATTACTGCTGGATGCAACAGAAAAGGGGCACTTTCAAGGGTATACAAGGAATTCATGTAAACAAAAGAGTACAAATAATGTTTAGACTTAGAAGAATATTAAAATTCTTTCTAAAATTATTAAGAAACTTTTTTGTAACATTATTTATTTGTGAATTTCTGATATACTACATAGTTATTTATCAGGTATGAACCATTTCAGTATATTTTTCTTGCAAAAATAAATAACATAAAATATCACAAAATATTTTTAGTGCCATTACAACGAAATAAAGAACGAAATAATCGACGATGGATTGAAAGCTATTATGATTAGTGACACTCACATGTTGGGACCTTTTCGTGGTCATCCATTTGATAAATTACGCAGGGAGTGGCAAATGAAAAAGTAAGTAAGTTCATATTTGTTATCTTAAATTTTTCTGATAAGCATTCACATTGCGTGTGATTATTTTAGATCATTCCAAGCAGCTATTCAAATTTTTAAGCCGGATGTTGTTTTCTTGTTAGGAGATGTTTTTGATGAAGGAAATTGGGTGAACCAAAAACAATTTGAGGAATATATTGATCGTTTTAAAAACATATTTTATGTACCACCTTCAATGCGAATGTATGTTCTTCACGGTAATCATGACGTGAACTTCCACTACCGAATGCATCCTGTATTGATTAATCGATTCGATAAAGCATTTAACACAAGCAGCGTCCAATTTATTCAGGAAAAGAAAATTACAAATGATGGTAGAGATCGGATTATTAACTTCGTTTCAATTAATTCAATGGCATTAGAAGGCGATAGCTGCAATTTTTGCAGTGAAGCAGAATATAAAATTGAAAGGATTCAGCGAAAATTAAATCAATTGAAAGAGAATAATAGCAAACCAATAATTCTTCAACATTTTCCCAGTTATCGAAAATCAGATGATGAATGTTTAGAGAAAAATTCAGTGAATCCCGAGAAGAAGTTTAGAGAAAAGTGGGAAACATTATCGAAACAAGCGACAGAATATCTTGGCCACAAACTCAAACCTAGAGCCTTTTTTAGTGGACATTCTCATCATTACTGTCGTTTAAAAAATACACTTGGCGTTGAAGAATTCACAGTTGCTTCATTAAACTGGCGTAACATTAATAATCCAAGTTTCCTACTGACTGTCTTCACTCCAGACGATTACTCTGTTTCAAAATGTGATATTCCTAAAGAAACCACCGTCATTGGACTCTATGTTGTAGGGCTAATTTCATCAATAGTTTTTGCAGTAGTAAATTTTAATTTAGTCAAATTATTTTCCAACATAAAAATTATAAGAAAATTATCAAAACAAATTTAATAAAAAATAACGGACTAATTATATTTAAAAATTGAAGAGAAGTTTAAATCCCCTCTGAATTTCATCAAAATTTTCTTCTTCCTTGTACTGCACAAGAATAGTGAAATAAATTTTTCGCTCATTACTTTTTTTAAATTTTAAGTGGTAACACTATATGTGATAACCGTACAAAGCCACTAAGAACATTACAATATGAAAATTTGGACTAGTGAACATATTTTCAAGTAGGTATCAAAAGTGAAATTAGTGAAAAAGACAAAAAATTAAGGCATGATTTTGGAACAGAGAAAAAATTCCAAAATCTTCGATTGAACTAATATCTACCGGACAAAAGTTGATTGAAAGATTCATGGTCAAAATAAAAAATTAAAGCCGCTATTATTATTCGGAATCTAAGTCAAGTTCTAATAAAATGAAGAAGACATGAAAATAATTATTTTTCTTACGCAATAAAATTTGCTTGAAAAGTTAAATATATCTAATCTAAAAAGATTAATGCTTTTAAAAATTATCAAAATGAAATGGTTCCATTGAACTGAAACAAAAGGAAATCAAAATATTAAAAATTATAAATTTTCAACCTCAAATATTTGGAGAGGAAAGAATTCTATGACGTAACTGGAATTGTTTTCCAATTCGATATGTAAACGCATGGTGATTCATTTAATTTCTTTCTCCTCAGTGGTTTAAAATATTTGTGAGATATTTGAAATTGAAAGAAAAGGAAATATACCTCCAATACTGATAAAATGAACAATTTGACTTAGGGGGTTCCTCACATAGATTCATGAATTCTCAAATTAAACAAATATAAAAAATGCACGTGAGTACGACGTCTGAGCTAGCGACAAGAAGAAAAAAAGTAAAGTATTTGTTGCTATACAAAAATAGCTTTTCAGAAAGTCACAAATGACATTTGTATTGGAGCACATATGCTTAACTACTACAAGCTTTGTATAAACGTTAAACAAAAAAAGAAAAACTTCCATAAGCGACCTTTGGTCAGTTTATTTCAACGAATCGTATCGGTATTTTCAAGGCTCGTCTCGTGTATGCAATCGAAGATATATTGGAGATTTCCGTGAATTTACTCATAAATTTATTAATTTTATTTCTCTCATTTCACTTTTAGCCATCCTTGGGAGACGGTGGCACAAGCAGCATGGAGGAAATACCCAAATCCAATGAACACAGCTGTCATCGCAACAGATGTCGTTGAACGATCAGTTGTCCAAGGCGTACTCCACACACATCGTTTAGTCAGTTCTCGATGGTGCTTTCCAAGTTGGACGCATAGAGTGAGTCAATTAAGAAAAATGTCAATAAATACACGAGCGCGGAAATTCTCGGAGATTTACTTCGATCACGCTCGTGTGTCGTGCACACTTGTTAATTCTGTAACATTTTGTTTTGTTTCGTCATAAATTTAATCAATTAATCAAATGAAGATTTAACATTTTGTTAATCATTGTTTTATAGATAATAGGAACGCCGAAAGTTTGCTATGCAAGCGAACGGTCAGTAGTAGATCCAAGTGAACGTCAAATGACATTGAAGACAACAAATGTAACATTCGGAAGTTTTCTGTCAATGGACGAAGTACTACAATACAGGCCACATCCAACAGATCCTACAAAAACTCTTTTACTACAGCAAGCAACAGTGAGCATAGAAGGCGTTCCACTTAATCGATACATGGAAGATGTGCTAACAAAAAATATCAGTTTTAATGCAAATAGAGGTCGACAAGGACTTGAATGGGTTATTAATAAAATAAATACAGAAGTGAGTGATATTTTAAAAGAATATTTAAATTATATTATTAATTAATTAATTCTAGGTGAAAGAAATTGCATCTTCAGCAGATGATTTACTAATGCAAACCAAAAAGTCATTGGACGAAATCACAGATTCGGCTCGAAAGTCGATTGACGATCTATCAACATCAACGAAGAAAATTCACTTTTAGTACGCTCAATGTCTGAAGTTTAGCAATTTTTTTAATCAGGATTCAATGGAGAGTGAAAACAATGCAAAGCATCATAGTGAAGATAAAAAGAATAAGAAGAGCCTTTAGCATCTAGCGTAAAAGTATTGTTTACAAGACTCTCTCACTCACTGACATTTCCATTTGATGCCATGTTTCATTAGGATAATTAAACGCACTCGTCGGTTCGAATTCCTCAACGTAAATTAATGATTTTCGTTCTTATAAGTTAAGTCAGCAATGTGTTTGTTCATTTTCTTTTTCTTTGTGGAGCTTATGAAGAAATTTATTCGATAATTAAAATTTTTTCATTCGACCCATTGAGAATTTTTTTCTTTTCATCAATTTTGGAAACTTTTAGAAATGATTTGCATATGTATGATGTCATACTATAAGTAAGAAGGGAACATTTTCAGGAACATTTAATAACTTTATACTTTCCCTGTTAATAAAATCAGATTAAAGATCATCTTGATGATAAAAGACAATGCAATGCGACTTTAAATGATGATTTGAACTTTATTACAAATAGAAGAAAAAATTTGTAAATATTTATTGTTGCATTAGGGAATTAATTTATGTAAATAAAATTTAATCTGTTGATTCTAATATCAATATCATTAATTAAAAAATAAATACAAGTTGAGAATTGAGATGATTTTGTCTTTGAATTCGAAGGATCTTCAGTGAAGATCATTCCGCCCCTGGTGGTGGCAATTGAAACTAATATGTTACTCAAGACTCTGCACAATGGAATTATGAAAAGTACTCAATTAAAGGATGAAGCTTTCAAAAAAGTTTTTATTTCGATTTTTAAATTAATTATGTTTCGACACTTACATATCATGGGTTTCATCATGTTTTAATGCTTCTTAACATCCCGGGAAACTCGGGAATAGGATTTTTGTCATTCTTACGTCTTACTTTCTAGAAACTACTTGTCATTTTTCCCTTCAGTTAATTAATGTTTCTTTTATGCTTTCTTGTAAAGTTTTTTTTTTGCTTTTATCAGTTTTGTTTGATGGCTTTAAGTTTGAAAATTGGCAAGGAAAGGCATTTTTATATCATTTACTTCTTGTTTAATTTTCATGGTATGGAAATTTATCATCGTGTGTTTATACAATGTTTCTGATTTTCCATAATCTCATCATTGGTTTAGAATTATAATTTTAACATCTTTTTTAATCATTTTTCGCTAACTAGTTATAATTAGATCGATTGTAATCATTAGAGAGATTTTCTTCTTAAGTCATTTTCATAGTCGTAGTTTAACACATCAGTTGCAGTTGATTCGATCTAAAAGTGTTTAATCTGTTTTTGTTTTTGAACTTCTTAAGAAATTTTATGTTAAGAAAATTATCTACAACTAATATTTTTATAAAAGATGTGTTTAATCGACGAACAAAATCAATGGAAAAGAGAAAATAGATTAATAAGTACGAGAACTTTAAGTTTGTTTCTTCTTTTTTCTTATACTTTCTTCTCATAAATTTTTGAGGCTTAAAAAGATTATTAGCTATTAGAATTAATTATTATAATTAAAATTTATCAATAATTTCAAGTATGTTCCATTAAAGTTGTGAGTGTTTTCAATTTTCTTTTTTTTCTTTTGGTGAAGGCATTTTTTCGCAATTTCTTAGTGACTTCTTTGATCATTTATAATGTAGCAATACTTTTAATTATAATTAGTGCGGAGCTTTTCGCGATAACAATTTTCATGATTCTATTTTCATCTAAGCTCCAAATTTCTTCTGTTTTTGTGTGTGTATGTGGGTGTGTAGTTAATCTGATTTTAATCGAGTCACATACTTTTATTTCATTTCAAAATTAACTTTTGAATATGACAAAGATTTTGTGTTTCATGTCATCATTAAATCAAAGCTATGCAAAAAGGTGTGAAAATGTTGAGTTGAGAGAAGCTTTTCGAAAGCTTGAAACTTTTTGTAAAACTGTTGGCACAAATAATTAAAAATTAATTTAATATTTTATTGGTGAAAATTGATTTTTCAACTTTACAAAATATTTTATTTTTTATCAATAAAATGAGAAGAAAATTTTCGCGATTTTATTTACAAAGTGAAATTGTTCATGAAACTTTTATTTGTTCTTTTTCAAATACAGCATATTGATTGAAATTTAAAGATACTTTTCCTTTGGAATAAAAATTGATGTTGAAGCATTCATGTGAAGAAAGTTTTTAAGGATTGTGAAACTTAAGAAGCTTCTAAACAACGAATGGTCCCAAAAAGCTACGAAATTTTCTTTTTTCCTTTAATGTTACCTTAATAAAATGTAGTAGAAATGCTAAACACTCAAATGGTGGTATGAGTCTTTTTTTTATTATTTTTGAAGCTTGACTGAAAAAGAACTTTTTAGCTTAACTTTTTAACCAGCTACTGACTCTTGAATCGCAACGAGGAACCCCTGAGTGTTGAGAATAAGATAAATTATGATGATAAGTCTCATCTATACATTTATTTATGTTAGCTTGATAAGATTCATCGGCGTCACTTCTCTTTGTTGTCAACAACTGGCGTTATCTACGTGATGTGTGTGTGTGTGTATGTTTTTGTTTCGACTACTTAAGTATTTTATATTGAAAAGTAAGCTTTTAAACTCTCAAACGGTAAATGCTTAATTCATTCGTTTAAAGATAAACAGAAAAGTGATGATGATTCATTATTAGATAATTAGATTTCTTTTGTCTATAATTTTAAATGAAGCCTGATTCATGATTTAATTTTTTTTTTCACCAATTAAAAATGTAATTACAAATTCTTAAGAAATCACGCAAATCAAATGAGAAGAAATGAGAATCTTGTTGTGCAATTTAATCAAACCTTCAATTGGATCAAGAAATATTTTTAATTTAAACATTAATTTTGGAAAGAAATTCTTCAATTATTTCCATTCTCTTATGGTGATGATGATATATTTATTCGATTAAGACAACTTGGATATTTCTATCTAATGTTTTTTCTTTGTTTTTTATTTAAAAGCGTGGGTTCAGAGCTTCATTAAAATGCTTAAGTTCTTCCGTCGAGAAATAAAATGAACGAAATGAATTCTTAACAAGAGATGTAGAGAGAATTAAAAATGTTTTTTCTTTTTCTATTTGCTTCTAATTATTGAAGACAATTATGGAATCAATTCAACTTCAAGAATTTCCCGATCATATCGAATATGTAAGTATTTAAGTTTGTCGGTGTAAATTTTTATTTGTTTTATCACAAGAAATTGTTTTCAAATGTTTTTCCAAAAGATTTTTTTTTCAGCTGCTCTTAAAAGTACTTTTTCATTATCTACTTCGTGAGGATTCTTATTTAGTTCGAGACGAAAAAATGCATCAAAGTTGAATTGATTTGAAGCTGGTTGCAGGCTGATTGTCGGATGGATTTAAGCAACAAGAGAGTTTATCATTCATCTCATATCATTCCAAAGCTTTTCATAGAACATACATAGAACACCATCGATAAGTTCCGGCTGGCAGCGTGCAACCATTGTGCAATGACGAAGAAAAAACGGTGAAAACAGCTTTGTAGCTTAATTCTCTTCAAGTTTAAGTTTCATCATTGCACAAAATCTCAATAAACAATTTTCATTCGCAGGAAAGAATTCCAATCGCTTTCATTTAGGATTAAAGGGAATGCAAATTGTTTACCGAGATTATTAAATTCTTGATTCCTACATGGCATTGGCATTCAAGACCCTACGGCTGTTACCTCTGTGTGGGCTGTACTCAGCGTCGCGGTCACGTCGATGAGTGAATCTTTCTTTCTCTTTCTCACGTATAAGATCCAAACTATCATCGTAATTACTACTATTACTCACTAAATGTCTACTATTACTGCCTACGTCTAAATGAGTTCTATCGCGATCCACTCGAGGATCTCGATTACGCGGATCCCTATCTATAGCACGTCTCTCATCTCTATGCATTTGATATTCGTCTCGCATTCCACCAACATATTGTCGGTCATTTGTCATCTCATCGTCATTCAAATTGTAGCTCATCGCTATGTCTCGTTCACGAGCTTGAATACGCTCTCTCTCACGTTCCAATCGATCTAATCTGTCTTTTTCACGGTCCGGATATCTCGCCGAACGTCGATTACTCTGCTGATTATATGATGATGATCCTACAATAAAAATTGAAACAAAAATCTTAGTACAAAATCAAGTAAAAAAAAGTTTTGTTTTTCATAGCGAAATCAATTCAAACAGAAAAAGAAATTAAAAACTCTTTCAAAAAAAACATGAAAAAAATAACTAAACTAAATTCAACAAATTATAATAAAAAATCACACAAAAAATTTTCATTTTTCCTGTTGCAGGCAAAGGCATTTATTTTAGAGTGTTTGGTTTGTAAATATTTTCTAGTTGCTTTCAATGTATCATGAAATTTCCTATCGGAATGAAAACGATTTAGGAAAAACTGGGAGAAAAACCGAAAGAAGAATGGGTTTAATTCCTACTTACAGACAAGAGAACAAAAATTGAGAATAAATATGTTTAAACTTGAGGGAATTAAGTAGAATTGTGCACGACAATTAAGAAATTTTCGATAGTTTAGAAAGATAGTTGTTCTTCACTTTGTGCACTTATTTGTCTACGAATAACGCCTTGAACGACTAGAAACGAAACAAAATGAAAGAAGTGCTTAATGAAACATGAAATTCTTCCTTTTAAGGAAAAAAAACTATGTTAATTATTTTCAAGGAAAATGTGTTAGTGTTCAATTAAATAATTATAACAAAAACATGGTAAGATCGAGACAAGAAATTTTCCACAACTTTCCTCCAGTCTCGATCTTTTAATATATTTAAAACCATGTTTAAGCTTGCTTTAAGCTACTCTCTCTCTCTCGATTATTGTTATCCACTTCTGAATTCTAATTTTTTTGCTTTTAATCACAAACGAAATTTCATAAAACTGACACTTTTCTACTAACAAGTTTTTCAGACATTAAGAGAAGAACTTTGGTCACTAAAGAAATGTGGAATTGAAATCGTCGTAATGAAATGCTGAAACGTAATCAAAATGAAAATAAAGAAAACGAATGAGAACTAAAAAGAAATTTCGAAAAATTAAAGAAAATTGATGACAAATTGTTGGTCGTTAAAATCGATCAGCAGGAAAATCGTGTTACCTCCTCTGTGTCGTTCCTTCTCTTCTATTATTCGTTCGCGTTTAATTGAAAGGAAATTTAAGATTTCAGTTCGATAGTTTACAACGACATTTTCTTTCCACTGGAAATTTAAAGGAAAGTTTTCAATAGAAATAATAAACTTACCAGGTGGGGTTGTTCCCATTCGATTTTCAATCGTCGGAGAGGCTTCTTGTGGCAATGGTCGCTGCATGGGTGTTGATCGAACAGGTGGATGTGTTGCACGCCAATAAGCCTTCATATAACAAAAAAAAAGACAAGTACATAAGCTCAACAATTTTGTTCTATCCAAACATTTTAAATAAAAAAACAAACTTTACCTCTAAATATTCTGCTAAATGATTGCATGCTTCTTCTAACTGATTTTCATCTAATATAACATCAAACATTTCAGGAGGACACTGACTCAGTTTCTCAGCCGCCACCATTTGAACTGATAAATTTTTCGCTTGAGCTTTTCCACGTGATTTGATTAATCTTTGCAAAACCTTGAAATATCGAATGATAAGAGATGACTCATCGTCGAAAAGCTTTCAATTTAACATTGACGTAAGTGAACTTATGTCATGTAAGTTACGTTACGCCAACGTTAACGAAAAATGAGCTTTTCACTCAAATCAATTTTGAAGCTTCTTCTACTTACTTTACTGCTAGCTATTTTTAAATAAACTATGGTTGGTGCTAGTGACGTTTTAGCTAACTGTGACGGATGGTTGATAGTATCACAGTCCAAGACAACTAACTGAAGGGTTCGAGCCAACTCAAAAATTCTTTCAATCTCAGCTTGTACCTCAGCCAAACATGTTGAACGACTTGATTAACAATAAATACAAAAAGTTAATACATAAAGAAATTAATTTAAATTATAATCTCACCTATTTGATCGTTCCATGATTGCACGCTTAGAAGGATTATTCATCAGGGATCTTTTAGCTAATGATATATCTGCTTGAACACGAGTTATAATGATCCTGAAATAAAAGTAAAAAATGTCAATATGATCGATGATTAATATTTTTAAAAACCGAACGAAATGGAGAAGGAACAAAAATTGTGTTCCGTTAAATAAGAATTAATAAATAAAATTAAAGATTGTCTATCGCTTACCTTGACTCAAAACGATGTTTGAGAAAATCAAATAAAGCTTTTTGCATCATATCTGTGACCTCGTAGCCTTTTAGACTCGGTCCTACCAGCACAACTGGTCTCATTGATGGCACAACATCATATGGTGATGCGGTTTCTTGTTTTTTGAAAAACGGTTTTCTTTTTTCTTTCGTCGGCGGCGTTGCCAGCGGTGTTTTCGCGTGACGCGATGCACCCATTGAATCGCTTTCATCACCGGGGGTTGGAGGTGTGCTGCCCCTTGACGGTTCAACGCCAGGGGCGGCCGCCATACCCAAATTCCCACTGGATGAAGCTTTGGATGCATAGAGTTTTGACGATCGCACTGCTGAGGCTTGAATTCGAATGTGTTCGAGTTTCACTGGACTTGGAATGAAGCCCACCTCACAGCCTTCTTTCACCAGCCGACCGATCCACCAATTATTGTCATATTTTTCCTTAATGTGTAAAAAGTCTCCTACTTCGAACGATACAGCACTGCCATGTACGGGCGAATCATCATCCACACTTCCATCGTACGACACATTCGTTCGCACAGCAAATGCTACCGGTTTCGTTCGAGCCTTCTCCAACTGCCCCAGAGCTTGACGCTCTTTTTCTCTCCGAAGAGACTCTTTTTCCTCGTCCAGCGACAGATCGGAAGATGGTTGTGAGTAGTTTGAGTCAGCAGAACCCTTAAAATAAAAAACAAATGAGAATTGGTGAATATCAACAAATTCCATGATGTCATCAAATTTATATTTAAATTTAATTTCAAAGGCGCATGCAGTGCATGTCTAACATAATAAATTCTTGAAGTGATTGTGAAATGAAAAGTCAATGGAATTTTGTTTCTTTTCAGTTTACTGAAAAAAGAAATTTTGAAAATGCATACGATGACGTTTAGAGCGAGAATGACATTCATTCCTTTGTCCCTCAAAAGACTAAAAGCTTCTTTCATTTTCATTTTCATTTTCCTTTTTTTCTTTTTCTTTTTCTTCGACCATTTAAATAGTGTCACATCGGCAAACCTGGGTAAAGAGTTTATTGTATCCCGCGCTTTGGTATCCTATACCACCAAGTGAGGCCATACGAGTGGTACTCGCACTTGGGGCATCCGAAGTGGTATTGGCTCGTTGAACCATGGGCCTCTCCGGCCGCCACTCGTCTTCGACTATGCCGGATATTTTGTTTGATTTTCAATTGTTACGGCAGTCTTTTCTGGTTACAGATGTTGATCTTTTTTGTGTCTTTTAATCGTGATATGGGGGAATGACTTAGCTTCGAGCACGGGACAGCAAGTCCCAACTTATAATTGCTACGAATGCTTTATATCCCTGTTCGTACAATGAAATATGAATACTTTAAGCTTTCCTATGCTTTTTTTTAAACTTCTTTCGTATCTTCTTCTTTTTGGTGAACTTTCAATGAATTTTTCTCTTCCTTCGGTAATGAAATTTACACACAAGCAAACACTACAATGCTTCACTAATAGAATTGATTTTATTTTAGCTATTCCATGATTATTTATGTTATGTGTAACATCTTTCTTCTCTATTTCTTTTTTTTTACTTTTTGTTTGTTTTATTTTGCGCTTAATTTACGATCACTGCTTTTGTCAGACACTAATTTTGTTTCGTTCTGATACTAAAAAATTAGTCGGTGGGAAGGGAAAATAAGAAGAGAAAAATACAAAATTAAAAATGAGTGCACAATTTTGAATAAAAGTTCTGATGTTTTTTATTTTATTCTGAAGAAGAGAAACATGAGAAATGTGTATGTGACTGAAGGGGAAAGAGAGGAAAATGCATTAATTAAGGATTTTTTTTGCTGCTTCACTTATTTTTGCCACATGAAACGAGGATACACTGAAAATTTTCCACATGCAACTTTGAGGGGGGATGAAACGCTTTTTGCATAATAATTTCTTTTGTAACATCATCAAATATTAAAGAGGTCACAGACGGAAGAAGATTTTTCTTTCATTTCTTTTTTTTCCACCATGAAAAGCTATTAGAGTATACTTTGAAGCTGTTCAAGATTTAATTTCTATCCTGATATTAACTTGAAATCAATTTTGTTTGACGTTGTTATGAGAAGTCGCTAAGCGCTTCACTCGACACTCCTTTGTAATAAAAATTCAATATGTTTTTTCTTTCTTTTTTGCGTTTTCTTGGTTGACTCATAGAACCTTGGTGATAGATTTTTTTCTCCCTTTTTCTAACATTCTGTGACCTTAAAACTTTAATTAAGATTTTTCCAGCACCTCAAACTTCAATTTCATTGCAATATCGACAAAATTTTCAGTTTTCCACGACACTTTCTCTCTTTTTTTTTTTTTTCTTATGGTGAAATGGGGAAAAATTATCTAAGGCAACTTCAAATGTGTAATTTATAATTACAGTATCTCGAATCCAGTTCGTCTGCCCGTTGCAGAACACCAGCTAGATTCAAGTTATCGCAAAACTAATATAATCACTTTGTATTGGTAAATTTGCGTTCGCGTAACTCGAATTTTTTAAAAAAGAAAATTCTTCGAATAAAAATGATTGAGAGCCATGACTAAAAGCACACATAAGAAAATTTCTGTCCGAAAAAAAGTTCGTACTGTGGTAATCTGGAATTGAGAAGAACATGTTCGTACACATATTAATGCAGGTTATATGAACAGCACGATTCGGCGCAATTCATCGTTTCCGCTTGTTCATTGTATATTATTTTAAAATGTTGTTGATTGAATTGTGAAGAGATTCGTCATGATTCGTCATTAAAAATCAAAGTAAAATCCTTTCATCACTTAAAAATATTAAATCAACTTCTCTTTAATTCATAAATTTTAAACAAACGATTGAAACTCTCCTTTCAAACTCTGACTTTTTAGTACAAGCTCATGATCCTATGGTGTTGGTTTTCGATTTCATGTAAACTACAAACACATTTAGAGGAGCGCACGCGTGTTTTCATTCATCGCAGTTACAACTTTCATTCATTTCTTTGCTTAATGTGAATTCCCAACAAAAATACGTCACAAAAAGCTCATTAAGCGAACGTACTTCAATGATCCCAATGTTAAGATTTTTTTTTCTCTCCTTCTCTCTCACTGTCAAATTGTGGGTGGAAAGGAATAATAATATTTCTATCTTCTATGAAAGCGTGGAAGCAAAACGATTCATCTGCGGATCTTTTGCATTGGTAGCAAAATAAAGTGAAATATCAATGTTGACGTCATCCTATCCGTCGTATGCTTTGTTATGATATTCTTTGGGAAATGACTACAGGGCAATTTTACCGACATAAATAAGTCTTTCAAAGTTCTAAGAATTCAGCATATAAAAATACGTAATTGCAGTTGATTCAGAAATTATTTTTACGAAAGATGCATTTGTGCATTGAATGAGTCAAATTCATTTTGAAAATATTTACAGATGAATCATAAACATTGCGCTGAAATACGTCATGGATTTTCTCATGTAATGTATGAATGTCTGCTGGTCTCTCATCGCTGTTCTCGCATTTTCTTTTCGCACTTTTCTTCTTTCCGTTTATTTTGTCGTTTTTGCGGAATTTATTATGCTCACCCGTCTGTTTTTCGATCGAAACGGAGGCTTATAGGTCGTGTTGTGGCGCTGATGATGAGTTCTTCTGTTCATTGTGATGAATTTCCCTCGCTACACTTTAACTTCTTCAAAAATAGATTTTCACTTCAAGTCTCTGTTTCTTTTAATTTAAGTCACTTGAGCATTTATGTTTCTTTTTTTCCTTTATTTCTATTTCATGTACTTCACTAATAACTAACGTAATGTATTTGATGGCATGAAAACGGAAACTTCCAGAGATTCAATGAAATTGAAAAATTATCAGGAAAATAATTTAATTGAAACTAGAATGAAAACTTTTTGTGTGTTCACAAAAATCTTTTGTTCAAGCGACTGAGAAGAGAAAAACAGCACCAGATCGAGTTATTTTTAAGACATTTTTCTACTCGTGAAAATAAGATCTTGAAAAGAATTTTTCTCTACGAAGGGAAAAGTGGACTCTCGCGCGATCGTGAAATTTTCTTTTTAACATTTCACTGTGCGTTCTCAGAGTAAGTCGAGAGCAAATTTAAACGGAAGTTATCATTCATTATTCTCGTTGCTAATGGCGTTACTTGTGACAACATCGCCAATCTTACCCTAAATTGTTTATTTTCTTTCGGTGCAGTTAACAATTTGTTTATATTTATTCTCTCAATTTTTGATAATCGCTAAAGAATCTCTTAAAGTGATCGTGAAAAAATGTTTGAAACAAAAATGAAATTAGGACACATGGCTTATGTATCTACGAAAATTTACTCTTTCTCCTTCTTTCTTTTTCACAAGATAATTCGCGCCATTAATATTTCACATTATAGAAGAAAATCAAAATCATCATCAAATTTAATTTGATTCAATCTCTAATTGGATCATAGCAAGTCCAGTTAGCTGATTGAAAATATTTTTAAAGCTGCTGCGTGTCTTTCATGATGCACAATCAACGATAAAATTTTCGCCCCGAAACTATTTCTGTGCATAAATTTTCGGCAAAACTGAAATGTACCGTTATGCATAATTGGTGCTTCAAACAGCAATAAATTCTCTCCAGCACCATCAGCAACAAGCAAAAGAGAACGATAAAGATGATTACGAATATAGGCGAATGATTGGCGAGTAGGAAAAAAACAACTTTTGAAAAGCATTCATAAAAATTCTTAAATTAAGAAAACCGAAAACGAGTGAAGATCAAGAAGCTTCATGAAGGATCGCGTAAAGTGAAGAAAGGGAAAATCTATCCAATAATAAATGGAAGATTGAAATACATGTCTTCATACATTGAAAAAGAGCGAACAACGATAGAAGCAAACATTTTTAATTCGTTTTTCAGAAACTAATTTCAGCAACCCGGCATATAAAATAAAATAAAACGTTAAATTTACTTTTTTCTCGGAATTTCTCGTTTCATCGATGGGACGATTATATTCTTTACCTTTTTTTATGCCATTAGATATATTGAAGAATGTATAAAATAAAAATAGATATAAAGTGTGTTGTTGCACATTGAACTGAATCATTCTTTCTCTCTTTTTTTTCATGTTTTCGCTTTTATTGTTGGGCTATTTATTTGAATTGATCGTTTGTGCAAAGGTGTAGACTATGGAATGATGATTGGGAAACGTCAAAAGTTATTCCATAGTTTATTCAATCAATTACGAAGAAAATGTTGCATTTATGCTAATTTAATTTATGTTGCCTTATTATGAATAAAAAACCATCTGCCATTACTAGTTGAAAATTTAATTTCCGTTTCATATCTCTGGCAATACTTTATGTTCTTCTTCTAGTTTGCTTGCTTGCTTACTTGCACAATGGAAATAAAACTGCATTAGAAGATAGCGGATTCCTTCACTGTGTTAGTCAGTCATCGTGCATGATCACCATCCAAAAATATTTATTTATTTCTTTACGACATGAAAGGAAACAAGAATAAACAAAGCCCGGAGAGAAGAACAAGCACACGACGAAAGCGAAAAGGAATAGACAGCAGAATTGCAGAAATGACTACAAGCGAAATATAACTGCGTTCTGCAACGTTATGTATCAAAAAATAAAAGGAAAGAAAGAAAAAGAATACCCAAGGTCAGACATTTATTAATATTTAGTTAGCGAATATTTCATGGTTGCATCGCGAGTTGTTTTCTTGTCTTCTTCGCTTCGCATTTTTCTTTTTGAATAATTTTTTTGGACATTAAAGTTAATACTTTCGTGCACAGCGCACCATGGAAGTTTTTAATATTAATAATGCACACAATCAACAGAAGTCGGCTGCTTAACGTCATGATAAAAATTCGCGACTGATTAATTTATGTAATTGCGAGTCTTTCTACCATTCAAGCAATAAATCGTAAAATGTTTCTTTAGACAATCTTCAAGGACTTTTGTTTCAAGTTCAAGACATGAAATAAAAAGCAGCCAATTACAAATGAGTCGTTTCTGTTTAGTTTAAAACAGCATCATGAGTAATTCAAGTAAAAACATATGTTACACACTGTGTGCGCATATTTTTGGTCCACATTTCACTTGAATATAAATTCTCTTTTGCAGAAAATAAAAATAAAACAAAGATCGACAAACGAGAATAATTCTAAGTGTTTTAAATATATATTTAGAAGGCAAAAAACCATCCAACAATGTACAAAACTTATTATTTCAGGCAAAAATCGTTAGAAAATATCGAATAACATGTGCCATGAGCTTCATGCACATTAGAAAATTATGAACAAGGTTTAAGACTTGTCTTACTACTTAACTGCCACATGAGATTGAAATTGAAAAATAAAAATTTATTGAAAAGTATTTCTATGCTTTACGAGCCTGGAATTAATGAACATCAAATATTTTTCTTAGAAATCATACAAATTCTCTTAATGTCATTGTGTAAGGGCGAAGAAAAATGCATTGCATCTAGATCGTACTTCAAATGTTCGTTGGGATAAAAAGAAACCTGTACGTGATGATAGTATGGAATTGAAAGATTTTCGGGGATCATTTTGGGTTCGGTTTTCGGTTAAAATTCAATAGAAGAAAAAAAGTGAAATTGAAGCAAAAACCTTTTTTATTTAAAAGTATACACATGTATGTATAGATATTGTCTTTCTTTTCCCAAATAAATCTATTAAATGTTTCACTTTGAACATGGTCTTAAAATTTATCGAAAGAAAAAGGCAATCTGTTGAAACAAACAAACTTCACCAGATTTGGACAACGAAAACAGAAAGAACAGCAGACGATCGAATTGAAGCAGGTAAAATAATAAAAGATGAGAAATATCAAGTAAATATAAAAATGATATTTTCACAAAAAAAATGAGCACTAAAAGTTAATGTTGAACGAATACCTAAAAAGAGATGAAAAAATAAAATAATAAAATATTTTTAGAATTTATTTGTAACTTTGAAACGATCTTGTTTCGTGATGTTTCATCCAATTTGTTCATGATTACTGTAGTTAGATTTTAATAAAATCTGCACAATAATTCTTCAAATTTAGGTAATTAGAGGTGTTAGTAAATAACAAGTTAACATCATCGCGATAATGACAATCCTTCGACTCAACTTGTGAGGTTTCATTAGAAGCAAAGCCAATTGCATTTCCTTCTTATCCACAATTTTTATAATTACACTTCCAGTATTTTTACAACACTTAAACCACCACCTTTCCATCCTTTAAAATACATAAGAACGGGCAATGTCATAAAAATAAATTCCATTTTCCTGCAACTCTCCTCAACATTCTCTTAAGCCGCCAACACTTTACTTGAAATCAAATAAAAAAAGGTAAGAAAAAAATGATTATTATTATTTCTTGTTGTTTTCTTAAGGAAACAAAAAGAAAAAGCTGAAAAATAATAGAATAATAATTTATTTAGTTGGGATTATTACATTTTGTGGTACCCTTGTCAATAATAAGTGCTTCTTTTCCGAAAGAAGAAGAAGAAGAAGTTTCTTTAAATACATTTATTTTTTGCCTGGACGATATGTTAGCGTATCCAGTGGTGCACTTTAAAAGCACAAATTACAGAGCACAAAAGATAAATGAAGAATAAGTAGAAAATCCAATAGAGAATGAGTGAACATAACGAGAAAGGATCAAGTGTTGATTTTATAATCTCATGAGTTCCATCACTGTCTTGTGAGTGAAAAGGAGAGAGAAGAATAAAGTTAAAATGTGCATAAAAACATTTACCTGCGCTACGATGCGTTTAAACAAGAGAAAAACAAAAATTCCTTCTCGTTCTGTTGTTAATTTTGCTTGTTTTTGTTTCTTCATCTAAGGAGTTTTGATGCTGGCTGGCTGGCTGGCTGTTGTTTTAGTACATGCTTTGAAATATTTTCAATACATTATCATATCATTCTTCTTCTCCTACTCATAACTCCTTGCATAATTTTTCTTTTCTTTCCCAAACTAGTAGTTAATGAATTTTTACAAGGAAGAAACAATTTGTGCAGTCATTTAGTTCTGATACAGATAATTACTGTTTTAAGATTTATTAAAAAACGCGAATCGGCGATGCCCTTGTTAAATATAAACACATAAGAGAAAAAGGTGCCTTTAAGTTAACTGAAAATAAAATTATAGTCAGCATATTGCTCATGTTAAACTAATTCGAAGAATTAAAAATTGCTTTTAAAATTAATCTTTCGTAAGTTTATTGAGAAGAGTTTATTTCGGGTCGAAAATATAAAAGGTTCTTATAAAGATTGCGCAGCAAAGACCAACAGCGTAGCCACAATGGCAATGGAAAGTTTCAGTTTTACATATCCATAAATTAAGATATAAAAAATTACCACAATAATGTGGAATCGAAGCGGATGTCATACAATTAGAGAATATTTGATCAACTGGCTTGTTTTTTGAAACCGAATCCAATTAGATTCGTCGTAAACATCAAAATTTACGCAACTCTAATCTACGCTACATCAAAAGCCATCACATTTGCGACCAAGTGAATAAAGTTAAAGCAAGAGGCTGACTTTTACATTATCACCACTCCTTTCTCCAATTTTATTCACTAATAGAGAAAAAGAATCTCCTTTAAAATCAAATTTCTTTTCTTATTACCTCTTACGGCTCTCACTGCTTCAAAATATTCTTCGAGAAGATGATAAAAAAAATTGAATTTGGTCAGGTAGAATTTTATAGATCCAGTGATTGCTTCAAGGGAGTTGCGCAACGATTCTGATCTGACTTTACAACTATAGATGTTAAATAACTTTTAAAGTTCCAATCAGGCCCTTCTTCTCTTATTAAAAAATAAATAAAAAAACTTGAAACTGTTGTTCTTCTTCTTACACTTCATTTCGATAGTCAGAGCGAGTGAGAAAGATTCAACTCCGGCATATATTATCATACACAATTTTTATCTATTATTTTTTCTTTATACACATTTCTTGTTGTTTAATCGAAAACTTTTTTTACCCATGAAAATATTATTTTTTTTCCTTAAAAAATTCTTTATTTTTGTATCTTTTTCTTGTCTTTCTTTTCTTTCTTTCACAATTTATTTCTCCAATTTGGCCATACACTCGACTCTAGCTGTAGTCAATATTGTATGCTGTATAAAATGGACATTAAAACAGCATAATTTTTCTTCTATACCTTCCTTTTCCTGGAAATCTATCGGGGAATTCTTTTGTGCTTGTTTAATTGAAGCCCGTAACCACTCTGATGATTTCAAGGTTTTCTTTCTGCTTGCTGTTTTCTGCTCCTTTCTTTTCATTTTGCGTTTGATGATCATTATTTCATCCTTCTGCAACACCATAAGTTTTATTACTTTTATTGTTTTGTTGGATCTATTTTAAGCTATCTCAACAATTTTTGCCATTTGTTAAGCGCGTTTGGTGAAGGCATGATTGGTTAGATGGGATCATCTACAACAATATCTTCATTCGTCAATTCGGGCCAGTCTTACGAAAATTACGCCACGATATCATCGCCATTTATTTTTGTTGTTTCCAAGCGTTTAATAAGTTGCTGATTTACATTTCTTCATTTGTGATTTCATCACTCCAAAAGACGAACAACAAAATATTTACTACACAATCCAAACAACTATTGATTTAAATTTTTATATATCATCTAAGGAGATGAACATTTTTATTTTTATTGATCGTATCACCGAGTATCACTAATAATCTTCGTCGTCACAATGATTATAAAATTGTGAATAAAAATAATACTAATAATAATTTTTGTTTAAAGATAAATTGATGGTAGCCAGTTTTCGATCTTGTAGTGATGGAAAAAAGAGAAAGAAAATGAGCGGACACAAATTGAAATTATAATTTATTTTTTATTTAAATTTTCTTAATATTTAATTTTAAGCGGTGAAGAAAAAAAAACTAAATTCACATTTACAGCTTGCTGCTTGCCAATGATGCAGAGGCTTAGATTATGACGCATTTCTCATCTCATAACATTCAAACGATTTTTATCTTTGCTTCACATCCCTGGTCAGTTTTTTTTTGGGCAATTAAAAGTTAATGGAATGCGATATGTGGACATTGTGGCTGATTTTACTGTGATCTTTCTTTAGCGCATTAGTTGCATGGTGTTGTTGATGACACACATTTTGCGTTTTTGAATTAAAAGAAATAAAATAGCAAACTATTATGGAAGTAAAATGAAGAGATCTTAATGTAAATGAAGGCAACTAAGTATAAGTAACCTTATATGAAATCAGCAATTTAAAATCTAGTTGAAAGACTTCCAAAAAATTGTTCTTAAAAATTGCGACATAAAGTTTCAATTTATACTTTTTGCCAACACTTGATACGGCTGGTTGTTTACTAAGAAAGGTCACTTCTGGTGTTTGTGAGAATTTAAATTACATTAGACATTCGAAACGTAGAAGAAAAATGAAGATTTTACATACAATGAGGCAATAAAAAATAATAACTATAGTTAATTGTATTCATTTGTCGTTCAATTGTTGTGACTCTATGCACCCTTCAGTAAGTTAAAGACAAAGTCGTCTAAGAATGAAAAGAAGTTCTCACGAGGTTTCATTCATCGAAAATGTTTTGACACGCGCTCATAAACAGTGAATTCTTAGTAAGAAGTTGACGTTCAAGCCGTGCTAACACCGGGCCATGTTTTCATGAACATTTTAACTAATAAACCTGTCTCAAAATTATTCAAATGTAATTAAAACTGCGCGGTAATGAAAAAGTTTTTTCAAAAACAGTCGCAAAATCCTTGAAGTGCGTCGTCGTATCATCATCGAGTAGAAGGAAAAAAAAAAATAAAATAAAAATCTAAAAGAAGAAGAACACGACACTAAAAATTTTCAATTCAAAAGCAAGTTTTTATGGAACTTGGATTAAACAACACAAAATAAATATCAAAAGAGCACATCTTACAAGTATAAGAGCCATTATTACCATCCATTACTAAAAGGCAATAATTAATTCAAAAAATGTATAAATTTTTAAATTTCAAATCATTAGAAAGATTCGAAAGCTCTTCCGAGCGGGTAAAATTAATGTTTCTTCTTTCTTGAAAAAAAAAAGAAAAATAAATGCTTCATAGAAAAGAATAAGCCTCATTTGAATAATATCGACATAAACATTTAATTGAAGGAGAAGAGCGAAGTTAAAAAGAGAATGTAAAACACCAAAAATATTTTTGGTTGACTATAATTTTCTACCCAAAAAATAAGAAAAAAAAAATTAAGACGACCAACTTACATAAAAGCAATAGTGTATCATAGTCAAGTATATTTCGTTAACGAAATAAATCGAAATCATCTTTATTTCAGGTTATTCAACATTTACGGAGGAGAGAGAAGCGACAAGACTCGTTTGAATTTATGTGTGGATAACAAGTAAAACGCTTCTCGATGAAGTCTCTTAAATTTTTTTGGGGTAATAAAATTTATATATTTTTAGTTTTTTTTTCTTATTCCAATGATATTTCTTTACTAACACAAGTCATAGCAATTATTCGTAGATCTTCTTAGTTTTTCCTCCGCATTTTTATATCGCTGTGGAGAAGATCCAAAAAAAGAAGAAAAAAAAATCACCAAAATAATTATGTAAATTATTTCTGTTGATCAACATTTTATATCATTTAATATTCATTATGAAATATCCATGGATGTAGTAGGTATTTAGTTGAGCTTTTTTTTTCTTTTATTTGGTATTTCGAAGTTAAACTGCCATACAATTGGCCGAATCAAAATATTTTTGGGCGTATTTGTTGAACACCACAAGTATGACTTCTTTTAAAACCATTTGATTGCCCGACCTGATGTTGATTATTTGAATAAAAATATAATAAACAAAAAGCAAGAAAAAAATAAGCTAAAATGTAGATAAAATTTTTTTTTCGTGGTACATTCGTGGACTATTCAAATGTGGTCATCAATTTCAATTTTCATCGTGTGTATGAGAAATAAAGCTCTTATTTAACATTATTTTTCGTTAAAAGCAATAAATTATATTAGTCACAATTTTTATTTCTTTTTCTTAGTTTTCTTGTATTGAGATGAGAGAAAAATTAACTTTTGTTGCTTATAGCTGATGATGTTGTGACTTGACAATGACTACACAGTTTCTCTTTATCTATTGTCTCTCAACTCATCACTACTCATTCAATTGCTATTGGAAGTCACTATTGCCGGAGATGTACGTAGATATAAGAACCGCCCTCTAATCCTTTACGACTATTGATCGTGATCATCGTATGTATGTAAGAGCATGAAGAGTGATTGATTTCTAGCAAGTGTACGAGACACAATCGCACGGAAGAAAGTAAATAAGATGCGACACTTATCTATAAATACTCTAAGCGTTACTACTTCTTATGATCATTGCACCATCGTGATGTGCGATATAAAAGAATGTTCCATTCTACAATTTTCTTGCTTGTCTATTTCTGTCGTCACTAAATATTCATTGAGATCAGTCGGTGCCACATCGAAATCATACAAAAGCAACACGCAAATCCCCTCATTCAAAAAAAATCTCAATGAAAAGAGTTGACTTTTGTTCGTATCATTTGATGAAAAATGAAAGATTAATTTTCAAGTCATCAAATCGGTCAAACAGCACAAAAAAAAAATACCGCAAAGGACTCATTCAAATCACCAGAAATCAATTTCAGGTGTTTAAGTCGGTTGACAATTTGGTGTTTTTTTTTCTTCTTTTCATCAGCTCATAAGAAACACAGCAAAAAGAAGAAAAAGAAGACAAATATCTGATGAAGCATTTACATAAACTTATATAGCCCACAGAGAGTTGAAGCGGAAAGTATCAGCAATATATTTTCAATGAAGGAAGATTAGATTGGACGTATAAAAATATAAAGTTTTCATACATACATATGTGTATACAGCGAGCGATGACCATTAGCATTACACAAAAATGTTAAACTTTTATTTTGGACACAGAAAGAAGAAAAAATATTTGTCGCCTTACTATTTAATTCAACTCGTTTTGTGGAGACGCTATGAATAGTTGGCATCATATTACAATCAAAGTTTGTTTGTCTTCGATTTTCTTCTCTCTAGTTTGAAGAGTTTTGAGGATTATAAAACTTTAATTATCGAGTTTCTTTTCATATTCATGTCACAATATTGCAATTAAAAATTCGTTTGATGTGCTAATTATTCAACTATCTATAATAAAGAAAGAGTCTTCAGGCTAGCTACTTCATTAAATGTTTATCTCGTTTATCTATATCGGAGCTTCAATGTCTCATCTATCCGTTGCTTACAGTATCAGTTAAACTTTTTTTTATTGTCGCTCTCACGAGGTACCAACATTCTCTTTGAATATTTTCTTTCTTTCTTAGATCTTTTACATTTTTTTTTTCATTAAATTTCAAACGACAAACAAACAAAAAAATCAGAGAAAAAATGTGTCCCATAAATTTTGAATGAAGAAATCGTATTTGTTATAAAAATGGATTTTTTCGTTAATTTTATTTATACTAAACAGTTTTCAGTTGAAAACTGGTTCCAAAGTAATTTTGATACATGAAATTTAAATATTTTTTTCCTTCTCAGCTTCGTCCAAGATGTGTTGTGCGGGGAGTAATAAAAAACATTTTTTTCTTCAATTGATAATGGCTTGGTGGCTTTTACACGAGTTTCAAGTTTTTTGGAGGCTTTTTGAGGAAAAAAGATGATACTCGGCAGGTCGTGCTGTATATATTTGTTGTTGGATGTTTAGAGAGTCACTTTTTTCTTGATTTTTAATGGTGGCTTAACATTTCAAACTGTTATGAGATTTATTGAATTTTTATACTTTCACAATCTTCTTTAATTTTCAAATGAAATGAAATGAAAAAAAAAAGTTCACCAAAAGCAATAAATTGTCTCATCCTAGAATATCGCTTTATGGAACGAGTTGGAAGAATCATTTATGCATGTTGATTTTATGATTACTTTGAAAGCGTCTTAGAAAAGACTTTAATTAGAAAACATTTAATAGAACCCATCTGTATGTATGTAAATAGGTACATGACAACTAAATATTCTAAGATCGAAACACCGTAATGTCATAAAAACTTTCGAAGCAATAAATAGATAAAAGAGATTTCATCACAATATTTTTAGTGGGTTTGTTCACCTCACTTCATTCGTATGAAATAGAACTGGATACAAGCAAGAACGCTGACTTTTTTTCGTCAAACATTAGCATCTTAAAATAATTAGGAGAAGTGAAGACTACGCTTATAGAAATTCTAAGTTATGTAAGTAGCAGACACACTAAGAATTCATGTTGATATGTTGAAAACTTAAATATTCATTTAGACAACATTTGGCGACATTCAAAGTCATCGTCTACTAAAAGTTGTGAAATTTCTTACGCGCTTTATAGGGATAGTCATACATATAAGTAGATATTGCTTAAGTCATTTATTAAAATTTAGCCAGAAAATCAGGTTTTCACTTAATTTCTGATTCATCGTCTAATTGAAATTGGTAAAAGGTTCATTCAAATGTACTTGCGTGCTTAATAAAAGTAAAGAAAAAATATAATCCAAAAGTGATTTTTTTTTTATTTTTCAAGTTAAATGAAACTGGTTTGGTTTCTTAATACAACATGTAATTGAAATAAGTCAATCTTCGATCATGCATAATGAAAAGACCGTCATAAAATCTTTCTTATTATTATTTTTTTCTCTACACATCACATTAGGTTCGTTTTGGATTCTTTTCTGTACTTGTTTCTTATTGTACCGAAAAAAGGTTTATGTCGGCTCTCATTCGAATTAAAAAATAAAAAAAATTTAGAATTCTTACGAATCACATCAGACAAATGTTCAAGATGTCAGAGCACGTAATGAAACAAAATCTTCTTGAAGTTCCCTTAAGCATATCCTCTTGGTTCAAAATAATTTAATTAGACATTCGAAATGGAAATGGAGATGTGAAATATGTTTGAGTTGAAATAAAGAAACTCAAACGATTGAAACTTTCTTACCTTTACAAAATCTGTAACTTTCCAACCTTCTTTACTCCACTTTGTCCTCCAAACTACTTCATCGTAAACGAGATTTTTGCCCATTTTTATCCTGTGGATTAAAACAAAAAATTGATGTCTTGACCATTAATCATCTCTTGAAAATATTCTCACGTATGATTAACGCAAAAAGTATTTTTATGTACTTGAATATTTCACTAGCAAGCAACAAAGATTCATTGAAGAATTCTTGTGATTCATCCCTTTCAAAAAATAAGAAATCGAATTAAACATTGAAAGCAATTACTATGAACAAAAAGCGGCAATACAACAAATTGAATGTATTAATAAAAGAAAAATGGAAATAAAGATTGTCTGTTGGACTGGCAATAAAAGATCTCAAATTATCATGAATCATTAAAATATTTATTCAGTTGTCTGTTCCCGGAAAAATTGTCCAATTCAAAGATGTTCCGAACAATGAGGCAATAAATTTGCTCTAAAGTATCGACCCACATGATAGCCGAAAAAGACAAAAAAAAGATCTTGCTTAAGAGTTTATGTAAATTGAAACTAGTTTCTATTCAATAATTACATTACAAATTACTCTTGATGGCATTGTCCGCCAAAAATTAAAATCTCTTTCCTCCAACAATTCAATTCATCATTCGTCGGAAATCATTTTTATTATCGGACAAACTTTGCTTTCCCATAGACTGAACTAAATATTCTTAATGTTTATTTGCAATGAAAACTATAAATTATGAGAGGCTTTGCCCCGTTTTGTTTCAGCTTTTAAATGAAACGAAGAAAAATAATAAAATCAGTCTGATGCTAGCCACATCTTCTGACAACCCATCCCCAATCCGAATGAAGTCCCTTTTTTCTGTTTTCAAATGAAATGTGGGTTAGAAATGTTGCGGTGTGGGGCAACGAAAATTATTGAATTCTATTGGAAACTTCTTGCTTTGCCTTTCCATCTACACAAATGAAATCAAATTAATGATATAAAATGTATAGTGAAAGGCTTCTTTGCTAAAATCATGATAGTTTTATTATTCTTCACTCCCGTTTTCCATTACGAATGTGTATTGGGCAAAACATTTTATTTCCCTCAATTTTCTTTGGATTTGTTTGTTGAAAGTTTTGATTGAAAGTTTAAACAAATAAATTTTTATGTTAGTAATGAAAATTTGTTTGAAATTGAAATCAAATTGGTAGCTAGCTAATACGAGACACGCAAACTTTGTTTATATGAGAGGATATTATAAATTTCAATCGTAACTGAGTTCGCTGTGCACGTGATATATGAATCATACCCAAAGAACTCCACGGCAAACACAATGAAAGATTAAAAACATTGTATTAAATATTATCAACATGTCCCTACTCGTAAGAGAAGAATTAAAATTTAAGTACTAATCAAAATTAAATGATATTCCTGTGAATGTATTGATGCAATGTGTAAAAATATAAATTAAGTTTTAGTTTTCTTCGTATCGAGAGAATCAAAGCCGATCGTAAAATATTTTCTTACTCAGCTTACCGAACATTGCCGGTTGATGAGAATATTTCGTGAACTTCGTGTGGAATTCGGGATTTTGAGAGAAAAGAAATGAAGAATCCAGAGAGTCGCCAATCAGAAAATAATATCCGAACTGGATAGTTTGAAACAATACAAATCGTTCATATATCTAGCTCAAGCAATTGTGGAAATATATGTTTGATTATAGAAATTATAAATGCAGGCTCTTCTATCATAGCAAATAAGATTTTAAAATTTATGTCGATAATAAATTTATTGATCGATATTCATTAATGATTGCAAATGTACATTCTAAAACTTAAAGTGAAAATATGTCAAAATTTAAATAAATATCTTAATTAAAAATGAAGATTATGAAAAATAGACAAAAAATTTATCAAAAAGAAAATTAAAACATCTTTCAACAGGTCCATTGGGGCAAAAGAAGAATGTTTTTTAAAGCTCTGAGATATCAATTTCATAAATCGCGACTAATTTATAGCTTGTCACTTAACAGAATGATATTCACAATTGCCAGCACTCTTTTTTTATGAAAAAGATTCGCTTTACGGAATTGTTCTAACATACGACACATATGTTGTTAAATAGCTGTTTGTCGTCCATCAAAAGCCCTCCCCGGAATGAGTATGAAAGAAACTATTACTCGTCGTCGTCATCGCCGTCGTTTGTTTTGTTTTTGCACATTTCAGAACACATTTTCTGTCCGCTTCTACAAAGACATTCAATGAATTGTCACCCACACTAATCTCAAAAATCCGATTCGATGTCGAACAGTAAAAACTTAAAAAACAAATCTGAGCATAAATACAGAAATTCTTCTTTCTTCCATTTAACTATTGAAACTGAAACTGAAATCAGTGCTGGAGTGTTTAGACGCTAAACTATTATTTTTGCATAGCAATATGATTAAGTTTTCTGTGGGAATAAAAAGTTTTAAGCTGTGCTGAAACAAAGACGATTAGAAAGGGTGAAAAACAGCAGGAAAAAGAAAAACAAAAAAAAGTATGTTGAAACAGCGAATAATAAAACAAAAGTTTTTAACAGAAAACGCTATGAAGCAATTATTCCTTTTTCGTAGTTTGAGTGCAAGTTTCATGACAAATTAACGATTCCTTCTTATCCTTCTCGCCTTCTAATGAAGAAAATTTTTTAAAAATGCCGCAAAAAGCGATCGAAGAATAAATTTTAATCTGATTTATTTATGCGAAAATCAAAGTGCAAGGAACGAGAACGATAAATGAAAAAAGTGCATTTTCAATGATGACTCATGCAATTTCTTGTTCGTTTGCAAAACATGACCAAGATAATGAAGGAAAGGAAAATAATCAATACAAATTAAGAGGCTTAATTTTGAGACCACCTCTTTCCTAATCTTGTCAATGATAAAATATGTTTAAGACGCCACGACGAATGATGCTACTACATGCTTGATGTTATTCCGTCTTTCAATATCACATCTAAATTAATTATTTATTCATACGAAGTTTTCTGCACTGTTACATGAAAATATTTTGATTGGTTATGAACAATAATATTTAATTGATTTATTTAAATACATATGAAACTTTCCGCTACATGTTGGTATGAACTGACTCTTCCTTTCCCCCCCACAAACGTGTGTTGGCGCGAGTGAGATGAGTAGAGAATATTAATTTCCTAACTACATCAAATCAGACTCGAGAAAGGCTGAAAATAGTTTTCAGTTTTTGCAATTTCAAGTATTGATTTGTGTGCTTTATGTTAGAATGTGCTGTTTTATCGCTTGCTTTTATAAATACATATATGTAGAACATTATTAAATCCGTTTTTTGCTTAGTGGGTGAGAGAGACGAAGAGCGAATGAATAGATTTTAGCATAAGGTTTGAGTTAGACGATTCGTCCGAAGTGCAATATTTTATGTTTAAAGTAACTCATACGCTCATTCTCATCAACAAAACTCTCTTCTGCATTCAAACTCTATATTTAAGCTTGATATTCCCCATCATATGTCTGATGATACAATTCATATGCTGAGTAAACTATCAAGAGTATTTCCTGAAACATGCTTAAAGACGACGACGACGAAGTAAAATAGAGAGACGACGAAGAAAAAGAAGGAGAGAATAATGTTGTGCCTGTGCAGATATATGTTGTGCCAAGATATCTACATAAATAGTACTGGAAACGAATAAGAAGTCACAAAACTATTGCGATCATAATCGCACACGTTGAAGTCAACACCGAGAGAAAATAGAGTCAAAGAGAGCGTATTAATCGAAGGCTTCCTTCTTTGTGCTTAGACTCCATCCTCAAACTCCATCCTCTTGGGTAAAAAGGCAAAAACTATAGCAAAATACTTTACCACTACACACATGTGATTTGCTTTACTTTGCGAGTAGAGCAGAGCAGCCAAATAATTCATCTTACATACGTAGATATACTCGAAATAAAAAGAAAATAAAATTTATTTTGTGTCCATAAGAAAGAAGAAGATATTGTTCGGTGTCGACTCTTCTTGTTTATTTTTTTTTTCTTTTTGGGGGAGAGAGAACATGGAGAAGATAAAGTTTAAGACATCGAGAAATTGTAAAGAAGGAAATCGAGAAGAAGAAGACGAAAATAAAAACACTAACAAACACAACAATTAAATGTATCAGGCAAAAATACTTAACCGAAAAAAAATATACACGCATAGTCAGTTGTGCACTTTGCTGTGTTTAGACAACAATTATACATTTTTTCTTCTTTCAATCCCACTCCTCAGTACTTTGTTAGATTTCGGACAGAACGGATTGAAGTGGCGTAACGCTCTCGCTCTCGCCGAGTCAAAAAATAATTTTTTTATTAAATCAAAGAAAATTAAAAGTAATTTTTGCTGTGCTTGAGATTAAAAGAAAAATAATATTTTTTTTGTGTAGAAGCTTGAAGGAAATTTTTAATATCGTGAAAAAATATTTTTCTGTTGACAAACAAGTTCGGAGAAAAAAAAAGAGTTTGATTTTTATGATATTTTGTGTTCGCATTTAATTGAAATTGTTCAAGACCGTTCATTCAAATTTGCCGACAGTTTTCGGCAAGAAGAAAGTCAGAATTAAATTGAAGGAGTTTTATTTACAATTACAAGTGGGTTGAAAGAGTATTTTAAAATTAAAAATAATTTTAATTATCGCAAAAATTAAATGTGACATTTAGTTCTTCTTTCGGTGTGCGAATTTCATTTTATCATCATTATGATTATTTATGATTTCCTTTCTCAATCTTCCTTTTAAGAGGAAAAATAGAAGAAAGTAAGGAAAAACATCATCGGAATATTTACAAACATTTTTTTCCGGATAAGCGAAGGAACGAAGAAAAAAAAGAAAAATTCTTTTCACCACTCATAATGATCATAAATTATTTGAAGTTAATAAGTTGCTCCATGATCTACTTACGCCATAAAACAGTAGTTGCGTAACGATTAAGAGAGAAACGAATCGTAGATATATTTGTTCGTCTTCTAATTAAAGAACGCAAAACATGCTTCTTGAGACGCGGCAATAAGTAATGTTGTTCAATTTCAGTTTACAAATATAAGAGGAAAAAATAAAATATCATAAAGAAGATTTCAAAAGAAATGTGAACGATTATTTATTATAAGAAGCAGTTGGTGTTTAATTTTATTTATTTATATTCTCTTCAATTTAAGAAAAAAAAAAGTGAGTGAGCAATAACATCAGAAAATAATCGCCGTTGAACACTAAAAAAATCATTTTTCCCGAAATAAAAAAAATGTAGAGATTTTTCCAATTAAAATATTTAATTTTTTTGTTTTCCTCTTATTTCATGCCGCGTTTATTATTAGAACACTTTTCGAATCACTCTCATAGCTTTTTGTTTTGAAAAAAATGTTTTTTAATATAATTTATGATTGGAAACTGCTTGGCAAACTGCAATGAAAAAAAAAGTTTTCCTTAAACTTCTTACTTTATAAAGATTATGTGAGAAGCCTTTTAAGAATGTGAAAATTTGTTGGTAAAGTTTCTTCAGAAGAAATATTTATAAATAATATTAAAAGCATTACAACTTCGAAATCTCATGACAATTGCATTTATTCTACATTTCCATCGCATTAAATCCTTCTTCCGTTCTTTATGGTCATTTATAAATGGAACTGAATTAACTTTCTGCCCTTCGGTTTTACACTATTTACAATGTTGCTTCGCCTTTGACTGTAACATAAAACGCAATCGAAAAAGGAAGTTTTTCATTTTCATTGGGCTGAGGGTGGAAAAAAATTAATCGGTTTAATTTAACGTACTGAAATTTAATTATTTAATCAATAAAATGCTCTAGTTTAAGCTACTTGTGCTTCGTCGTTTCTACAATTAAACTCAAAACGTTCATAATATCGAATTGTATTTGCAAATGAAGTTGTTTTTTGATCTCATTCCAGACACATTCTCTCTCTCCCTCTCTTGTTGATCTTTCTCTTTTTCCTTTAAACTGCTACATAAATAAATAATAATAAATAAAATTTCGAACTAAATTCTATTAAGCTGGTCTTGAAACTTATTCTTACTTATTGGCGCAATTGAATAGCAACAGCAAAGAGTGAGAGAGAAGCTGTGTGTAGGAATTTGTTCGTTTTATTATTTTAATCATGTTTTAATTGAAAATTAATTAAAATTAATTACATTCGATGTCTTTTTTCGGGGAAGTAATTCAATTGTAGAATTCAATTGTTCGTTGATGGCATTCGCCAAAAAAATATCCATTTAAAATAGAAGTTGAAACTTTAACGAGAACTACAAGATCTTACGAGTTCGTTGAGTGGTGATAAAATGAAATCGAAACAGTATTGCGCGTAATGAATAAGAAGACACAATCAATTGACGTCGATTAAAAACAAAAAAAAAGAGAATTATTCACGACAATTTGTTTCTTCATGCTTTCTAGCAATCATCTTCCCACATGTGGATGGAATTTTCTCTTACGAGTTTTCGTGTTTGTGAGTGGCGATAAAAACTGCACAATGTGTGCATGACAATCAAAAGAAGTTCGGAAGTTAATCGGTGATGCAGTTGAAATCAATTAAACTTTATGTGAACTACAATTAAATGTAAAACCTTACATAATTAAAAGTGGATATAAAAAGTAAAGAAAGAATCTTGAGGAGTCTTGTGGTAAGTTTTGATGTTTTGCAGATATCTGAATCTAAAATTATGATTTCCCATGTCTCACCCTAAACCAGAATTTATTAAACTGAAATCATGAATACACAGTGGTCATGAATCACATCTCAAAGAGTCACATTACCGATATTACCTTAAACAGAAATGTTACGAACCAAACAATAAATAATTTATTATGTCTTTGAATTAAGATGAATTAAAAGAAGTGTTCCTTCGTGCAGTATTCAAAGAATCATTTAACTGCTGAGTGGTTAAGCGAGGTAGAAAACGAAAAAGAATCTTAAGATTGTGTCGACTCGATTGCTTTTATATACATTTCACTTGAAAACAAATGATAGTGGTCCCCAAATCTGAGAGATGAATTAAAGAATGAAAAATAAAAAAAAAACAACAAATAAATGTAAAACGTGTTTCCAAGCTCGCCAGTAAAAATTCTTTCGATCCAGACGCAAACAAATCTTTTCTCCCCGATCCTCGTGAAGATCCATAAAGACAATAAAATAAAAATAAAAAGCAAGAAGCAAGAAAACTTGTTCTTATACTTATGTGATATTAAAAACCTTTTTATATTATTATTCCAACGCGTCTTGTCGTTGTGATTCTCTTTTCTCTGTTCTCTTTGAACTTCAATCCATTTCTAAGTGCTTCTAATGAAACAAAACTTATTTTAAGATAAACACGGGCATTTGAAAGAGTCTAATAAAACAATTTATTGCGGCATAAGATCTTTCTTTGGGTAATTTATCAAGACACAATTCTACTTAAATTAAACTCAGATATCCACCAAGACGGAGTTGAGCGATAAAGACAAAATAATAATTTTTTAACATTCACACACTAAAATTCTTTTTCCTGTGGAACAAATAATAGATATTTTTTAATTGAACCTCTCAAATAGTTGAGATGGAGAAACAAATATCAACGTAAATTAGAAAATCAATTGACACGAATTTAACAAATTTTAACACTTACATTTCTACACGCCAATTACGATCGTTGTCCACTTCATTCTGATACGATATTTGGACTTCAATAACATTCATAGAGCATGTGGTGGTACTTGTGGCACAATAATAAAGGCATTAGACTTAATTTCGTCGTGATTAATCTATTAAACTGCTGTAATGTGAATATACCGCAATAGTCGACAGAGAGAAGAAAAAGGCAGAATTTTAACGAAAGACAAAAAGCGAAGTAAAAAATAGTGAGACCAACTAAATGTGTTAATAGACAGCATTCAAAAATTCAATTAACGGCTTTCAATTGTAATTGTTAATTGTTGTATGAGTGTATCACTAAGCAATCTCACAGTACTAGTTATATCCAACAAACAAACAGGCCCAGTGGGACGCAAAAGCTTTTAGAATGCAAGATTCGTGCGTTAAAAAATTGACGTTAATTGATTTGCGTAATTTGATCTGAGGATGTTTTGTTACTTTGCAATTGAAAGACGTCATTTCTCTGCCATAAATAAATACTTAGTGAAACATTGTTATCTGGGCGCCAAAAGAAATATACAAAGCCACTTTAATTGCTACTTTTTTTTGCTTCTCCTTCTCGGTGAATTGACTTGTTCAGTAATTTCTGATTAACATAAACACATTGAAGAGATAGAGTCTTGCTCGGCCTTTCAATGAGAAAGAGTAAAAAACAAAAGTTGCTTTTAACACTGAATCTGCGATTAAAACAAAAAAAAAAGTTCAAATTTTAATGTCTCTTAAAAAATAGTTGGTTGAGTAATTTATTTCTTTTACTATTCACTTGTCGTTCGTACTAGGAATGGACATGTAAATCTAATTAAAAGCTATTTGCTTGTAGATCATAAAAGAACCTGTTTAACTATTTTGTCGGATTTTGATCGAAACTCACAAAAAACCGACTTGAGTGCTTTCTAAACATTTTTTGTTGTTTTCATTTGCAAAATTTATTTAATGCATCTGAAACCTTTTATTACATTCGTGCAATTCATTCCAGAATAAAAAAAATTTGCGAAAATGATATTAAAAGCTCACAATGCCAAAAGCCATAAAGTGTGTGCAAATTTTTTTTGTTAACTTCTCCCTTCGTCTCGTTTTCTTTTATTTCGAGAAGCCTCCGGAAATGAAGTGAAAAATCATTAGAATGACATCTGCAAAAATTGCAAAATATGCAAGAACAGCGCGACATCATCAGAAGTTCAAATTGGACTTTTTATATTCATGTGACGATAACTCATTGTCTCATCATTCTCTCCCTTTTGTCGTTTATTTTTAGAATATCTTCCCGTTCTCTACGGTGTGCGCATTCGTCCCCTTCTCTTCCCCCCTTTAATTTTGGAGAAACAACATCATAAAATTTCGGGCCGTTCATAGACGACAGCAACGAAGCTGAGAAGAAAAACTACTTTCAATCGTTTCATCCATATATGCAATTTAATTAGTTGGCATATACATTCGCAGCAGCATAAGTAAGACAAACATAAAAAGCAGACAAAAACATTGAGCGCCGCGCGCTCACTTGGTCGCGTTCTCGTCTTTACACATGTGTTTGGTGGTGAATGAATGAATGCATCATAAAATGTATCCGGATAATGTGCTTTAGTATCAATTTGGGATCGTAAAAATTATTTCTCCATTCACCGAGAGTTGACAAAAGTCTGTCTGTTGGCTTCGCAATAAACTGCTTGCGGTTGTTGCGAGGGAGAGAAAAACAGCGAAGAAAAAGCTTGTCGACAGACACAAAATAAAAACCAATTTCAACAAATTTATTAATATCGTCATCACCGAACTGGTGAAGTCAAACGATGTATACGCATGATACAAACCACAGTTCCAGGATGGACATCTCATCACCGACACCATCTGATCAGCAATATTCACTCAAATGGAACGACTTTCAATCGTCAATATTAACGTCATTTCGACATCTTCGTGATGAAGAAGATTTTGTTGACGTAACTTTAGCATGTGATCAACGATCGTTTACAGCCCACAAGGTAAATACATAATAACAAAACAAAGCATGAAATATGCATACGAAGGAAAAACTTTTATTTTCTAATTAATTCATTTTCATTTTTCTTTCCTTCTCTCTCCCTCACCATCAACAAAATGCCAACAAAACTAGGTGGTTTTAAGCGCTTGCAGTCCATATTTTCGTAAATTACTCAAAGCCAATCCTTGCGAACATCCAATCGTTATTCTTCGAGACATTCGCGCGGAAGACGTGGAAAATTTGTTAAGGTGTGTATGAGAGAAATGCGGACATTAAATGAATTAATAAACGAATAGGAAAAAAAGGCTTGATTTACTTGTTAAAAATAGTGGAAAACAAATGAGTCCGACAATACAAGTGGAAAAACATTTTCTAATAATGATAATGAATGTGTTTTCTTCTGTCTTTCTTTTTCCTTCCTTTTTTTTTAATAAAATAATCAGATTTATGTACAATGGTGAAGTTCATATTGGCCAGGAACAACTTAGCGACTTTTTGAAGACAGCACACTTGCTACAAATACGCGGATTAGCTGAAGTTACCAACCATTCACTACACAAAAGCAATCTCAACCTCTCACACAATACTTCCATGAATCTTCCAACGCTGTCGGCGACACTCGGAAAAGAGATGAAATCCTCTCCAGTTAGTCATTTAGGTTAATATCATGTAACTCGTATTCAACTAACATTTTTCCCCTTAATTTCTCCCCCCTCATTTTCCACTTCAAAACACACAAAATATGTCATTTTTGTTGTTGATAATGAAGCAAAATCAGAGTTCAACATCAATTCCATGGGATCTGATTGCAGATGATTCATCACAACCGACACCACCACCACAGAAACGAATTAAGTCGGCCGAGCTTTATAAGAAACAACATGGGCTCACGGATGACCAATTGATTGTGCGCGATCATGTTTCAATACATCAGCATGCCTTGCGACGCGAACGTGATAAATCGAAAGACTCTCGTGAACGTGACAGGAGCTTAGAAATGAAGGAATCTTTGTTGAGTCAGGCTTTAGAAGGTGGACCGACACTTACGATTCCTACGCAGGTAAACAATACACTTTATCTCCATCTTTCTCTTACAATTTTATCCTTTACGACACATCCGGGGATAATTTATTGAAATCCTTTTTTCTTTTCCTTAATTCCCATGACGACAGCACTCGGATTTGCAATCGCTACAAGCGCAAAGCACTGGTGAAGATTCAAATAGTAGCGATACGGTTGCTTCCGATGCGGGAGATGGAGCGATGGATGGCTTAAATGGTTCCTTGGATCATTCGCGAACACCTTCATTTGCCAATTCTTTTCTCGGTCTTCAAAATCTTCCTGGTTTACTTCCCGGCCCTTCTGGAATGCCCGACAACTTTGGTAAGTTTTTCAATTTTACATTCTCTTATTTTTCTCTTCTTCTTCAACAATTCTTTCTTTATTAACCAAGTTGTTGATACATAAACATAAAGTCAGAAAGTAATTTAATTTTCTATTTGAGAAAAGAACTTTAGAGGTATACAAAGGTGTAACAATATGCATTTAATAAACAGTTACAAGGATATAAGATCCATATTTCAAGACATTTTATAAGGTGGAAGAACAAAATAAAAAATATTACGGTATGTAAAAAAAATAAGCACAAAGAGTTGAATGATGAAATTTAACAAACATGCGAACCATTTGTACGTTGAAATGAAAATTGAGGGAAGAAAATGGTCAAGTCGTAAATTTTTTTTTATCTACATTTTCATCCTATTTTTGGTATACGATTCTAGCCAATGTCTTGGTCATAGACAACACCATCACCTATAATGGCCTTTGAGAGCTTTCACTTTAGTTGTGTAATGAAATTGAAAAAAGTTTCTTATTTTCTCTCGTTCGTCCCTTCATTTGACCTCACTTTCGACGCCATGAAAATTCTTTAAACTTTCACAAGGCAAAACAAGGAGAAAAGTTTTATTTATGTTTGAAAAAGAAAATCTATTTATCAAATGTTTATCTATGATCTCGTGTCCACATACGGATAAGAAAAACAAAAAGAATAAAAAAAGGAAAGGCAAGGAAAACGAATGAAAGAAACATGTATAACTTTACAGTTTGTTGAAATGATATTAAATATATTTATGTATCACACATCGTATACAATATAACAAACTGATATCGTTTTTATTTGAAATTCATGTATGTTAAGGCAAGCAATGGTAGAAAAGGAAAGAAAAGTGTATACATCTTTAAACTCTCTGTATATTTCATGCCTTGGGGCATGATATTTAACTAGTTAAAAGAACCCCTAAATATATATGGAATCTCTTGGGTTACGGATTAGAATCCACAACAGAAGAACAGAACGAAACATTTATAAGACTTCACTCAAATCCTTCATTTGGTCTGCAAAGCACCGCTTGCCCTGTTTCAACGAAAACTTTGAAAACTGAAAACGAAGAAAATTGGGAAAAGGAAAACTTTCTTCTCATGTGTATGTACTCGTCTTGTGCTTTGCCTTTTTCTTTTCCTTTCCATTCCTTTTCTTTCCTTTACTTGCCTTACATAAAAAACGAAGGCACATGAATGTTTTTCCATTACATTTCATGTGAGTTTTCTTTATCCTTACTCTTTCTCTCTTCCAACCACACCGAAGCTTATACAACAGAAGAAGTACACATTGAATGAATGCGAGAGTTAAAGAAATATTTTTATGTGTTTATGACCAGGGCCCCATCAAGACATGCCTGAAGTGAATTTAATGCTAAAGAATTGATTTTGGCGTAAAGTAAACTCTCATTTATCATGTGAGTACAGCCATGTGTGCCTCCTGCTTACTTTGCCACACATCTTTCTCTCTCTCTCTCTCTCTCTTCCTCTCCTTATGAAAAAGGGATCGTTTTTTTTGAAAAGAATACTAACGGATAGAAGAAGGAAGGGGGGAAGAAGGATTGTGAATCCAACCAAGCACTAGTGAATTAAGTAAGAAACATTTTCTGAGAAAAGAAAAATCTTTTCCAATGTCCAATTTTAAACTTTTAGTTTTGTTGAGTTTTGATTTCAATTGAAAATTTTATAACTTTTCTGTTCGACATTATTAGAAAAAGGATATCTTCGTCCTTCGGCCAAACCCCTTTTTCAAACTCACAAGACCCTCTTTTCTGTCCATTGTTTTAGTTGAAACTTTCAAGTGTTTAAATTGCTTGTTTATGTATGATGATGGGTGGAGAGAGGGAGGGTGGGGATGGATGAATAGATGGATGGTGAAAAGATGGATTCATCTTATATTTGAAAGTAAATTATCGCCTTCCACGTCCCACTGACCCTCTTTCTATCATTTCTGTTTTCCTGCTTTTCTTTTCACTATTCTCAGCCCATTTTGCGTGTCGTAAAATTTTATATATGCTGAGAGAGCTATCAAGTACAATAATAAAATCACTAAAACGGGTGAAATCAAATTGTACACTCGAATACAAAAAATATCTGTGCGAGTCATTGTATGTGGGTGTGTGTAGCTGTATGTGAGACTTTATGGGTTCGGAATGCTATAAGTTATTGGGTGGCAAAAATTGTTTATTTTATGCGATAACAGAAGATGAAGTTTTCAATGTATTTTCCGGGTTTGGAGCCAAACAATTGAAAAAGGATTTAAATCCTTTATGACTTCTACTGCTGCTGCTCTTGCTGCCTTTCTTCTTTGCTTTCCATTAAGATGAAGAGAGAAGGGAGAGCGAAGATTTATTAAAACTATCGTCTGATGGCACAATCGTTAAATGTTCTTTTATTTTTCTTTTCCTTCTTGTCGTGTATCATCCCACGCCGCCGACGAAATTGAGTGAGAAAGAATGTCGGAATCAAGTTGACGGAAAAGTTTCTTTCTTTTTTATTTTATCTCAGCCACAACCGAAAAGAAAAAAAAAGAAAATCGTCAGCATCACTAAAAACTGACGAAGAAAATTTAGTTCTCATCTCAGCAACTTTCTTTCTTTCTTTTTTATTTCATTTCATTTCTTGTCCTTTCTCCTTTGAATACATAAATAACATTTTGGTTAAAATTCTCTCTATTTCTCACTTAAATATATCGGAAGAATAGTTAGGTTCTATTGTTCCTTTACAAAACCGTACTTCTCTTCACAAGCAGCTTCATTTGACTTTAGTGTGAGAATAACGGAAAGAGATGATAGTGAAATAAGAGGGTGAGAAACAAAAGGAATAATAATGTGCTTGCTTTCTTAGTTCCTTTGAAGGAAAGACAACGAAAGCCTAAAGATGGAGATGGAGAAGAAAAGCTTCTTTCCGTCCTCTAAAAAAAAGATAGAAAGAAAGAAAGAAAGCTTCATGGCATGTCGAAAAACAACTTTGTCGGAATGTAATGTAATGTATAAATTGATAGAAATATATATTTTATAGCACTCCACTCTCCCATTCTCTCTGAAGAAGAAATGTACGTAAGAAAATGGCAAAATGGGCAAAACTAAACACATTTACAATATGTGAAGGAAATGGATCATCGTTTTGTGTTTAGAAGAGATGGGATAGTCAAAAGAGTCGAAATGTTCAGGGGTAGGGGGGGAGGGAATATTTAAAAGGGTGGATGAACATCCTACATCGAAGTGGGATGATGTGAAGGGGTGCAGAAAATAATCTTGGAATAACTGCAAAACATTTTCCTACAATTTAAAATGTTGTGTGTGCTGTGTCGTATAATGTGGTGGATGTGGGTGGAAGAGGGTGAGAAGGGCCGAGTAGGTGATAGGAAGAAGGAAATCGTCATGATGTGCGGGTCGAGTATGGAAATTTTGAATAATTTTCGTAAAGTGAAGTTTGAGTTAAGAGAACGAGTGTAATGAAGGAGGTAGTTGAATAGATAATATAAGAAGTGGGAGGATTACGTTTCAGTCGCCATTAAATTGTGATGTATACGAAAAACTCACAGAACTATTATAGTCACATAACATTATACAACAGAATAGTTTAAATACACTCACAAAGCAAAGTGATATTACGACTAAAAAGCGTTATGTAATACTTCGCTTTATGTCCATTATGGAAAATATCATGATGATGATGATGATTACATTATGAATGTCGGGAGGGAAGGAAAAGGTTTTTCAATCATTACAGTATTAAATATTCTGATTATTTTCATAGTCTTCTGTCACAATTATTGCCAAGTGGAATCGAAAGTTTTATCAATCACGCCATCAATATTTCGTTTAATGTTACTTATTGTTGAATGATTGCATTTATGCAATCTTCAATCAATTTTATGTGTGTCATTGTCATTTTTTATCGTGTAATATTTTTCATGAAGTGGATTAATGTTCTGTTTTCCTGCTTGCATAAATATTTTAAAAACACGAATGTTTTTCAGAGAAATTTTGCAATTTTATTCCTTGCGGATTTTTAAATTAAAATTATTTTTTGGTTGGAAGAAAACCTGTAAATTAAGAAGAAGAATTGTAAGAAATGTTTGCCTGTTCAGATCAAAAACATTTAATTGAAAGATGAAAATTGTTTCATTTTCCCATCAAGCTTTTCATACGATTTTTCAGATTTGTGAAAATTTTATTGATAAACGACTGTTTGATATTTGTAATATCTTAATTAATACAAATACTGAATTGTTATTGATTGTCCGATGGAAAATCATGAAACGTCCTTCGAAATAGAACAAATGTGTGATGCGATTATTTCAACTTTTCGCGCACACACACGTAAATATGTGATTTATTCCCTTTTTTATTCTTCTCATCGCTTGCTTCGACAAATGTTTTCGTATCGTTTTCTTTCTGTTCAGCCTTTTATTTTCTTAAATCAATATAATCGTGTACATGAAGTTTTATGTATTTTATGTGTTCTGACTCTTCTCTGTCTCTCACTCTCGTTATCCTCGCTTTCCTCCCATTCCCACCCTTCTTCACATGTTCTTTGCACAAAGTGAAATGATAAAATTGTCCATTTTTATTTATTTCTTATTTCGGGAACTTTTCTCAAACCTTTTTACTTCTTCTCTTCCATTCATCTTTAAGAAGGAATGATGAAACTCTGTCGTGTGGTGTTTCATCATTTAGAGGTTCCGGGAAGACGGTACAAGGGAAAGGAAAGAGTCATGGGTGGTGGGAAAAGATCTGTAAAATGTACAATCGTTCAATGTACATCGTAAGAGATGGAAAAGAAAGCTTGGGAAAATTTCTTTTTCGTTTTCGGTTGTCTGTTCACGTCCATCCCGTGTGTGCCATGTGCGGAGAGTGTCCTGTGTGAAAAGAAGAAGAATAAGAAGACCTAGAAAACTTTTACAATTGTGTATGTTTTTTTTCCTCTTTTGGATCGCCTTTATATCATTACAGGACATTCGTATTGATTTACGACTTTATTTTTGCACATTTTCCAATTTCTTTTCGTTTCATTTTACAATTTTCCGACTTTTGCCTTCCGTTCTTTATTTTTCTTCTTTTTTTCATATGAATGAGAAAAGATTTCATGATGATGAAACATTAACCGATCGAAAAAAATTTAATTATATCAATAGCTTGATTTTCTTTCTTTGGCCTCAACCAACGTGAAACTTTTGATTTTCCTTTATTTTCTCAATTTTGTTTTTTCTTTCAAATCAATTCTGAGACTGGAAATTCGTTTGTAAAATTACATTTGGTGGAATTGATGAACGGCAGAGGAGTTAAGGGCAAGCGAAAAATGGAAAACATTAACAGTAAAAAGGTTTTGATTTGATATCATTGGTATGTATGTGAGTTTAGCGATTGTTGTGTAATGAAAAGTTGAGAATGGGAGCGATTTGAAGGAGACTTTTAGGAGAAGAACAAGACGATGGAAAGAAGGTCTCCTTGGGTTGGACAAATGATGGGGTTTAAGGGTGTTTTATGTATGTTTTTCCTATTCTATTTGACTGTTTACACAAGTGCGAAATTTATTAATGTGAGTGAGAGTTTTGTGTATGTGCAGTTACCATCCTGAGTAGTTTAGTTTCTCAATGCGCGCAATGAACAATCGTAAGCAACGAAAATAAATGTTAGAGTTGAAAGTGATTGTCCGAAAGAGAAATATTCTGGGATGTTTGGACGGGGGAAGTTAGAAAGAGCTTAATTGAGCGAATAAAGCATGTTAGTTAATACACACCTACACAAATGAAGTACTTGATATTTGTTTGGTAATGAGAATTATCGGATACGATGAGAAATTCTCTTACACATACTCAAGGAATTTTCACAAAAACATTTAATGAGATTTGTCCCAAATAGCAAAAGGTTGACCAGATATCAATGGAAAAGAATAATTTTTGTTCCACTCTTAATTAATATTCAGAATATAAAATCTTGTCATCCTACACTCATCTTTGATCCTAATTCTTCTATGCTTGTAGTAATTTCTGTCTCTAGGGCAAAACTATTTTTGCTAAATGTTCAGCACAGATATCGAAGACTAATTATTGGGAAAATTATTAATGATAACGAAGGGAAGGGAGGATAGAAAAAACAAGAAAAGTAATTTGTGAAATTCGTGTTTTTGAGAATGAAAAATATGTCGGAAAAGTTCGACTTAATTTACCTTCAACTTTTTTCTATTCTTCTTTTATTTTGCCCTCCTAACAAGCACACCACAACCAGTAGAGCTCACACGGGGTCCTTGCTATATTTGCGTGTTCATTATTATAGTAGTTGAATTAAATAATGTTATTTTATTGTACATGATTATACCGAAAATGGCTCATATATTGGTACCTATAATAATCATATTTCACTCATAAATGCTAGCGCGCTGAACGAAATGTGAAACTTTATGTTCTTTCTTTTAAAATTATCAGCGAGTGAAATGAGTGAACGTAAAACTCTATTATTAATATACAATTTTAAAAAAAATTATTTGATCGATAAATTAACCTCGCGCGCGCCTTGTAATCGGAGGGGATTTTAGTTGTTGGGTCTGGCTGGTCTATTGTTGGTTTTTATAGTTCTTCGACGAGGTTTTATATTCTTTTTCTTTTAAATCACTCACCAACTAAACTTTGCTTAAGCCAACGTAATCATAATGATGAGATATATTGGAAAAGTTGAAAATCTATAAAGTTAATTTTGAAAGTTGTTTGAGAATTGTTTAAAGAATTTAAAGAATTACTTTTCGACACGAAATCGAAAAGAGGGTGAAATGTAACTAGCTGCGGTAATAAAATTAATGCTTTCTCATGTCTGTTATTAGAAGCAATCAAATGTTTTTTATGCGCACTCTTTTGATTTGATTATTGACATAGTCAGCGATATTTTGCGGTCAAACAATATTTCATTCCTTTTGTCGTTAAAATATTTAGTAAAATTTGAAGTCACTTTGTCTTACATGAAGACCACCTAAAGAGTGAATTATACAAACTACAAACACATTAACATTTCACAATGATTGCTCGCGATTTTAGCTACAATAGAATCGAAAGAAGAAACAACAGAACAAAGGGAAGAGGGATAGATGGATAAGCATGCTAAGGCTAGCGAGCGTGTTATGCGGGGGAGTGAGAAAACGAAGTGTACTGTCTGCTATTAATTATTCGGACATAATGGTTTCTATACATAGCTATAAGTTTTTCCTTGCCTTCCTACAATAGCAAACATTAATAGACATTAAATAGAGACACAGATAGAGCGTCTCCTGTGATCCTAGCGCAAATTATCGTTGGTATTGGTGGTCGATTAATTTCAGCCGTTTTTGTTTGGTTGCCCGCATTGGCTTTTCAAATACTTTCGGGGGACAATAGGAAAGAGTGAGAAAAAATAACTTTTTTAAGCCACCTACAACTTTTTTTTTCTTCTGATATTGCATTTAACTGCGGATCAATAAGTCTAAACGATTCACCATGATTTCCCGTTTCCATTGACGTTCGATTGACACTTAAAACGTTTAAACTTCTTTTTTTTGTTAACGAAATTGGATCATGATAGGAAAATACTTTGAGTTCATTTATATTTTATTCAAACAGAATTTGACGTGTTTTGCAAATTACTTAACCCATTTAATTGTTTGAGATTGTTTCGGGTGACTAAATATTGTTTACTTCAAAAATATTGATGATATTTGGATTCATTTTTATGATCTCTGACTTGGGATATAAACTTTGTGGCTTTTTTTTATAACGAATATATCAAAACAAAAACATTCACATGTGGTCAGCCTCAAAGTGGGAGTGTTTCTTCGTCCGTCATTTTCATTCATTTACCTACCGTCTTACTTAATAAATTAATATAATAATTTTCCCGAAATAAAAAAGAAACTAAAATACACCGCACATACATTAATGGCTCGGAATGTTGTTTGATGGAGAAAGAGAGTGGCATACGATTTGAGGTGTATTAATAGACAAAAATGAAAAAAAATCTATGCGATAAAAAAAAGAGGAAAACGAGAGTTTTTTTTCCCTTTTAACATTACTCGACTTTAATGTCTTGTGTCGAACGAAAGGCGAACTCGTCTTCTTTTCCCCATTCAACGTAATTTATTTTAACGAAATATCACAGTGAAATAATATTTTATGTACGCGCGGCGTCGATGATATTTTTGGATCAACAACATGAACCAAAAGAGAAGAAAGAACATTTAATTTAAGTACAAATTTATTAATGTCTTTCTAGTTTCTAGAGCGAACAGTTTTCTAGTAAATCATAAAATTCACAGATTACCCAGTGACGTATTTGGGTTGAGACTAAAGCTTGAATGCAAAGGCTGCTTCTAACCTGACACTCTCAACTCTTAAAATAAATCCTTCAATGACGCTCGCGAGTTAATGAAACTATCAACTGTTAAATGCATACTGTTCCACTTTGTAACTTTACAAATCTCTTTGATAGTCAAATACACAAAAAAGAAAAGAATAATAAAATAAAAAGGAATATAATTACTTCAGTATTAATGATTTCTGATTGTTCACAAGTTACCCGAAATAAAATTTTTCATGACTTTAATTCTTAATTTATTTGAGTTTCGTTCATTAAAAATGAAATTTCAAAACTTTTATGTGTTTCTTTTCATCAAAAAAACCCAGAAAAAAAGAAAATTAATTTCCGCGAAATGAAAATGTTTGAACAAAAGTTTTCATTTCGATGTAGTAAAAATGAAACAAAGGATTTTATGATTTTAACTCAATTGGTGATTGATTAATTTATTTTGATTAACTCTGTGTAGTTGTAGTCTTGTGTAAATATTTTAATGACTTAAACGACCGTGATCTATAGCAAATTTTCTATTGACTAACCATTTGACATAATTGGCTCATTTTATTGATGTTAACTATCTCACTATTTTCCATTGTAATGATTGACCATCATTGCATTGCTATTAATTAAGTGAAAAATTAAAACCGTTTTCTTTGACATTATTAAAAGAAATGAAAAAGAATGAATCAAAGATATTTATGTTGTCAAATTCAAAACAATACAAAAAGAATACAAAATTCAAAAAAATTTCAAAGCTTTATAAAATTGTGATAAAGATCAAGGTCGGACTTCATGGGCGATCAGAAATCATCTAATACTGCAATCATATTCGATTGCAGATGCTCAACAACATTGTGTAGCCGTTATAAAGCAGGAAGTTCATGATATTGATGGAGATGATGATGATGATGATGGTGATGTTGATGATAATGAAATGCCACATGAAAAGTCGGTTAGCATATCTTCACCTTCTAATGCAACTAAGTCTGTTGTCGCTCATGAGTCCGCAGGTCTTCCATCTGCAGTCACAACACTCCAACAAACTCAGAAAAGCTTTAAGGAACGCTTCCGACAACAGCAAGAAGAAATTGTAAATCGATTACATAAGGCTGTAACCGATAACCTGAAACTCATGAATCAGGGAACGGAATCATGTAATGGAAATGGTTTTGCAAATAAACAAGACGATTTATGTTCGAACCGCAATCTAAATATGAACTTAAGTGCAAACAGCAGTAGGTTCGCCGTCAGAAATTACAATGGAAGCACATCAGAAGTTAAAACGTGTCGCCTTAATAAAAGTAAAATAAGTAACGCGATGAGTGTTGTGCAACAGCTTCACTCAAATGTACCAAATGATCTCTTTTCAAGTCTTATTGATAACGACGATAACAATAATAACAATAGTAATAATAATTTATTGCACGATGATAACAATAGTGATAGCAACTATCTTCTGCCATGCCCACTTTGTGAAATTCCATTAGAACCACGCGTCTTCCGACAACATTTGGATCGGCATTATCCACGTGATAGTCCAATATGTCCGGTACTTCAATGTGGCAGACGCTTTGCTCATCCAAATAGTGTTAGAAATCATATGAGGTTGAAACATACGATACAATGGAATCGCATGAAATCAATGAGATCATCGGGTGGTCCATTCTCGTCCATTCCTTATTGAGACATTAGACCAAAATTTTACCAAAAACTTTATTAACTTCATTTCTTTTGAGGAAATTTATTAAACTTTCTCTAAAGTTGATTTCAAATTATTTTCCTACTGATTGATTAAAACTTATTTTAAATAACTTTTGATTATATTTTCATTTGAAGATATGAATATTTTGATTACTTTAGAAGGAAAGAACAAATTTCATTAATATCCCTTGTTCAATGCGACAGTTCCTACTACGACAAACATGAGATAGAAAAACTAATAATAACACAAAAAAATAATAATGCAGAAGAAAATATTTAATTATCATTCCGTTCACTCATTTTCACAACATAAGCAAACATGAGCTTTCAATTATTCCATATTTCCCTTTATATTGTGATCTTTTAAAGCTTTCATCGCAAAAAAGTTCTAACAAAGAAAAAAAAAGCTCATAAAATAATCCAAAGCAAACCATAACGCAATGTCATATTGCTGTAAGTTTATTTGACAACACATTCCAAAGTAAATTGAGAAACATTCCAAAATAATGATAAAAAAAGTTATGAATGGGATGTTCAAAAAGATATTCATTTTCGACTCGAAAATTGTAAACTAACAGACGAGAGAAGAAGAGGAAGAAAAATTAGTTTTGTATTTGCAATCTTTGGAGATTCGTATGAAGTTATGAAAATTCCTAATAAAATGCAACTGCAGTTGATTCATAAAAAAACGGTTTTGATTTTTCTCTTGATCCAGAAAGTTGATCAAATTAAAAGCATTTTCATGATTTGTTTTAATAATTTTCTTGTTACAGTTTCACGTCGTTCTCTAGAAATGCGTGTAAGAGCTACAGATCCCCGTCCATGTCCAAAATGTGGTAAAATTTATCGTTCAGCACACACATTGAGAACACATCTTGAGGATAAACATACAATCTGTCCAGGCTATCGATGTGTTCTTTGTGGAACTGTCGCCAAATCAAGAAATTCACTTCACTCTCATATGTCACGTCAGCATCGCGGAATCTCAACAAAAGACTTGCCTGTTTTGCCTATGCCAAGTCCATTCGATCCTGAACTTGCATCAAAACTTTTAGCAAAAGCTGGAGTTTCAATTTCAGCTGCTGAATTACGTGCTCGTGCATCACCAACAGGTTCACGAAGATCAGATATGAAGCTTGAAATGAGATCAGGTGAAGACAGTGATCTTGATGATCCTGAAGATCTTACCATGGCCCATGGATTGGGAAATAGCGGTAGTAATAAATTCAACACGGGATTTTCATCTAATCGTAAGTTTTTCCTTCTTCCCCGTTAAGTTAAATTAATAATTAAAAATCATTTTAACAGCTTTCAATCATCCAAACACCACAATCACACGTGTTCGTCAAGATGCACAAAAAATGCTGGAATCACAAAAAGACAACGCGATGCAGCATAGTGCAGCGACAGGTTCTGCGATTTTAGATACTTACTTGCAATTTATAACAGAAAATACTTTTGGTGAGTTTAAAACCTTTTTTCGTGTCAAACAATTTAAATTAATTAAATCAATGATAATGATAAAGGTATGGGAATGACACAAGAACAAGCTGCAGCAGCAATTCATGCCGCAAAAATGGCACAGAAAATGGCAATGGAGAGAAATTTTGATAAACTTCCACCTGGTTTCTTTCCACCACATCTCGATATCTCCAAGATAACAAATCAAGACTCGAATTCAAAAAACTTGAACCTTCCGAACGTTACTATCGAACCAACGTCGAATAATTCCGGCCACAAATCGCTTAACTTATCTGGCAATAGTGGACTTGACATTCGGAGGAGTGAACATTCGGAACGCGACGATCAATCACAACAGCAGCAGCAGCAACAACAACAACAGCAGCAGCAACAACAACATATGATGAGTATAAACAACAATAGCAGCAATAATAATAACAATAATATAAATAATTACAACAAGGAAGAAAGCTCAGCTGATGAGCGGAATCTTTCTGATGACGAGAGTGTTGCTGTTAATTAAATTTAGGAAAATTTCGATCACTCACACCTTCCCAAGTGTCATAGCATAAATGTTCATATTTGTTTTCGGCAACCAGAAAGTACAAAAACAAACATACAAAAAAATCACAAACTTGCTTCTTTAGAAACATTATTTATAAAGTCGAAATGGACAAAATAAATAAATAAATAAAAAAATAACTACAAGATGATACTTCAGAGCCATATTTGAATGAATAAGACAAAACGTTACTAGCGATATACGAAAATCTTACAAGAAAATTATTGTTTTCAACATATGAAAATTGTCAAGTCAAAATGTTTCTGTTTTCTTTCTTTCTTCCTTTTTTTGGATCATTTATAAAAGAAAGAAAAATCGCCTTTGAATATTGAAAGAAAATCTTGTATACTAATTCGTGTATACGTCGTAATAGCTGCACAAGTAATCGATCAAATTTAAGCAAATAAATAAAAAAGAAATGTAAAAGCATCAAGAAAATACCAATTATGTTGAAATGAAATGATATGAATATTGAAAAATGAAAAATCTATTTCTAATTGTTTTTAAGAAAATGGAAATTAGTTTAGAAGATTTTTAGATGATCAAAGAGAAATGAATCTTTTAGCCATAATGAAGAGGAAATCCCAATTAATATTAAATGAAATCATTATCTAATCTTATACAATAATAATTTGAGTATTTGTTAAGTGAAGAAATATGAAAAAAGAATAATTACGTGTGCCATCAAGAATTCAATCAAGAAGACACGAATGAATTGAAGAAAACTTTCGTTGTCAAACTTGTGTAAGATTATGATGATCTTTGAGACAGAAAAAATAAGCAATAACTGCATTTTAAAATGTTTTATATATTTCAATCAGAATGCAATCAGATTCCACAAACTACCTCAGATTATAAGAATAAATAAGAATACCTCAAGAATATATTTCTACCACTACACAGAAAAGCCGGTAAAATGAACAGAAAGTCAAGAAAAAGAATAAATACCTCGAGAAATCTTTTAATATCAAGATAAACTCACAATTGATACGATATTAAAGCAACTCAGTAGAAACTTTTTCAAGTAAATGGAATGAAAAATACCTCAGAAACAATTAATGATTTTTATTTTCATAAAATTAAGCGAGTAGTTGTTAAGAAGTTTATTTTTATTTTCTATGAAACGGCAATAAATTGATGATATCTAACTAGGATGGAAGGAAAACCTCTGAACTACCTCACAATAAACATAGTAATGTCACATTAAAAAGAAATCGATAATTACATGAGATAAAATACTTTGAAAGTCACTTGAAGTTGAAGAGTCTTGTAGACGAACCGTAAAAGCTTTCGAAAAGCTTGAACTCCATTTACACTTGTATACACTCGCGATAAATTTACACTTCTTGTATACGATGTTATTTAGCAGATATTTTTACAGTTTTTCAATCAATTTTTAAACTTTTTTCCTTCAATTTGTCATTTTCCGTCTTCCGCGGCTTTTAGTCACAGGCCCGATTAGATTTTCATGTCTTCGTACATTTTCAATTCGTTTTTCTTTTCCTTTTTACTCAAATCAAACATTGATCAAACAAAAAAGGGAAATAATCGAAGAGAATTTTTATTTCTTGTATTTTTCCTTCATTCACATACGTGAATGTGAATCTTCCAATTGCAAAAAGAAATGTTCAACAAAACAAACTAAATACTTATTCAGATACTTGTACCAGGAAAGAAAAATATAAAAAATGAAACTTCCAAGTTGTCTGCCACAAATTTTCGTATTTACATGTTTCATGTTTACAATCATGGAAGTTCATTGTAGTAATGTTGTTTCAAGGGGGGAATGCCGGAGGAATAGAAATTAATGCTAATTTTATTACAATCCAATTTATAGTTACTTCCAATAGTCGATGATAAATTTTATTTACATTGAAACACCATTGAAGTCGTTACCAATTCCACGTTACACAGTTTTTTATATTTTTATGTAATTTTATGGCTTTCTATAAATAGATAGTAGGGGGAAGAAAAGTTAATTTAATTTACCAAGAAAGCTCTTTTTTTCACTCGATCAACCAGTTTAAATATTTGTGTACTTAATCATTACTTGATTTCCATGAAATGGAAGATGATATGAATTTTTCAAAAAGAAAACTTTCAAAAGTCTACAGAAATTCATCACAAATTCGAAGCAATCGATTCTCATCATCATTTGTACTAAAATAAAAAATGAAAAGATTTTAACTAGAATTGAAGTTTCTTAACACATTTGAGAAAAGCTTTCAATTCAAGTTGCATTCGTGTGATAGATTTAAAATAGAAATTTAATGATTAAATGCACAATGTTAATTAAAAAGAGAATGAAAAAATGTGTATTCGACGAACTTGTGCCCAGTGACTTTTGTTTTTAGTGCACAATGCATTTTAAAACGTTAGATGGAAGTTAGAAACGTTTTGTTTTGGTGTAAATAAATAAATGAATTGTACATTCTAAGCCATTCAAACTTGCGTCAAGGATAAACCTCCATTGCATTTTTATTTTGAATTTGAGTTTTTTTAGCATTTATGATTATAGAAATTTATGATTTTTCGAAATTATATTTGAGTTTAAGTTTACTTAATTTTGTTATGCTGCAAAATTCTTAGTATGTAATAAAATAAAAGAAAAAGAACAGAAGAAAAAATAATAATAAAGATTTATGAAAATTTATGCTTTCATTTTTTTGTTTTCAACAATTTATTATTTTCTGGAAATAATTTTCCTTCCTTCCTTTTTTTTGAAATGTCTCTGAAAGGAAAACAAAAATCCAATCGTTTGTCTTTTAAGTTATACGATGAACAAGAATTGATGGTGTGCCTTTTTTTGGAGAAATGAATTATGAAGAATTCACTTACAAATTAGAGTAAAAAGAAAATTATGCCATAAACTAAACTGATAGCAAAAAAAAAAAACATATAAAACAAGTTCAAAGTTTATTATTATTGATGTGAATACCTAGATGAAAAAAAAGGAAATTGTCTTAGAGTAGTAAATTAATAAAACCTGCTTTTCGATGACTTTATTCTTCTCGTCGTTCAGCTGACAGGGAAACTTTCTTATCGAAATGAAGGCGACAACAAAGTTTTAATTTTAATCCTTTAAAGGGTGTGCTTGTGAACATAAGCAAATGATAAATAATATCAATAAAAAGAAACATAGATAAACATTAATATCAATTATGTTTCGATATATTGGAATAAATTTATTAATTTTCAGGATTAACACTTCAAGTCTACAATGGTCAATGAATGCAAAGTGCAAAATATTTTGTGTTTTCACCAGACATGTCGATTAATTAATGAAGAGCCGAAAGACGAATTAAACTACTAAGTTCATTAGTTAATTATGTGATGTTCGTTACTTTCAAGATCAATGTAATGTGCTAAGTAAACAAATAATTTTTTTAATTTTCTTCTCTCCAAACCAAATATTTTGAAAATATTTAAGAATATAACATGGTTTTGTGTATCACATAGGCTTTCTTTAACTTGTACGGCAAATGTTTTCAGAGCCGAGGCCAAGCTCATAAGATTCATTCTGCATATGATTTTGATTTTCACCAACAAGATTATCGATCAACTCATTCATCACTTTGTATTTTCCCATTTTGTCCTAAAAGAAATTAATTAGATTAACACTTTATAAATAATTCTTAACTCACAATAGGTTGTGGTGACCAAATTCCAATATCATGATCGATTCCTGACGTTGCAATGAGCGGTAGAAATGGATGAGGCTGAACGCAATTGACTATAGCTTTATCGGCTTTGTAGACACTCTTGAGTTTGCTTGTCTTTCTTTCCCAGAGGTAGAAATTGCCATCATCGGAGCTGAAAATGTTTTACAAAATAATGAAATTTCAAAATTATTTCAATTAAATTGAATAAACTCACCCAGCGATGATGTATTCGCCGTTTTGACCAAAGAAATTAGCTTCTTTAATATCAGTTTTTGTATTGCAATGTCCTATATATCTTTGCTTGTAATCTCGTGCTTCATGACGCCAAAACTTTTTAAAGAAAATGTTGAAATGAAAGTTAAATAAAATTACAAATTTAATATAGAAAATTCCCACCATTTCATTTTCTGACAACTTTTCTGGATTCGAATCACGATGAGTTGAAGTGCTTCGACTACTGAGCGCTTGATTAATATCCAATTCGAGCATTTTGACACTCTGATCTGATTGATGTGATGGAAATCTCTTTTTAAGTTCTTGCAAACAGTCGTTACTTAAAGTAAGCTGATTAATCTCATACAATGCTCGAGCCAATCGAAAATGAGCTTTGATGTAATGAGAATCGAGATAAAGCGCGCGATGACAATCGCGTAATGCTTCATAACAATCTCCTAAATATTTTCGTCGCATCAATGCAGTAGCACGGTTTAGATAAAGAACAGGATTATTCGAAGTTATTTGAATTGCTTCCGTGTATTGTCGAATGGCTTGAATGTATTTTTCAGTCTCAAGAAACTCATTTCCGGATATTCTGAGGGAGTCAACTTTCTCATTTTTAGGAGGCTTTGAAGCTGGTTCAGTAGAAAGTTTCGGGAGATTTAAATATATTGGCGTTTCACTTTTATCAATCTCAAATAAGTAAATCTGCTCAGCCCCGTAATTGACCAAGAGTTCAGAGCCATTAGGACTGAATGAAACGAATGTAATAGCTTTGCTAAAGTTTTCAGTAGAAGCTTGTAAGTGTCCTGGTGCGTAATATCTCACACATCCTTTCGATAAGTTATCTTCTTCACTTCCATGTGACATTAAGGTAATCATTCGACGATCGTAAAGTCTTGCGTAAGCATCGTTTGTTCCAATAGCCAATTGTTCAGGTCTTCTTGGATTTACTGCAATGCATTTAGCTTCAACGTACTCTTGATGGTTACTAAGATCAACCAAAACAATTTTATCTTCTGAAACGCAGGTATGGGGCTCACGCAAATCAATCTGGAAGACACATCCATCTTCACTGGATGAGAAGAATGTTGAAGGCACTTCAGGAACACAAGCAATGCGTTTAACTCGTGATTGGTGACAACGACACTTAAATATGGGATCATCTGTATTATGTAGGTCGAATGCATACATACAATGATCTGCTGCTCCCGTTACCAACTGTTGGTCATTTGTTTTCGGTAAGAATTTCACCGAGAAAATATTGCCACGATGTGGAGTTTGAAATGACTTGAGCACTTTTCCTTGGTAAGGATCCCATAAAAACACACACAAATCATCAGAAGCTGATGCTAAAACATTTCCATTTGACGTGAATTCCAAACAATTTACACATCCTTCATGTCCGATAAGTTTTTCTCTTAAATCAAAACGATCGATGAAAGGCTCGAAAACTTGAAGATTCTTAATTGACGCGATGTTGTTGTTACGTTCTCGATCTTGTAAAATGTTAACGATATTCATTTCAAGTGATGTATGCAATTAGATAAGCAAGACTTTGTCACAGATTTCCAGAATATCTCTTTTTGTTTTTCGATGTATTTTGTTTATTTACTCTTTTTTGAACCGTTTTGTTTTTGAACCGTTTCTGATGCAGAACTTGGATTAACAGAACTGGAGTTAGATTTAGAAATGAGATTAAGAAGCTTTTGATGTTTCTATCATAGAAAGCTTTAGATTTCTGTAAGTTTTTACAGTTCCAATTGTTCTAACTAAATTGTTTAAAATAATTAGAGTCAAAATAATTATTTCCATTCACATTCTTGATTTCTCTATTATTCACACATTTGATAATCGTTAATGTTGATAATGTAAAAAAAGTTTAACATTTGTCCGTGAGCTCTTCGGGTTTTTCTAATTGAATTCAAATTATCTAATGTTAATTACGAAGTTGAATTTATTTCCTGGTTTCCCCAAAAAACGAAGTTTGTATCAAAAATTGTAATGAAGTTCTCAATAAAACCGCATGAAAGTCTTTTTATAAAAGAGTTATTTGATCATCTTTTTAATTAACCTGATTTAGTATAAATACTATCGAGATTTCGTTATCAAATCATTCAGTTTTGTAATCTATCATTGTAAACAATAAGCCTCAAGTAATTTAAAAATGAAAACCGTTTGCGCTATTTTATTAATTGTGTGCATTTATGTTGTTATTGAAACAACAGCAAGAGCTTTAGACGAGAATGACGTAATTGAACTGACACAAGCACATGGAAGTTTGATGGAAAATGTAAAATATTTAAATTTAGCTTCAGGACATGAAGGATTAATCGAGAGTAAGATAGATTCAACATTGACTTGTTCATGAAGAATTTAGGTAATTTTAACTGATTTTTTATTCAGAACGACACATTTTCTGTAATAGCGAAATGGAAGAGGAAACAGAGGAAGAAGAAGACGATTGCGGAGATGACGATGACGACGATGATGACGACAGCGATGATGATGATGATGACGATAGCGACGACAGCGATGATGATGATGACGATAGCGATGACAGCAGTGATTCATCATCAGATTAATTTGGTCATTTTTTATGTTACTTTAAGTCTTTGCTTTAAGTAAATACCAATGACCAAATAGGTCAAATATAATGCAAATGAAATATTGAATATGAAATAAAATATATTTGAGCATCTAAAAGGATTTTTTTATTTTTTTTATTTCTAAGCTTTTCTTAATTATTATTAAGAATGGATTTTTATAACATTTCCATTACAAAATATTTTTATATTTGTCTTTTGAAGACATAATATCTAGAAGGTTTTTGAATACGAAGGAATCACACTCTATTTAAATATCTTACGATTTCATTGATATGAAATTATTGTTAATTTCTCGATTTTGCTTATTCCAAACGTTACCATAAAGTCGATAGGAAAGGTTTAGAAACAGATTACCAGAATACGTATTTTCCGTTTTGAACTGCTCTTTCAAACGCAAACAATTAAAATTTTGTTTTAAAATTAAAACTTTCCGTTTTCCTGTAATCTTCATAAAACTTCCGACATCACGTCAAGTTTTAAATAATTAATTCTTCTAATTTTATTCATTTCATATTTATCGCTTAATAAAGATATTGTAAAAAATTCTTTTTGTCCATGAGCTTTCCATTGAATGTCACTTTTTCAAATTGAATTCAAATTATCTTGTGCCGAATTGGAATCGAATTAAGTAAAAAAGTTGACTTATTTTCCGGGTTTCCCTAATAAATCACGTTTGCAAAAATTGTGCTGAAATTCTTTTGAATCAACCTGATTTAGTATAAATATTATCGATATTTCATTATCAAATCATTCAGTTTTGTAATCTATCATTGTAAACAATAAGCCTCAAGTAATTTAAAAATGAAAACCGTTTGCGCTATTTTATTAATTGTGTGCATTTATGTTGTTATTGAAACAACAGCAAGAGTTTTAGACGAGAATGACGTAATTGAACTGACACAAGCACATGGAAGTTTGTTGGAAAATGCAGAATACTCAAACTTGGCTTCAGGACATGAAAGCTTAATAAAGAGTAACATAAAATTTAACGTTAACTACTTATATTCAAAATATTAAATTATGTTTTTGTCATTTAGAACGACATATTTTCTGTAGAAGTGAACAGTCTGAAACAGAGGAAGATGATTGCGGAAGTGATAGCGATGACGATAGTGACGACGATGATAGCGATGATGATGATGATGACAGTGGCGATGATCTTGGTGATGGTGATGATAGCGATGAAGATAGTACCGATGACGATAGTGACGATGATGACAGTGACGATGACATCAACTTCTGCGACTAGACGTATCATGTGCTTTTTCAAAAATCTTATTTATTTCATTCAAACTATTGTGTTCACTTATTTATTAATTTACATATTACAGTGGAAGCCCGTTAAGAGCAACTCCATTAAGAGTAAAAGCTCGCTAAATCCCCACACACTCACATTTCCGAACAATTTTTGCCGGTTAAGAGCAAAATCCTAATAAAAGCAAAGCCCTGGGGTGAGCATGAGAGTTCATATTAAAAGCACGCCCGTTATAAGTAAATAAGAAAAAAAAGCAGTCTTGCAGTTTTCAACGCGTTCATCGTGTTTCTTTATAAAAAATAATATATATTAGAGACGCGTAAAATTCAAATGCAGCATATTCATAAAAAAAACTCTAAATAGAAAAAAAAATAATAGTAATAAAATTGAAAAATACCGATGAAAACCGTTCAAATCTTGGAGAAAAATGTGTCAAAGTTCTTAAGGATGCATTATCTTTGATATATACTGAAATGCATCACTAGGTTGATAACGACTTTTTCATTAAGATTTTCGAAAAAGTCCGTTAAGAGAAAAAGCCCGTTAATTGTGACTCCCTTCAGTGTTTCTCTTAACGGGCTTCCACTGTATTTATTAATTCTATCAAATTAAATACATATGTAATGATGTGTTACTAAAAACTAAATTTCATATTGACAATAAAGATAAATTCACTATTTATAAATAATATGTAAGTAAATATTTTTATACCTGTTTCGGTTAACATTTTAACGAAAGAAATAAATTTTAAGATGATCACTTAATTATGTCATTCTAAGCATTCGTTTATAAATCATAATATAACAATTGTCTTTGAATGGCTCTTAGCTCAAAATTCAGAACCAGAATTACATCTCTTCATGAATATGCGAGTATTCCTACAGTTTACTTTAAAATAAAACGACAAAAAAAAAATTTATGAGAAATGTAATTGGCCCAAAAATTTCATCATCAAAAAGCTGAGAGGAACCACCCAGAATTATGTCGTTCTCATAAATTAATTAAATCTCCAGGATTGTAACCTTGTCTTAAATTTTAAATCCTTTATTAATTGAAAGGTTAGATTTTCAAAAGATCAGTTTTTATAATTTTTTTTAATCTTCAGATCAACTCCAATTATTTGTACAATTTTCTATAAATATTAAATTATTTGATTAAAAATCAATCAAATATTAAGACTACGATTCGGAAAAAAAACTTTTAACAAAAAAAGGCTGGTGTATACAAATACAAAAGAAATTATAAAACAAAAAGTCATAATGAATAGCAAAATAAGATTATTTTTTTTTTCTCTTAATATTTGGTTTTTTAGATCACTAATGCATATATTGATAAGTAAGCAATAAAGTTTTCAAAAAGAAATCTACAAAAAAGGACAATTTATTGTTTTTGACAAAAATTATACGTAGATCAAAATTTTTCAAATTTTTTTCAAATTATTGTTATTATTAAATAATTATTTTTGCCAAAAAATCCCCGACTCAATTAAGTGATTGAAAAGAAAATTAAAAATTTTCACGTAAATATTTGTTCAAAAAAAATTTGTCCCTTTTTTTGAAGATTTCGATTTGAAAACTATTGAATCTGATAATTATTTTTATAAAAAATAAATTGTCGCTTTCTAATTTAATCAATTTAATTTAAAATTGTCTCTTGAAACTAGTATATATAAAGCAGATTTGATCAACAGTATTCACTAAGTTTTTCGAATCTAAAACAGAAACAAGTTCAAGATGAAAGCTATTTTCTTTATTCTTTTGATCGCAGTTGTCTTCATTTCAATGGAAGCATCAGCAAAACATCTCGTTGGAGATGAATCAATGAATCTTGTCTCGAATCATGGAATGATTGAAAGTAAGGAAATTCACTTAAGTTGTTCTTCATAAAGTAAAATTTTATTTGTCGTAAATTAGAACGTGAAGCTTGCCGTCGTCGTGGGGATGATAGTGAAGATGAAGACGAAGATGATGATGAAGATAGCGATAGCGACAGTGACAGTAGCGAGTAACATCTTTAAAGATTTGTTAACGTTGAGGAAGTAACTATTGATGACCAAATGTTCCTATTATAATGTTGAATTTGAAATAAAAATATATTTAATTATCGCATCAAAAAAATTATCCTTTTTATTTTGCTACATGCATCATATTTGAAGCATTAGGAAATATTATCTTTAAATACACAAATGATATAATATCAAGCCTTGGAGAGAAAAAAGGAATTCCGATTAAACATGATTATGAGATTCGATAACGAAGAAGACAAAAACGATCAAAAGAACTGCAACAGCGTTTTTCATGTTGAATGTTTTACTTCGAATTTTGTTGCAAATAATAAAATATCATTCGAAAAGTATCGCTATTTATATGGTTGACTTNTTATGTGATTCATTTCTAATTCCTTTAGTTAATTGTTTTAAAACAAGAAAAATTTGATAATTTTTCAAGAGTGAAGTCATCTGAAAGTTTTTCGGATTTTCAGAGAAAAAATATGCAATTAGATACTTGATGACAAATGTGTTACTCATTTCCAGTTTTTCATTTTCATTTTCTATAGTAACAAAAATGGCGTTTTGTGAAAAGTTTAATTTCTCCTTTTTAATAAAATTCTTTGACCGCAAAATCATTTATGTACATAAATTGCAATACTTTTCGAATGATGTTTACTTTGAAAATAATGAAGAGAAAATGTGAATAAAAAGCGGATATTAAAAGATATTTTCATATTCTCAATTAGAATAAATTCATTCCAAAATACTAGTTAGGATTGAAAATTGTTTCTCGCTTCATAAGTGCCTACCTATTTAAATGAATCATTTTGTTTCTTTGTCTATTCTAGTTTTTAAATGTTTGAACCAAAAAAGCTTAGGTGACCTAAGTTAGGTCACCTTTTTTACGATATTTGAAAATATCTAATCAAATCTAATCATTATTTAAAAAATATATTGTCTCTAATTTCAATGAAAATTGTCTCTTGAAACTAGTATATATAAAGCAGATTTGATCAACAGTATTCACTAAGTTTTTCGAACCTAAAACAGAAACAAGTTCAAGATGAAAGCTATTTTCTTTGTTCTTTTGATCGCAGTTGTCTTCATTGCAATGGAAGCATCTGCAAAACATCTCGTTGGAGATGAATCAATGAATCTTGTCTCAAATCATGGAATGATTGAAAGTAAGAAAATTCATTTAAGTTGCTCTTCATAAAGTAAAATTTCATCATGAATTAGAACGTGAAGCTTGTCATCGTCGTGGGGGAAGTAGCAGTGATAGTGATGACGAAGATGAAGAGGATGAAGAAGATGATGATGATGATGACGATGAATAATTTCTTCATTTTTTTTATGTTACAAAGGTATGACTGTTGCTAATGAAGTGTTAGACATGATATAAATATATTAAAGTTATTATTTGCATTCAAACATTTTGTATTCTTTCATTTAATGAAAATTTTATTCAGAGAATTCTTAAAGTTTTTAAAAAATATAAAAATATAAGACAGTAAATTTTTAAAGTTTGTCAGAGGCAGTAAGTTATTTATTACGTTCCAACGCGTTGCCAAAATATGCTTTGCATGATCGGAAAAACTTCGTGTTGCGGAATGTCGCGGATTCCTCGCGATCGATCCAAGAACAAAGTAATAATCATCTCAGCTTTTGATTGGCTGAGATGAACATAGAATGTGTATAAAAACCGCGACTCGCGTCATGCTCGTGGCTCACAATTTTTGAAAAGCTTCGCCAATAAAAAGAAAGGTTTAAATGAAAAAAACTTGTGTTCTTAAGAAGCAGTTTCAAGCAATCTCTTACAGGTCTCCCCGAGATTGAAAATCGTTTCATTTATAATGTCAAATGCAAATTCGTATTTAACCTTTGGGTGTTTCCAGTACTTTTGCTAAATATGTTTAGTCTTTAGTATGTATCTGCTTTAACAATGTTAATTTTTGCTCAAGCATCCTTAGCTATAAGTACATTTACAAAATGTGTCTAACATGAATGAATGTTTTCTTAGAAATGTATTAAAATTGTATAATTTATCAGTCAAATATTTTCTGTTTTAGTAAATAGTTTAAAAAAGGTTATGAAAATAATAATTCATAGAATTTCTAACGGGTTCTGTGAATTCATTACTTCGTGATTTTTTGCCTTATGATGAATGATGATTGATTATTTCTGAAAAAGTTTTTATCGAATTTGTTTTTATTAAGTCACGTCTGGAATATTTTCATGGTTTTTATGTTAAGTCAACCATATAAATAGCGATACTTTTCGAATGATATTTTATTATTTGCAACAAAATTCGAAGTAAAACATTCAACATGAAAAACGCTGTTGCAGTTCTTTTGATCGTTTTTGTCTTCTTCGTTATCGAATCTCATAATCATGTTTAATCGGAATTCCTTTTTTCTCTCCAAGGCTTGATATTATATCATTTGTGTATTTATAATATATCCTAATGCTTCAAATATGATGCTTGTAGCAAAATAAAAAGGATAATTTTTTTGATGCGATAATTAAATATATTTTTATTTCAAATTCAACATTATAATAGGAACATTTGGTCATCAATAGTTACTTCTTCAACGTTAACAAATCTTTGAAGATGTTAATCATCACTACTATCATCATCATCATCATCATCGTCGTCATCTTCACTGCTACTATCACGATTGCAAGCTTCACGTTCTAATTTACGACAGATAAAATATTACTTTATGAAAAACAACTTAAATGAATTTTCTTACTTTCAATCATTCCATGATTCGAGACAAGATTCATTGATTCATCTCCAACGAGATGTTCTGCAGATGCTTCCATTGCAACGAAAACAACTGCGATCAAAAGAATAAAGAAAATAGCTTTCATCTTGAACTTGTTTCTGTTTTAGATTCGAAAAACTTAGTGACTACTGTTGATCAAATCTGCTTTATATATACTAGTTTCAAGAGACAATTTTAAATTAAATTGATTAAATTGGAAAGCGACAATTTATTTTTTATAAAAA